GCAAGACGAGGGCGACGCGATTGCCACCTCATAGACAGGGAGATTGTGCGATAAACCTCCAGACAGGTGCAGCACTCCCGCGGAGCCATGTGTATCCTCTGTCTCAAGAGGAGACGGCGGCTATGGAGACATACATAGCTGAGTCCCTGAGACAAGGATACATATGGCCCTCCACTTCCCCTGCGTCCTCTAGTTTTTTTTTGTGAAGAAGAAGGATGGAGGGTTGCGCCCGTGTATTGATTACCGTAGTCTCAATCAGATCACTGTGAAATACAGTTACCCTCTTCCTCTGATTGCGAGTATGACTGAATCATTACGCGGAGCGCGTTTCTTCACAAAACTGGATCTCAGGAGCGCTTATAACTTGGTGCGCATTAGGGAGGGAGATGAATGGAAGACGGCATTTAGTACCACCTCAGGTCATTATGAGTATCTTGTCATGCCATTCGGGTTAATGAATGATCCTTCAGTCTTCCAATCATTTGTGGACAAGATCTTCCGGGACCTGCATGGGCAGGGAGTGGTAGTGTACATTGACGACATCCTAGTGTACTCTGCTACACGAGCCTAGCATGTAGCCCTGGTGCGCCGAGTGTTGGGTAGACTGTTGGAGCATGACTTGTATGTCAAGGCAGAGAAATGTCTGTTTTTCCAGGAGTCCATCTCCTTCTTGGGTCATCAGTTGTCCGCGTCAGGGGTGAAGATGGAGATTGACCGTGTGTCAGCCATGCGTAACTGGCAAACCCCAACCACTGTTAAAGAGGTGCAGCAGTTTTGGGGTTTTGCCAATTACTACCGGAGGTTTATCCGGGGTTTTGGACAGGTGGCAGCTCCCATTACTTCCCTGCTGAAGGGGGGCCCGGTGCGTTTGCAGTGGTCGGCTGAAGCGGACAGGGCGTTTTGTAAACTGAAGGACATGTTCACTTGGCTCCGGTGCTGGCGCACCCGGACCCCGCTTTAGCGTTCCAGGTAGAGGTGGACGCGTCAGAGGCCGGTATTGGGGCAGTACTGTCGCAACGCTCCGGCACGCCTCCTAAGCTCCGTCCCTGCGCTTTTTATTCTAAAAAGTTCAGCCCGGCGGAACGTAATTATGACGTAGGGGACAGGGAGCTGTTAGCCGTGGTTCAAGCCCTAAAGGTGTGGAGGCATTGGCTTGAGGGGGCTCAACACCCTTTTCTCATTCTTACTGACCATCGTAACCTGGAGTACATCCGGGCAGCTAGGAGATTGAACCCTCGTCAGGCTAGGTGGAACATGTTTCTGACCCGGTTCGTTTTTAAGATCACTTACATCCCAGGGTCCCAGAACGGTAAGGCAGACGCCCTGTCCCGGCGGTATGACACAGAGGAGAGGTCCATTGAGCCCACTCCCATACTGCCGGAGTCTTGTCTGGTGGCACCGGTGGTATGGGAGGTCGATGCGGAAATTGAGCGGGCGTTACACACTGACCCTACTCCCCCAGAGTGTCCAGTGGGTCGGACGTACGTGCCGCTCGAGGTCCGTGATCATCTCATTTATTGGGCTCATACGTCACCCTCCTCTGGACATCCAGGTATTGGCCGGACAGTGCACTGCCTTAGTGTTAAGTACTGGTGGCCAACTTTGGCTAGGGACGTGAGGGTTTATGTCTCCTCCTGCTCGGTGTGCGCTCAGTGTAAGGCGCCTAGACACCTGCCCAGGGGGAAGTTACAACCCCTGCCCGTTCCACAACGGCCGTGGTCTCACCTCTCGGTGGACTTTGTCACGGACCTTCCCCCTTCTCAGGGGAATACCACTATTCTGGTCGTTGTGGATCGGTTCTCTAAGGCCTGTCGTCTCATTCCAATGCCTGGTCTCCCTACTGCCCTACAGACCGCTGAGGCTTTGTTCACCCACGTCTTCCGGCACTACGGGATTCCCGAGGATATAGTGTCTGATCGGGGTCCCCAATTCACCTCTAGAGTCTGGAGGGCGTTCATGGAACGCTTGGGGGTCTCGGTTAGCCTTACCTCGGGTTACCACCCTGAGAGTAACGGGCAGGTGGAGAGAGTGAACCAGGATGTGGGTAGGTTTCTGAGATCCTATTGCCAGGGCCGGCCGGAGGAGTGGTCGGGGTATATCCCCTGGGCAGAGATGGCTAAGAACTCTCTTCGCCACTCCTCTACTAACCTGACCCCTTTTCAGTGCGTGTTAGGGTATCAGCCGGTTCTGGCACCATGGCATCAGAGCCAGATCGAGGCTCCTGCGGTGGATGAGTGGTTTCGGCGCTCGGAGGAGACGTGTAACGCTGCACACGTACATCTGCAGCGGGCCATCTGCAGGCAGAAGGCGAGCGCCGATCTCCACCGCAGTGAGGGTCCAGTATACGCCCCTGGAGATCGAGTCTGGCTCTCGACTCGAAACCTGCCCCTTCGCCTGCCCTGCCGGAAGCTTGGCCGGCGGTTTGTGGGGCCATTTAAAGTCCTGAGGAGATTGAACGAGGTGTGTTACAAGTTGCAACTGCCTAATGACTATCACATTAACCCCTCGTTCCATGTGTCTCTCCTCAGGCCGGTGGTAGCTGGTCCACTCCAGGAGAGTGAGATAAGAGAGACCCCTCCGCCCCCACTGGACATCGAGGGGGCTCTGGCGTACTCAGTCCAGTCCATCGTGGATTCGAGACGTCGGATGGGGGGTCTACAATATCTCGTGGAGTGGGAGGGGTACGGTCTGGAGGAACGGTGCTGGGTGCCTAGGAGGGACATTTTAGATCCATCCCTCCTGACTGAGTTCCACCGTAGTCATCCTACGCGCCCTGCTCCACGTCCTCCTGGCCGTCCCCGAGGCCGGGGTCGACGCACGGCTGGAGCCACGCGTCAAGGGGGGGGGGTACTGTCACGAATTCCGCCGAGACTGCTCCTCCTCCTTGTTCGGGCAGGCTTCGGCGTTCGTCGTCCCCGGAGAACTAGCTGCTACCGCTTGATGTATTGATTATGTCACCTATAAGTTTCCTTTGGTTTTGTTTGCAGTTGTGTGTTGTTGTCCGCCTGTCCGCTGGTGTATGTTATTGTTTTCTAGTTGTTAGTGTTTTACGCACTGTCTGCGTAATCGTTCGCCTCCTGTGTTTTGAGGCCCGTTATTTTGTATTTGTCTTTGTGACAATTAAAGTCGTTTTCGACTAAGCTTCTGTGTCCTGCGCCTGACTCCAACACCGCATCCACATCAGCTTCTGACAAAGGGTGGCTACTTTGAAGAATCTTAAATATAAAATATATTTTGATTTGTTTAACACTTTTTTGGTTACTACGTGATTCAGTATGTGTTATTTTATAGTTTTGATGTCTTCACTATTATTCTACAATGTAGAAAACAGTAAAAATAAAGAAAAACCCTTGAATGAGTAGGTGTGTCCAAACTTTTGACTGGTACTGTATAGCTTTTTTTTTATGTAGTTCTGTCCTTGAGCTGTTGTCCATTAATGTTCTGTATTATGCCATGTTTCATGTTTTGTGTGGACCCCAGGAATAGTAGCTGCTGCTGTGGTCGAAAACAAACCTTTGCTGATAATGCCGTGATGATAAGAAGTCCGCCGACACTGTACTTTGTTTATAAAGGTTTATTATAACAAAGAGTTTCAGCGTCAGATTTACAGATACCTGCAGATATCTGAAGAACAGCAAGAGCCAATTCTGTAATTCGCTATTCTTCCTTTCTTTCTTCAAGACATGGTATTTATATCATATATGACATAGTATGGCGTGATTCTAATATCCAATCCCTGGCCTTTTTCACATCTCTCCCCATATCCTTTTTTCCAGGAACTTTAGTAATGCTTTCCAGATGTTTCAGCAAAGTAGAGTAAAGTTCATCTGTTACACCATTTGCAACATCAGCAAAATCCTAGACTCTAAGACACTACACTGCTTTTGCAACAGTTAATGGGGATCCTAATAAAATACAAAATACCAATCTCTACACACAAAATCACATTTACACACGCTCACTCTCGTTGTCATTCTAACCTGCCCTCTGACAAAGTAAATTGATGTAATTATGGTACTCCACATATGTAGTGTATTTCCAGAGAAACACAAACATAAGATTGGATAAAACATGCTCAGACTTAAAGACCTGATTCGGTTAAGATATTCACAACCTACAGATAGCACGGCTGCCAACTGTTAATGCTTCTGCTGCTTCGCTTCCTAGCGTAAAAGCAACCAGTCTGTAAACAGGCCTACACATAGATAGGTAGAATGGTACAATGAAACCAATACAATTGTCCCAAAAGTGCAAATACCACCCACCCTGCATGCCGGTCAAGCTACACTGAACAAAAATACTGTGACAAGCTCCTGAGGCCCATTGTTGTGCCATTCATCAGTCGCCATCACCTCATGTTTCAGCATGATAATGCATGCCCCCATGTCGCAAGGATCTGTACACAATTCCTGGAAGCTGAAAATGTCCCAGTTCTTCCATGGCCTGCATACTCACCAGACATGTTACCCATTGAGCATGTTTGGGATGCTCTGGATTGACATGTACGACAGCGTGTTCCAGTTCCCGCCAATATCCAGCAACTTCGCATAGCCATTGAATTGGAGTAGGTCAACATTCCACAGGCCACAACAAACAGCCTGATCAACTCTATGCGAAGGAGCTGTGTCGTGCTGCATGAGGCAAATGGTGGTCACACCAGATACTGACTGGTTTTCTGATCCATGCCCCTACTTTTTTTTTTAAGGTATCTGTGACCAACAGATGCATATCTGTATTACCAGTCATGTGAAATCCATAGATTAGGGCCAAATTAATTTAATTCAATTGACTGATTTCCTTATGAACTGTTACTCAGTAAAATCTTTGAAATTGTTGCATGTTGCGTTTATATTTTTGTTCAGTGTAAATAAAGCGCACCTCAAGTATTTGACCCAGGTGGGTCTGATAAAGAAAAGATAAGGAAAAGGAGAGAAATAATCAGAGAAGTAAACGTACAAACTGACTACAGCGGTGCACTGCCTACAGTGACATTAGTGATGTTAGTTTGTGACCTCACCTCTGCTTCTGCAGTCCAGTCGGGGTGTGGGGAACAGGTAGGTATGGCAGGAGGTGGTGGCGTCAGGCTTGCCCCTGATGGGGCTGGGCTGCAGAGGGTATGTGGAGTTCCTCTGCTCCTCCCCCTGGGGATCTGGGTCCAGCTCCGGACATAGCAGCTCTGGGTCCACCTGTCTCAGCTTCCTGCCCCTCAGCCCAACTGGCTCCGCACACCTGGGTTGTGTTCAGTAGAGAAAACATTTTGAAACAGGGAGGTGCTATAGCAACATTAAGATGAGAACACAGATTTCTGTTGTCCATTATATGAAGTATAGTGCACTTCTTTTGACCAATGCCCACAAATGTCATCTGGGACACATCTGTTGAGCCCTGTGTCACATTCTATTCCCACCCACCTGGCGTGGTTCCCCAGGTTACGGTTACTGGGCACCTGCAGGGTGCGAACCAGACTGTCAAGTATGCAGCGGCAGCTCCAGGGGTTGTCATGGAGACGCAGGTAGCGCAGGGCTGGCATGGGGATGAGAGCCTCCTCGCTGAGCGTGCCCAGACGGTTGTGCTGCAGCAGAAGGGTGGTAAGGCGGATCAGGCCCAGGAACGCCCCCTCCTCCAACACTGAGATCTGGTTCTGCTGCAGGTCCAGGCTCCTCAGGTCCTCGAAGCCAGAGAAGGCCCCATCACGGAGGGCCCAGATATGGTTACGGGCCAGCAGGAGGTGGTCTGGGGCCCGTGACCAGGCTAACAATAAGATCATGATATTATGTTTCATTTCCATAACACTTTTAAAGCAAAGCACCGACGCAACGTGTTATATTTTACAGCGAAGGTTGCAGCAGAAGTAAACTCCTTTATCGGCGACTCAATATTAGGAAGGTGTTCATTTATGCCCCAAAATACATTTGTTCATATGGGCAGAATATTTTATAAAAATGTCTTCATATGGGCAGAATATTGTATAAAATAAATAAATACAAATGCGCTGCATTTGTTGCCTTCCTTTTAGACAGAATAAGTAAAATCGGGTTGGGTGAATAACTTGACAAATGTAATCCATAAGCAGACTAATACATTTATCGGCATCAATAGCCTATGTAAAGTCTGTATCAACAGGCTACCAATTTCAATTTTTCGATATGAAAAGGAGACTGAATTAAATCTTGACTGCCCTGCACTGCAGATAGGAAGTGTCCAGACGACTGTGAGCTGATTGACCAGTAGGATAGGTGTGAAATGTTCTGAAAGCTTAATTCTAATCAAACACCTGAACACGAAACCCACCCCTTATGGGCCATCAGCGGGACAAAAGTCTTGCTGAGTCCAAGAGATGTTGCGCATATCTGTATTAGCAGTCAGCACCACTTTATCAATTCATATTTGTATTTTAGGCTACGCCATAAAAACTGTTTTTATGGGCACACAAATCCCAAATGATGTATGCGATGCAAAATCGAACGCTTCCATCCGAAAGTCACCTAAATTGCGTGGTTCTTCAATAGGCTATGCAAAGGCTAATAGACCTACTTGTTGGATGTGCATTATATCCAGCTGTTTAGTTAGGCCTTGTGATATTGTCGAACATCGTCAGTTGATCCAGGAAATATTTTTCTGAATGATATAGCACGTGATGCAAAAACAGCCAGTCCATGAAAATGGTGTTCGGAAGAATGTCCAGAATATGTTGATGTTTTGTTCATTGCGCCAGTGAAGACCTTTGATCCACATTGGATCCAATCCAATACGCCTACATTTATGTATTTCTGCTTTTGTTTGCTTGATTTACTGCAGGGTCTAAAATATTTAACAGAGAAAGCATCAATGTAATGAGTTAATGTTTTCACATGTTTCTGTGCGTCAGATTGGACACCGAGGTAGGCTTCTGTGTGCAATTTTGTAGGATAGCCTAGGCCAGTGATTCCCAACCTTTTTCGGTTACTGTACCACAAACTGAATGTTGTTCTTCCCAGAGTAGCCCTGAAGTACCCCCTCATGTGCATTTTAACAGTAGGCCTATGGTCTCAAGAGTCTTCTCAAGTACCCCCTGTGGATAGGGCAAGTACCCCCAGTGGTCCTAGTACCCCTGGTTGGGAACCACCCAATGGTATTTTACTTTTTATTATTCAGGATATTTAATGACAACAAATGAGTAGCCTAGTGGGCTTATGAACAAAATTATTTGGGGAATTCGAATGACGTAAATAATCATACCTACTGGACACACACTGGTTGAATCAAAGTTTTTCCATGCCATTTCAATGAAATTATGTTGAACCAACGTGGAATAGACGTTGAATTGATGTCTGTGCCCAGGCGGTAGGACAAATATAATGGTGAGAGCCCAGTAACAGACTGACTGAGATACTATTTCTATTGTCATGTGACAAATAATCTTTTTTTATTCAAACAACCACATGTGGGCCTTTTACCATATCCTAATATTTTCGCATGAACTGTTTATTTTCATAAATTCGGTAGCCTATGCTACAAAATATAATATTCTGCCCATATGAACCAATTTATATTAGGCCATAGCCTAAAGAACAGCTACGTGATTTAATGAAAAGCAGCAAATAAACACTTTTTTTTCACATTCTTTAATAAAAGACTCATAAACAGAAATAGGCAATAGGCTACAACTTGCTTTACAGTTTCCCTGCCAAATAGGCCTACAAGGAAACTCAATGTATCTCTATGACGTTGAGTGCGCGATGAGTTCTGTACGCAGCGCAGTACCATCCACAAAACGTTTTGCTCTACCAAAAGACACGCACTGTAAGCACTTTTCAAGACACTCGGCCCTCGCCAGTGACCTCATACTAGATTAATCCAGTCCTGGACTAAAAAGCGTGCTCAGTGAAGAATCCCTATTGAAAGTGATTTTTTTGTCCAGGAGTAGGCTAAATCTGGCCCTATAAGATCTTTATAGGCAGTAAAACCATAAAAAAGTAAATAAACTAGAACATCGCATTATAATTACATAAGGCAGTGGGGATGGAGGACAGTTTTCTCCCTTGGCAGTCCACGAAGAGGTCTCCAGAGTCGCTGTACTCTGAGCATTCAGGAACCTGATGCCTGGAGTCTCCTGACCTGCCCTGGCGCCCCCCACCTCTCACCCTAATGATGAGAACAATACATTTTAGCATCATTAATACAGATAATATTTGCAGCTAAAATATACTTACTTATAACACCTATTAAAGTCAAATAAACATAGTGCTTCAAAAGAGTAAGATATAAAATCAGAGAAACAACTTAGTATCCATCCATACCTGTCCTGTCTGGGGAGGCGTCTGCCTACTTTGAGCCGCCTGCCCTGGCCTGCCTTCCTCGGCTTGGTGGGTGGTGGGAGCAGCAGGAGGACTAGGAGAGCCAGGAGGAGAGGGGAGGTCGCACGCATCCTGAGCAAAGCTGGGGCTGCCTCTCGCTGGGGATTGCTGGAGCTGAAGCAGTGGGTGGGGTGGAGGTTTTACTGGAAAATGGGAGTGGAGGTTTGCATGTTGACAGTGTCTGATATAATGATATTCAGCTGCTGTTCCTGCAGAGAGAGAGAGAGAGAGGGAGAGGGAGAGGGAGAGGGAGAGGGAGAGGGAGAGGGAGAACGAGAGGGGGGAGGATGGAGGAGTAGGGAGAGAGAATAAGACAGTGTGAGTGACTGGGAGAGAGAGAAAGTGGAAGGATGGCATTAAAGCAAAACAATGGTTAAATTGCAACATTTCAAATATTGTTTGGTTAAAAATTTTCCTGCATTTAGCAGTTGCTTATTTTACTTACAACGTGTGACAGTAAATTCAGTTGAAACCATGAAGTCAATGTGTGGGAGATTACCCAGATAAAAACAGCTTAGTAAAACTTAACGAGACAAGTTATGGCAGAAACCAGTCCCTCACAGGAACTGCTGTAAAATAATTCTCACATTGACCTGGTAACTTAGATAACACCACAGACACCCTCCCCCTCATAAATACAGTGTAGTAGTCTGCCATTTATGGGCTTGTTGACTTAACCGAATTCAATGATGCTTTTCAAAGAAACGCCCATAAACATTCCTCACAGTCAGCGATGTGTTTGTTGGTGTGTGTTTATGTACATCTGGAAACATTCTAATGTTCCTTCTGCTGCTTTTCTATCTCTCTTTCTCTTCTCTCTCTTTCTGTATCCCCCTCTTTCCCAGGTGAATGCAGAAACCTACAGGTTTAATGTTACAACATTAACATGAGTAACGGCAAGGTATACTCACGGGTACAAACTACCCTCTTATCTTAAATTAAACCTAACAGTAGAACAGAAGGGAAAAAATTAAGACAACGTAAAGGATCAAATCTCCCTTTCATCTTTAGTTTATGCTTTTCATTCATTCCCTTTTGATAATGGGTTCAAACTTTGCACAGGTACAAACACCTAGTAAACCAAGTCCTTAGCCTTGATGGAATGGCACTGTTCTGAAGCTCATCAACACTCAGACTGGCAGTTGTAGTCAGGTTATTAAAACTAGACATTGCGTGATTATACAGCACTGTGTCATTTCTTTTCCCTGTATTCCATATGTTGTATACTTCCCAATACTGTTTAGGTGTAAAGCTGCAGTGAAATCAGGACCACATGGGGACTCGGGTGGAGGGTGGAGCTGCTTGTTGTATAATGTCATTTACAGTCACCAATCATCTTTACTGATAACACTACATTCGTTAAATAACATGTCATTACCATACACAAAAAAAAAAAATGTATGCACGCACGACTGTAAGTCGCTTTGGATAAAAGCGTCTGCTAAATGGCATATTATTATTATTATTATTATTATGGAAAATAGGGACACATTTTCTACATTAAATTTTTTTTTTACATACCAGGCTGATTTAGGTGGTTGCAGCTGTTGGTGATAGTCTTTACATGCCTTTGGCCACAGCTGAGTACCATACAGATATATATTGTTGTTTTTAAGTGGCCTTGTTTGATTTGAGATGTTATTGGATAACATTGTCAATGAGCCATCTAATGAACTCTGAGGTCTCATTTGTTATAAGGGGCTATATGCATGCTTATATAGTCTTATAATGCTATATGAATGTGATATGTGATAGGACCAGAGGCACTTTAAGACTTTAATGTACACTGTCTGTCTGTCTGTCTGTCTCTATCTGTCTGTCTGTCTCTATCTGTCTGTCTATCTGTCTGTCTGTCTGTCTGTCTGTCTGTCTGTCTGTCTGTCTGTCTGTCTGTATCTGTCTGTCTCTCTACTGAAAGTAAGATAGTCAATTAAATTCCAGGCCATCGCTATTACACTTCAGTTATGATTGCCCAATACTGTTATCCCAGTTATGTAGTGGGATGATGTGGCACGCTGAAACATAAAGAATGAGAGGAACAGAGAGAGAGAGAGAAACAAAACCAGGCTATGTGTGTCAACCCCAACAGGTATGGAAGGCCGTTCAGGTCTTTATGTGTCAAAATGAAGACGTTAAATAACGAGATGTCTACTGACCCGAACGGCATTCGATAAACAGGGACCTTGACCATGTGTCTTTCTATCCTCTGCATAAGTGTTTATATTCCAAAGAATGTTACACCTGAAAGCAATTCCATAGGCTCTGTTTTCTGTTAAACCCTATGAGCTCATAGAGAAGAAATCTGTGGAAAATGCTTCACAGAGCTGGCTAAATATGAATTTGTTCTTAACTGACTTGCCTAGTTAAATAAAGATTCAAATAAAAAAATAGAAAAATAAAGAACAAACCTGCAGAAATAGTCTTATTTCAGTTAATTTCCAAATACTTATAACCAATTCAATTCAATTTCAATTTAAGGGCTTTATTGGCATGGGAAACGTATGTTAACATTGCCAAAGCAAATGAAGTAGATAGTAAACAAAAGTGAAATAAACTATAAATATTAACAGTAAACATTACACTCAGAAGTTCCAAAAGAATAAAGACTTTTCAAATTATGTATATATACATTTTAGCAGACGCTCTTATCCAGAGCTCTTTTTCACTCGGTCCACTCGTCCAAGTGCCGATGCATTTGTGGCATGATGTGAACAGTACGAATTTGTGTCACTACCAAAGTCTAATGGTTTTAAATGACTGTTTTGTATTGTCTGGAAACTCACTTGTAGAATTCGCTTGCAGTAGGTCTCTTAAAAAAGAGAAGCCGTGCAAGGTTATTAAACAGAGGTGCCTAGTTATTCTTCTGTTGTTGATATCAGGTAACGTGCAACCTAACCCTGGCCCTGATATGCAATGTCTCCAAACCCCCTCTGATTTTAAATCAAGATCTGGTTTTGGTATTTTTCATTTAAATGTACGCAGCCTGTTGTCAAAAATTGATGGGGTTAGGATTTGGGCTAAATCAACTGATGCTGATGTAATTGTGTTTTCGGAAACCTGGCTCAGCAAGTCTATTTTTGATAAGGATATTTGTATAAGTGGTTACAATGTTTATCGTGCAGATCGGGTTAAGAAAGGTGGGGGTGTGGCTATATATGTAAAATCTAAATTCCATGTAAGTGTGGCAAAGTCTGAAACTATTTGTAAACAGTTGGAATTTCTTGCTTTGAATATTGAGGTTTCAAAGGGCCTCTCTATAACTGTGATTGGCTGTTATAGACCCCCCTCTGCTCTTGGTGATGCATTTTCTTCTTTGACGCACCTTATGTCTAAACTTCTTTACAGTGAAATGATCTTGATTGGTGATCTCAACTGGTGTTGGTTAAAGCCGGTGTCTGATGATTTAAAAATGTTTTGTAATTCTATGAATCTTACCCAGTTGATTAATTCACCCACTCGCCCAAATCTTAAATGCCCTGATAAATCTACCCTGATTGATTTGATATTGACAAATGTTCCACATAAATATTCTGCGGTTGGTGTTTTTTGTAATGATTTAAGTGACCATTGTGCTGTTGTTGCTGTTAGAAATACTAAGGTTCCAAAGACAAATCCACGTTTTATTCGTAAGAGAAATTTGAAGTGTTTTAATGAGCAGGCTTTCTTTCATGATTTGTTTTATTTTGACTGGAGCAAGATTGAGCTTATCCCTGATGTGGAAACTGCCTGGATATTCTTTCATGATGGTTTTTTCCAAATAGTAAACAAACATGCACCATTCCGCAGGTTCAGGGTTAAAGGGCGGGATAATCCATGGTTTTCTTCTGAGCTGTCTTGTATTATTCACTACCGTAATTTTAGCCTGGGCTAAAGCAAGGAAATCTTGTTCTGATGCTGATTGGCTTATTTTTAGGCAGTTAAGAAACAAGTGTTCTTTTCTTCTCAGGAAGGCCAAGTCTGAATATTTTATGTCTGTTACCACTGATAACCTGAATGACCCTAGAAAGTTTTGGAATGCTATTAAGTCTATGTCTGGTAACAGTAATGTTAATGAATTACCGTCATGTGTTTTGAAGGACTCTGTTGCTATATATGACAAAACTGAAATGCTGAATTGTTTCAATGAGCACTTTGTATCATCTGGTAGGCTGTTTGATTCAGTGTCCTCTATCTCTGTACAACCCTGTGTGGATGAACCAGTGTCCTCTGTCTCTGTACAACCCTGTGTGGATGAACCAGTGAGAGCTGGTCAAACTTTTAGTTTTCTGCCATTCTCAGTGCAGGTGGTACATAAAGCCCTGAAATCCTTAGATCAAAGAAAGCCTGCAGGTCCTGATCTTTTGGATCCCTGCTTTTTAAATCTGGCAGCTGATTTCATAGCTGAACCACTTACATATCTGTTCAATCTAACCCTGGAATGTAATGAAATTCCAAAGATCTGGAAATCAGCATTTGTCCTACCACTTTTAAAAGGGGGAGATCCAACTCTTTTAAATAATTATAGGCCAATCTCAAAGCTGTCACCCCTGGTGAAAATACTTGAAACCCTTGTAAGTGAACAGCTAAAAGAGTTTTTATTTACTAACTCTATTTTATCAATGTATCAATCGGGCTTCAGGAAGAAGCATAGCACAATTACAGCAGCCATGAAGGTTTTAAATGATATCACTGAAGCCCTTGACAAAAAACAGCACTGTGTCTCACTTTTTATTGATCTCTCTAAGGCTTTTGATACAGTTGATCATGCTATACTAAGGCAGAGATTGTTGAGTGTAGGTCTTTCGGAGCATGCAGTTGCATGGTTTGCTAACTATCTGTCTGATAGAACTCAGTGCACTCAATTTGATGGGCTTATGTCTGTTAAATTGTCTGTCCTGAATGGTGTGCCCCAGGGCTCTGTACTTGGTCCTCTCTTATTCACTATTTATATTAATGATTTAGACAAAAATGTCCAAAATGCACAACTTCATTTTTATGCTGATGATACTGTTATTTACTGTTGTGCCTCATCTCTTACAAAAGCTTTCCAGAACTTGCAAACTGCTTTTTATACTGTTCAACATACCTTGTGTCAATTGAAGCTTATCCTCAATACTGACAAAACTAAACTAATGGTGTTTTCTAATGCAAGAAATAGACCTCTGAACCTTTCACCTGTTACTACCTGTCAGGGCAAGGAGATTGAGGTTGTAACCTCATATAAATATCTTGGAATTCTAATTGATGACGGCCTCTCTTTTAAATTGCATATTCAACAACTTACAAAAAAATTGAAGCTGAAATTGGGATTTTATTTTAGGAATAAGGCCTGTTTTTCTTTTGAAGCCAGAAGGAGGCTAGTATCAGCTACATTTATGCCTTTACTAGACTATGGGGATATTTTATATATGAATGCTTCCACTCAGTGTTTGAGATCAATTGACAATCTTTATCATGGTACTTTGAGATTTATTTTAAACTGCAAAACCCTTACGCACCACTGTACTTTGTATACCAGGGTTGGCTGGCCTTCTCTAGTCACTCGTAGGCTCAGTCACTGGTATACTTTTATTTACAAAGCCATTTTGGGTTTACTACCTTTTTATTTGGGCATTTTTATTGTTCAGAAATGTGGTGGGTACTCTCTTCGTTCACTGGACTTTATCCTGCTAACTGTTCCAAATGTCCGAACTGAATTTGGTAAAAGGTATTTTATGTACTCTGCGCCATCGTCTTGGAACACCTTACAAAATAATTTTAAACTGGAAGAACTTGTCCCGATTGGTGTTTTTAAATCTCTGATGAAGGATTTTGAGGCTGATTCCCTGACCTGTCAATGTTTTTAATTTGCTGTTTTTGATATTGTTATACTCTTGTGAATTCATGAATGGTTTTTACTAGATTACTTGTAGTTTTTCATGTTGTCTGTCTGTAATTTTTTGTAATGACTTGGTGCTGCCTAACTTGGCCAGGACGCTCTTGAAAAATAGATTTTAAATCTCAATGAGCCCTTCCTGGTTAAATAAATAAATAAAAGAGCAACTTACAGGAGCAATTAGGTTAAGTACCTTGCTCAAGGGCACATTGACAGATTTTTCACATAGTTGGCCTGGGGATTAGAACCAGCGACTTTTCGGTTACTGGCACAACGCTCTTAACCACTAAGCTACCTGCCGCCCCATAGAATATACAGTGTTGTAACAATGTGCAAATAGTTAAAGTACAAATGGGAAAATAAATAAACGTAAATATGGGTTGTATTTACAATGGTGTTTGTTCTTCACTGGTTGCCCTTTTCTTGTGGCAACAGGTCATGGAGCCCCATGTAGCTCAGTTGGTAGAGCATGGCGCTTGCAACGCCAGGGTTGTGGGTTTGATTCCCACGGGGGGCCAGTATGAAAATGTATGCACTCACTAACTGTAAGTCGCTCTGGATAAGAGCATCTGCTAAATGACTAAAATGTCAATGTAAATCTTGCTACTGTGGTATTTCACCCAGTAGATAAGGGAGTTTATCAAAATTGGGTTTGTTTTCGGATTCTTTGTGGATCTCTGTAATCTGAGGGAAATATGTGTCTCTAATATGGTCATACATTTGGCAGGAGGTTAGGAAGTGCAGCTCAGTTTCCACCTCATTTTGTGGGCAGTGTGCACATAGCCTGTCTTCTCTTGAGAGCCAGGTCTGCCTACGGCGGCCTTTCTCAATAGCAAGGCTATGCTCACTGAGTCTATACATAGTCAAAGCTTTCCTTAAGTTTGGGTCAGTCACAGTGGTCAGGTATTCTGCCACTGTGTACTCTCTGTTTAGGGCCAAAAAGTATTCTAGTTTGCTCTGTTTATTTGTTAATTCTTTCCAATGTGTCAAGTAATTCTCTTTTTGTTTTCTCATGATTTGGTTGGGTCTAATTGTGTTGTTGTTGCTGACTGTCAGTGCTGCTGTCAACACATACCTTACACTCTCCTCTTTCTCTGGTAGTCCCTCCTCTCCTCCTCTCTCTCTCTGTCCCTCCTTCCTCTGCTATTCTTATGGGATTCCTCCTGATTAACAAGGTCTAAACTCAGGTTTAAAAGGTTCTCCCAATCAGATGCCACAGTCAATTTACAACTCTGCCTACCTCACATCCCTCCACCAACCCGCTCGCCCCTTTGTTGCCATCCGACCTTGGTCATTCATCTGGTGCAACCTGACCAAAAGTCAAATAATCAGTAATATATTGTCATAACCCCAACACCCACACCTACACAAACTGAAGATAGTGAGAAGACTTGAACTAGTGAAATCAGGCTGATAACAGGCTGCAGGTGTAGAGCAGTGATAAAAGAACACATTGGCTTTATAAATCCTCCAGTATCACTTGTCCAATACAAATCATAGATCTTTAGAGGTGCCTTCAGCACATCCAGTATGAATATGAGGCTAACACACAGCCAGGTGTGGCCCAGTACTGTTCACATATTAATCTTAAACCCCCTTTCTCTATCTAGGAGCTGTCTGAACCTGCAGTACCTGAGTCTAGCATGCTGCCGTAGGTTCAATGATAAAGGCTTACAGTACCTGGCCACAGGAAACGGCTGCCACAAGCTCATCCACCTCAACCTCTCCGGCTGCACTCAGGTCAGTTTCTGCAGTCCTCTCTGATCCATATGTCAACTCTTCTATCTGCTTTAACTATATCTAGATCAGTTTGTGTGCTCCTCTGTTCTCCAACACGTCTGTGTCCTCTGCTCCCTGGCTGCACTGGAGTCAGTTTGTGTGCTTCTCTCCAAGTCTGTATGTTGTTGTAGGTTCTCTCTCTGGCTCTGAAAGGAAGAGAGAGAGAGAGAGAAGGAGGGGGCTACAGCTTACACACGTGTTTTAGATTACAACACACACACCCACATGCACATGTACTCCAACATAAACATGGACTTTCACCAGGGCCAGCATTTTTCCAGCTGGTTAAGTGGTTGGACTCTGCTGCGAGAGAGAGACAGAAAGGTGTGTGTGGGTGGGTGGGTGTGCGTGGGCGTGGGCGTGGGCGTGGGCGTGGGCGTGGGTGTGGGTGTGCGTGTGCGTGTGGGTGTGCGTGTGCGTGTGTGTGTGCGTGCGTGTCTTGTCCCTAAAGATCTCAATGGATGGTTTCAGGTACATAGCAGCGGGTTGCACTCTGCTGCAGCAGAAGTCTTCAATGACATGCCTACTCTGTCAGACAGCTGTGTGCTGGTACGTATGGAGCTACCAGACAACTCATTTAGGCTCTGGCCAATAGTTGTTCTCTGTATAGGGAGTAATACCATCTTTTTTAACCACCATTGGCTACCTGTGTCTTTTGTGAGTGAATGACTGAATGGACATCTGCCTGTCACTCAGTCTGGTTTCCTCCAGTAGGAGCTGACCTCTAAGTATCACTCTCTGTCTGCCATCTCCCTATGGGACACGACCCATCTCTCATACTTCGCTTTCAAAGCCATCTCTGAGGTGGCCAACCTCACCAAGTCAGAGTTGATGGTGAGTGTGTGTGAGTGTGAGTGCGTGTGCCATGACTCATGTTCCATATCTGTGTATAAGTGTTCCTTAATTGTCTTGGCAACTATCGTTGTGTTGAGTCTCGTTGCCAGGGTGATGTCTACAGGGGATCTGATTGGGTGACTGAGTGACGCGCTATAGACCTTATTTCATGTGATTGGTCTGTGACATCAAACCATGATGCAGCGTGAAGAGAAACATCTTGTGGGCAATGTTGTGGGTCAACCCTGGAACTTTGGCAATCTTAAAATTTTGGGCCTTATACATTGCTGTATCTGGCACAGGTCACTGTTAAGTGATTAGCCAATGATTATAGCTCTTCAGCCAAAGGAGATGGTCAGTTTGTTTCTGAAGATGTGATTAGTCAAGACAGATGGTTCAGGGGCAGTATCAACACACACACATAGTTTGTTATGGTGTGTGTTGTTCTGACAGTATATCTGTGTATTCCTGTAGATAGCAGTCGTATGACAGATGTCAGTTGGAGAGCTCTGTGTCGTAACTCTCCAGACCTCGCTACACTCCATGCTGCTGACTGCCCCAGAATGACTGACGCCAGTCAAGTCTATGGGCGCCCTCAGAAACCTGGTCTACCTCAACATCTCACACTGCAATAGGTGTTTGTGTGTGTATACTGTCTCTCTACTTTAGATGGTATCCGGTTGCAGCACTTGACTGCTTGTGTGTATGTATGCGTGCATGCGTGTTGCAGGGTGAGTGATATGGGGCTGCGATACCTGACTGAAGGGCTCTCTGCCTCTAAGCTGAGTTAGCTGAATCTGAGCAACTGAAGCCGCATCAACAACTTATCTATCATGAGGGTGGCTCAAAATAAGGTCATACAAATAAATACACACACACATACAGTACCAGTCAAAAGTTTGGACACCTACTCATTCCAGGGAATTTCTTTATTTGTACTATTTTTTACATTGTAGAATAATAGTAAAGACATCAGAACTATGATATGAAATAACACATATGGAATCATGTGGTAACCAAAAAAGTGTTAAACAAATATTTTATATTTGAGATTCTTCAAAGTAGCCACCCTTTGCCTTGATGACAGCTTTGCATACTCTTGGCATTCTCTCAACCAGCTTCATGAGGTAGTCACCTGGAATGCATTTCAATTAACAGGTGTGTCTTGTTAAAAGTTAATTTGTGGAATTTCTTTCCTTCTTAATGTGTTTGAGCCAATCAGTTGTGTTGTGACAAGGTAGGGGTGGTATACAGAAGATAGTCCTATTTGGTAAAAGACCAAATAAGCAAAGAGAAACTACATTACTTTAAGATGTGAAGGTCAGTCAATACGGAATATTTCAAGAACTTTGAACGTTTCTTATAATAATAATATGTCATTTAGCAGATGCTTTTATCCAAAACGACTTACAGTCATGTGTGCATACATTTTTACGTATGGGTGGTCCCAGGGATCGAACCCACTACCCTGGCGTTACAAGCGCCATGCTCTACCAATTGAGCTACAGAGGTTTCAAGAACTTTGAACGTTTCTTCAAGTGCAGTCGCAAAAACCGTCAAGCGCCATGATGAAACTGGCTCTCATGAGGACCGCCACAGGAAAGGAAGACCCAGAGTTACCTCTGCTGCAGAGGATAAGTTCATTAGCGTTACCAGCCTCAGAAATTGCAGCCCAAATAAATGCTTCACAGAGTTCAAGTAACAGACACATCTCAACATCAACTGTTCAGAGGAGACTGCGTGAATCAGGCCTTCATGGTCAAATTACTGCAAAGAAACCGCTACTCAAGGACACTAATAAGAAGACGAGACTTGCTTGGGCCAAGAAACACAAGCAATGGACATTAGACCAGTGGAAATCTGTCCTTTGGTCTGATGAGTCCAAAAGTGTGATTTTTGTTTCCAACCGCTACAGTGGGGAGAACAAGTATTTGATACACCGCCGATTTTGCAGGTTTTCCTACTTACAAAGCATGTAGAGGTCTGTAATTTTTATCATAGGTACACTTCAACTGTGAGAGACATAATCTAAAATGAAAATCCAGAAAATCACATTGTATGATTTTTAAGTAATTAATTTGCATTTTATTGCATGACATAAGTATTTGATCACCTACCAACCATTAAGAATTCCGGCTCTCACAGACCTGTTAGTTTTTTTTAAGAAGCCCTCCTGTTCTCCACTCATTACCTGTATTAACTGCACCTGTTTTAACTCGTTACCTGTATAAAAGACACCTGTCCACACACTCAATCAAACAGACTCCAACCTCTCCACAATGGCCAAGACCAGAGAGCTGTGTAAGGACATCAGGGATAAAATTGTAGACCTGCACAAGGCTGGGATGGGCTACAGGACAATAGGCAAGCAGCTTGGTGAGAAGGCAACAACTGTTGGCGCAATTATTAGAAAATGGAAGAAGTTCAAGATGACGGTCAATCACCCTCGGTCTGGGGCTCCATGCATGATCTCACCTCGTGGGGCATCAATGATCATGAGGAAGGTAAGGGATCAGCCCAGAACTACACGGCAGGACCTGGTCAATGACCTGAAGAGAGCTGGGACCACAGTCTCAAAGAAAAACATTAGTAACACACTACGCCGTCATGGATTAAAATCCTGCAGCGCACGCAATGTCCCCCTGCTCAAGCCAGCGAATGTCCAGGCCCGTCTGAAGTTTGCCAATGACCATCTGGATGATCCAGAGGAGGAATGGGAGAAGGTCATGTGGTCTGATGAGACAAAAATAGAGCTTTTTGGTCTAAACTCCACTCGCCGTGTTTGGAGGAAGAAGAAGGATGAGTACAACCCCAAGAACACCATCCCAACCGTGAAGCATGGAGGTGGAAACATCATTCTTTGGGGATGCTTTTCTGCAAAGGGGATAGGACGACTGCACCGTATTGAGGGGAGGATGGATGGGGCCATTTATCGCGCGATCTTGGCCAACAACCTCCTTCCCTTAGTAAGAGCATTGAAGATGGGTCATGGCTGGATCTTCCAGCATGACAACGACCCAAAACACACAGCCAGGGCAACTAAGGAGTGGCTCCGTAAGAAGCATCTCAAGGTCCTGGAGTGGCCTAGCCAGTCTCCAGACCTGAACCCAATAGAAAATCTTTGGAGGGAGCTGAAAGTCCGTATTGCCCAGTGACAGCCCCGAAACCTGAAGGATCTGGAGAAGGTCTGAATGGAGGAGTGGGCCAAAATTCCTGCTGCAGTGTGTGCAAACCTGGTCAAGACCTACAGGAAACATATGATCTCTGTAATTGCAAACAAAGGTTTCTGTACCAAATATTAAGTTCTGCTTTTCTGATGTATCAAATACTTATGTCATGCAATAAAATGCAAATTAATTACTTAAAAATCATACAATGTGATTTTCTGGATTTTTGTTTTAGATTCAGTCTCTCACAGTTGAAGTGTACCTATGATAAAAATTACAGACCTCTACATGCTTTGTAAGTAGGAAAACAGTCAAAATCGGCAGTGTATCAAATACTTGTTCTCCCCACTGTATGTCTTTGTGAGACGCAGAGTAGTTGAATGGATGATCTCCGCATGTGTGGTTCCCACCGTGAAGCATGGAGGAGGAGGTGTGATGGTGCTTTGCTGGTGACACTGTCTGTGATTTATTTAGAATTCAAGGCAAACTTAACCAGCATGGCTACCACAGCATTCTGCATTCTGCCATCCCATCTGGTTTGGGCTTAGTGGGACTATCATTTGTTTTCAACAGGACAATGACCCAACACACCTTCAGGCTGTGTAAGGGTTATTTGACCAAGAAGGAGAGTGATGGAGTGCTGCATCAGATGACCTGGTCTCCATAATCACCCGACCTCAACCCAATTGAGATGGTTTGGGATGAGTTGGATGTCAGAGTGAAGGAAAAGTGGTCCTCTGTAGCTCAATTGGTAGAGCATGGCGCTTGTAACACCAGGGTAGTGGGTTCGATCCCCAGGACCACCCATACGTAAAAATGTATGCACACATGACTGTAAGTCGCTTTGGATAAAAGCGTCTGCTAAATGGCTTATTATATTATTATTAAAAGCAGCCAACAAGTGCTCAGCATATGTGGGAACTCCTTCAAGACAGTTGGAAAAGCATTCCAGTATAAAATATGTTTTGATTTGTTTAACACTTTTTTGGTTACTACATGATTCCATATGTGTTATTTGTTATTATTATATTATTTCATAGTTTTGATGTCTTCACTATTATTCTACAACGTAGAAAATAGTAAAAATAAATAAAAACCCTGGAATGAGTAGGTGTGTCCAAACTTTTGACTGGTACTGTATATTACACACAAGTACACACACATGTACTGTACACACATTTACTGACTGGCGGGGTGTGTGTGTACTAGGTGCAATGAGCTGAACCACCTGAGTGTGTCTTAAAGCCAATTTATGCTTGCTCTGGGGAGTCATGGAGGGTGTGACGCAATTGCGGAGCCTCTGGAGGCTTGCGGAGGCCAAATCGAGCATAGCCTTGCCCCTCCCAAACGTTGCAACAATGCGTAGGCTCCATATAGCTCCGCATTGACATGATTGATTGACGGTAGGTGGGGGCGGGAGGTCCTGTATAAACACAAACTCACTTCCTTGACAACTTCCTTCACAACAGCTCTGCGAAGCGCAAAAAGTGTGTTTGCTCCGACTTCTGCGGAGGCCGCATTGCAGTAAATGCTGTATGGCCACTGCAGAAGTCGGGTTGACCATGCAGAACCTTTTGCTGTGATAACTTGTCTGATTCTGGTCTGGAGTGGCTCAGTAGCATTTCCTCTCTCCTGGACATCAGTGGCTGCAACATCATGGACTAGGTAATGCTTCCTTAGCTTGCTGTATACGTGTGTAGTATTACAGTTAGCTATGTCAAACACTCCAACAACCTTACTCGTATTTCCAGGGCCTGAGACTGCAGTCCTGAGCAGTGGGAGCACAGTAACGATGAAGCCCCCTACTGGTTTGGCTATGACAGCCTGGGCCAGCTGCTGCATCCAATCAGATTACCCGACAAGAACCAGGACACCTGGGAGGAAGAGGAGCCAGCACCAGCGCTTGGCAGCAACAACAAAAAGAGGAATTCGATAAAGGCCTGTGGCAAGGACTACAATTACACAACATGAGTACACAGTCCATGCAGACAAACAAACACACGAGGACTACGTTTATACAGTGTACACATACACATTCCAACTACCAATCTAAGGTCAACCAAATCCCTAACATTCACTGCACCTTTAACTCTAGCTCAATGTCAAGCACCTGACTGGAATGACCAAAGATTAATAACCACAAAACAGATTATTTTTAGGCTAGGAAATATTTTTGAATTTATATCAGAACATCAATGCAGTATATACATTTATGTAAAGCTTTTGTATCAAACCATTTCAACTGAGTGGGAGAAAGGATATAGATTTCTTATATGCATTACAACACAGGACAGATTGAATTTAATATATTACATACAGCAAATATTTTTTGCATTGAAATAATATTAATCAAAAAGCAAAATTGCCTCAATATTATTTGACTTTTCCCCGTTTTTTTTTAATTCACAATAAATACAACCCCCATGGATAGCTTAGAATAAAGGCAACAACAACAAACACTGGTCACATTATTTTACCAAGCATCTAAAAACATTTTGTACATTTTGCAGTTTCAATCCTTCAGTCAGAAAGTCTTAAGAGTGAGGTTCTCCTGGTTTGTCATAACATAAACAAGACAAATCTCTAGTGTGCAATGAACTCTACTAGATGAAAAGCCAAAATGAGTATACATCCTGAAATTTAAAGAAAGCTAAAACATTTAAATTTCACATACTATAAAACGTTCTATTTTCGCCTACCCAAAATGCATACTATTTAAAAATCAAGCGCGGGTATTTGGAAACAGCCAATGACTGAACTAGCCTGGCTGCCACTATATTTTCTAGAGCCATCTCATGAAAACAGTTGGCCAAAGCAGAAACATATTGACTGAGTTACCTCTACTAACCGTGATCATGTTTTGCAACTGTATTTAGACACGTAATATAGCCTAGTAGCCGTTATCACATCTGTAGCATTGCCTTTAACTTCATCCATTATATTTTATTTTGTTTAAATCTGCTCTCATGGAGTTCTCTGTCTGCATGTGTCAAGACTCCCAGAGGGCAATTCAGTTAATCGTATCACTGATCTCTGTCTCTCAGTTCCACTTTGGCAACTTTCTCTCTTCTTTTCACTCTCCTATGTCAGCTTAGCAGTAACATAGAGAAAGACAACTATGTGGTTGGACTCTGCCCAACAGTCACAGTCAGTGGGATAGTGACTATCAACATAAAGAAAGGACGGTTATGTCTACACTTCTTGTCCCTGAGGACTTAGTACAATAGGTAGACATGAGGTAGGAAGGACATTTTTGGAAGTGTTGGAACGGGGCCTAGGCGTAGGAGTGAAGCCTCAGCTGCCCAGCTTCAGAGACTCAAACCAGCTCTGTGTCTTCAGGCTGATGGAGCCTCTGTCTGCCTGGGCCCTGATCCACTGGTCACCCTGGGGCTGCCCATTCATATGGCCTAGAGAGGGAGAGCAGAATAAATGGAATTAGGTGAGTTTAGTAGTAACTATGTACTGTACAGTTGTGATGACTCACTGGGTGAGTAAACATAGTAGGAGTAAGTGTAACTCATTGGTGAGTTTAGTCCTAGTAGTATTTATAGGGATGACTGACCGGTGACAGTGGTCATGCCATCTTTGGAATCTCTCTCTGCTTGGTGAAGGACTATCTCTTGGCTGATCTCTACTGACGTTCCACACATCTGCACTCCTGCTCTTATAGAGGAGGGGACACGCACAGACACTGCACCTGAGAGGGGGAGGAAGAAGCAGGAGAGAAATAGAAAGCAAGAGGGAGAAAAGAGTGATAGAAAGACAGTGACAGGAGAAGACTGGGTCAGATGTGTAACATTGGAGAGAGAGAAAGAGATCAGAGACAATTCAGAGGGATGACCAGATATGGCTCATCCTATTGTGCGTTCTATACCCAGTACATCCACCCAGAATGTTATATTATGTTTACCTTGCTGAGAGTGGAGTTCTGCGCTGCCACTGTCTCCTACATATGCATCAATGTTTCCACTGTTTGACAATACCTTCAGGTAGCCATTATTAGAACCATCTGGCAAAAGGTCAAAGTAAAAAAATGTTATGGTTAAAAGAGCCTCAAACTAAATTTGACACAATCTGTTTTCAAATGTTGCACAGAGGATTGGCCCACTTACCTACAATTATATCTCCAGTCTCATTCCGCACTGTGGCATCGCCTGTATGAAAAAGAAACTAAACGTGAGATGCTGATGCACCCAGAGACCTAACAGGCTAATGGTTTCCATGTCCTCTAGGAGAACAGAGAGGCTGTCTATCTCAGAGGAAATCGCCATGAATTATGGCTAACTCATCCTCTTCTCGCCTCACTTTCTCTCTGTTTATTGCTCTTCCTGTTTGTTTTCTTTGCCAGAGGTTCCTCTTCTTCTTTCACTCTACCTAACCTTGATTTATCTAAGCAGTGACTCACTCAGGCCATCCACAACTTAATCATCTTGTTTACACCAAGTTAGGGAAAACATTTAAGTCTCTAGTCTGAATAATGGTAGTCACTAACCCAAAACAGTCCCGACTAGGAAAAACTCTGCGCTTTAGTTATAGCTGATAAATAGGGCCCAGGGTTTTTGCAGGTCATGTCACGTGTTCAGGAAAACAGGAAAAACTCAGGGCCCTAACTAAAAGTGCTGGCCAGTATATGTGTGAATTCAACCCATATCACAACGACACAACGTATTCCGCAAACCACTGTCAATACCACTGACTCATAAAAGACAAGGCTCTGGGGTGACAATGTTTCAAGTCTCATAAAGGCTGTGTTACTATGCAATGCTAAATGTACCATCCACTATATGTGCAGCCCTCCCCTCCTCACCGTGTACGTGTCCCAGCTGTATCCTCCCTGAAGAGGATGATATGGAGGTGGACTCAGCGTAGATGGCTTTCACCTTCAGAGGGCCATGTTCTGTTGACACGTTCATAGTAGTACCCTGGATCTTCTTCACATCCACCGCCTACAGACAGACAGAGCACAGAAAGAGCTTATATCTAGTATTAACTGTAATACACATACCATTCGACACATACAGTTGAAGCCGGAAGTTTACATACACCTTAGCCAAATACATTTAAACTCAGTTTTTCACAATTCCTGACATTTAATCCTAGTAAAAATTCCCTGTCTTAGGTCAGTTAGGATCACCACTTTATTTTAAGAATGTGAAATGTCAGAATAATAGTAGAGAGAATGATTTATTTAAGCTTTTATTCATTTCATCACATTCCCAGTGGGTCAGAAGTTTACATACACTCCATTAGTATTTGGTAGCATTGTCTTTAAATTGTTTAACTTGGGTCAAACGTTTTGGGTAGCCTTCCACAAGCTTCCCACAATAAGTTGGGTAAATTTTGGCCCATTCCTCTGACAGAGATGGTGTAACTGAGTCAGGTTTGTAGGCCTCCTTGCTCACACACGCCTTTTCAGTTCTGCCCACAAATGTTCTATAGGATTGAGGTCAGGGCTTTATGATGGCTACTCCAATACCTTGACTTTGTTGTCCTTAAGCCATTTTGCCACAACTTTAGAAGTATGCTTGGGGTCATTGTCCATTTGGAAGACCCATTTGCGACCAAGCTTTACCTTCCTGACTGATGTCTTGAGATGTTGCTTCAATATATCCACATAATTTCCCTTCCTTATGATGCCATCTATTTTGTGAAGTGCACCAGTCCCTCCTGCAACAAAGCACCCCCACAGCATGATGCTGCCACCCCCGTGCTTCACGGTTGGGATGGTGTTCTTCGGCTTGCAAGCCATCCCCTTTTTCCTCCAAACATTACGATGGTCATTATGGCCAAACAGTTCTATTTTTGTTTCATCAGACCAGAGGACATCTCTCAAAAAAGTACGATCTTTGTCCCCATGTGCAGTTGCAAACCGTAGTCTGGCTTTTTTATGACGGTTTTGGAGCAATGCCATATAGATATAGATACTTTTGTACCGGTTTCCTCCAGCATCTTCACAAGGTCCTTTGCTGTTGTTCTGCGATTGATTTGCACTTTTCGCACCAAAGTACGTTCATCTCTAGGAGACAGAATGCGTCTCCTTCCTGAGCAGTATGACGGCTGCGTGGTTCCATGGTGCTTATACTTGCGTACTATTGTTCGTACAGATGAACGTGGTACCTTCAGGCGTTTGGAAATTGCTCCAAAGGATGAACCAGACTTGTGGAGGTCTACAATTATTTTTCTGAGGTCTTGGCTGATTTATTTTGATTTTCCCATGATGTCAAGCAAAGAGGCACTGAGTTTGAAGGTAGGCCTTGAAATACATCCACAGGTACACATCCAATTGACTCAAATGATTAGCCTATCAGAAGCTTCTAAAGCCATTACATAATTTTCTGGAATTTTCCAAGCTGTTTAAAAGGCACAGTCAACTTAGTGTATGTAAACTTCTGACCCACTGGAATTGTGATACAGTGAATTATAAGTGAAATAATCTGTCTGTAAGCAATTGTTGGGAAAATTACTTGTGTCATGCACAAAGTAGATGTCCTAACCGACTTGCCAAAACTATAGTTTGTCAACAAGAAATTTGTGGAGTGGTTGAAAAACGAGTTTTAATGACTCCAACCTAAGTGTATGTAAACTTCCGACTTCAACTGTATATACTTAAATAAAATAAACACATCATTGGGTAGGGTAGGTCTCATAGTCAGAGTATAACAGCAGCTACTGTACACTGTGTCCAGAGGTGCTGATGTCCACGTTGCCATGGATGGTTCCCACCCCAGTGACGTTGCCTCCCTGGGACTGTACCTGCACGTGGTGACCCTGTAGAATAGAATAGGAGATTTTTTACGATGGAAATATTTGTTTAGCTCTCCTCCCATTGCCCCCAAAACCCACACAAGAAGAAAGAGGCATGCCCAAGCAATACCTAATCCCCCCTAGCCTTCTAGGCATAGCCACGGGAAGTAGGGGTGCTGAGGGTGCAGCTCCCCCTGATAAATCTAAATTAACCTTTTCACGTGTGAGTTCCAAATATCTCTAACGGTCGCCCCAACGTGAGTTGTTTTATACACGTGATGTCAGAATGCACTCACTGTTCCAAAATGTGATTGTTACGTAACAGGACAGTTAGCCTATAGTTAATTAGCAGGCAGCGCGGGTTGTTTCAACTTGTCAATTTCTAATTATTTTCTAACAACAGTTTGAATTGAGGTGTGTTCCGCCTCCTCATTAATTCACATAGAAGTAGCCCATTTCACTGTTGTGGACAATTTATGTTTGAGGCTTTACTGAGCCGGACAAACTTCTCGAGGAGACCCCAAGCACTTCCCCAGTGTTTCCGCAGATCAAGTATGCAAACATTTGTGCAGTTGTGCACAAATTTCTTCCCCGTGGCACATTTTCTGGCTGGCGCTCACATTACCTTCATTGTTGTTTTCCTTACAAATAATAACTTTGAACATGTGTGCATTCCTATCAAAGTAAGTGCCTTATTTTCTGTATATTGTGTTGTCGTTTCTACTGTAGCATACCGTATGTATGTATGATAATGTATTTACTGTTTTATTCACGTTTTCAAGTACTGGTGACAAATCATGCATTCCGATTATTGCATGGATTGTAATGGACACCTATGATGTGTGTAAAATACTTTTTTGAAGGTTGTACTGATTATGATGAGCTAATGCTAAGCTATGTGTGGCGCCATGATTGTTGATATTATACAATGCATTCTGGGTGTCACGTAAACGTCTGTCAGACCAAAGATGTTATAATGAGGGGAAGGAATGGTTCACTCATCTTTTGAGTAAACTTCCAGAAGTGAATGATCGTAGACGACACACCCCCTTCAACATGCATACTGCAAACAGACCAAACTCATCTTGTCTCCTCTTATCATCTTTGGTTGACGCGAAAAAACTAACATGGTGGTGCGCACAAACTACCCATCGTCGGATTACTTTAGATTTTTAGAAAGTGTTTTACTCAATTATTTCGATCAATGGTGAGCTCACCCGTGATGTGATGAATTGTAAATAGTAATTAATATTGTGGTTTCTGTCAGCCGAGAGTTAGCTAAATATGAACGCTTGTGTTGCATCAATCTTTCCTCAGTTAGCGCAAGGACTAAGTTAGCCTACATTTTCCGAATTGGATGATTATGTTATGCTGTCGCTACTTCTATGAATGTCTGAACATTGCATCCAAAAATAAACTGGTCACATTCAGGACATAACTTTGTAAGGACTGTGTTTGCGCAAAATGTTTCTGTGAAAAAACAGTGTGGCCAACGATGACTGTTGCGTCAATCGAAACTGGACGTTCTAAATAAGCGTTCTAATCACACCGGTTTGAGCGTACGCTGCAGGAACCACTATAGAATGATCACACCCGTTTGTTGGTACGTGTCAAAGGTTTAAACAAAACAATATTTAAGAAACAATCATGCAGTACAGTCAGCAGCAAGCAGTTACACTGGCGGGCCTTAGTGGCAATAAATTAATTAAACCAAAAGCTTACCTTGACTTGGAAGAGTTCCAGTGTTGGATAGCCATAGCTAGCTAGCTACCATAGCATCCCTCTCTGTTTGAGTAAGCTAAACGAGCTAGCTGGATTTGCTAAGTACACTACCAGTGTTTGGACAAACCTACTCATTCAAGGGTTTTTCTTTATTTTTACATTGTATAATAATAGTGAAGACATAAACTATGAAATAACACATATGGAATCATGTAGTAACCAAAAAACTGTTAAACAAATCAAAATATATTTTATATTTGAGATTCTTCAAATTGCCACCCTTTGCCTCGATAACAGCTTTGCACACTCTTGGCATTCTCTCAACCAGCTTCATGAGGTAGTCACCTGGAATGCATTTCGGGATTCTTCAGATAGCATTGGAGTACACCGCATCAGTCACTGGCTTCATCAATAAGTGCATCGATGATGTCTTCCCCACAGTGACCGTACGTACATACCCCAACCAGAAGCCATGGATTACAGGAAACATCTGCATTGAGCTAAAGGGTAGAGCTTCCGCTTTCAAGGAGTGGGACTCTAACCCGGACGCTTATAAGAAATCCCACTATGCCCTCCGACGAACCATCAAACAGGCAAAGAGTCAATACAGGACTAAGATTGAATCGTACTACACCGGCTCTGACGCTCGTCGGATGTGGCAGGGCTTGAAAACTATTACAGACTACAAAGGGAAGCACAGCCGCGAGCTTCCCAGTGACACAAGCCTACCAGATGAGCTAAACCACTTCTATGCTCGCTTCGAGGCAAGCAACACTGAAGCATGCATGAGAGCACCAGCTGTTCCAGATGACTATGTGATCACGCTCTCCGTAGCCGATGTGAGTAAGACTTTTAAGCAGGTCAACATTCACAAGGCCGCAGGGCCAGATGGATTACCAGGACGTGTACTCCGAGCATGTGCTGACCAACTGGCAAGTGTCTTCACTGACATTTTCAACCTCTCCCTGACTGAGTCTGTAATACCAACATGTTTCAAGCAGACCACCATAGTCCCCGTGCCCAAGGACACTAAGATAACCTGCCTAAATGACTACTGACCCGTAGCACTGACGTCTGTAGCCATGAAGTGCTTTGAAAGGCTGGTCATGGCTCATATCAACACCATTATCCCAGAAACCCTAGACCCACTCCAATTTGCATACCACTCCAACAGATCCACAGATGATGCAATCTCTATTGCACTCCACACTGCCCTTTCCCACCTGGACAAGAGGAACACCTACGTGAGAATGCTATTCATTGACTACAGCTCAGCAGTCAACACCATAGTGCCCTCAAACCTCATCACTAAGCTAAGGATCCTGGGACTAAACACCTCCCTCTGCAACTGGATCCTGGACTTCCTGATGGGCTGCCCCCAGGTGGTAAGGGTAGGTAACAACACATCTGCCACACTGATCCTCAACACGGGGGCCCCTCAGGGGTGCGTGCTCAGTCCCCTCCTGTACTCCCTGTTCACCCATGACTGCATGGCCAGGCACGACTCCAACACCATCATTAAGTTTGCCGACGACACAACAGTGGTAGGCCTGATCACCGACAACGATGAGACAGCCTATAGGGAGGAGGTCAGAGACCTGGCCGTGTGGTGCCAGGATAACAACCTCTCCCTCAACGTGACCAAGACAAAGGAGATGATTGTGGACTACAGGAAAAAAAAGAGGACTGAGCACGCCCCCATTCTCATCGACAGGGCTGTAGTGGAACAGGTTGAGAGCTTCAAGTTCCTTGGTGTCCACATCACCAACGAACTATCATGGTCCAAACACACCAAGACAGTCGTGAAGAGGGCACGACAAAGCCTATTCCCCCTCAGGAGACTGAAAAGATTCGCCATGGGTCCTCAGATCCTCAAAAAATTCTACAGCTGCACCATCGAGAGCAACCTGACTGGTTGCATCACCGCCTGGTATGGCAACTGCTTGGCCTCCGACCGCAAGGCACTACAGAGGGTAGTGCGTACGGCCCAGTACATCACTGGGGCCAAGCTTCCTGCCATCCAGGACCTATATACCAGGCGGTGTCAGAGGAAGGCCCTCAAAATTGTCAAAGACTCCAGCCACCCTAGTCATAGACTGTTCTCTCTGCTACCACACGGCAAGCGGTACCGGAGTGGCCAAGTCTAGGTCCAAAAGACTTCTCAACAGCTTCTACCCCCAAGCCATAAGACTCCTGAACACCTAATCATGGCTACCCGGACTATTTGCACTGCCCCCCCACCCCATCTTTTTACGCTGCTGCTACTCTGTTAATGATTTATGCATAGTCACTTTAACTCTACCCACATGTACATATTACTTCAACTACCTCAACTAGCCGGTGCCCCCGCACATTGACTCTGCACCGGTACCCCCCTGTATATATAGCCTCCCTACTGTTATTTTATTTTACTTCTGCTCTTTTTTCTCAACACTTTTTTGTTGTTGTTTTATTTTACTTTTTTATTAAAAATAAATGCACTGTTGGTTAAGGGCTGTAAGTAAGCATTTCACTGTAATGTCTGCACCTGTTGTATTCAGCGCATGTGGCCAATAAAATTTGATTTGATTTGATTTAAATTAACAGGTGTGCCTTGTTAAGTTAATTTGTGGAATTTCTTTCCTTCTTAATGCGTTTGAGCCAATTAGTTGTGTTGTGACAAGGTAGGGGCTGTATACAGAAGCTAGCCCTATTTGGTAAAAGATCAAGTCCATATTATGGCAAGAACAGCTCAAATAAGCAAAGAGAAACGACAGTCCATCATTACTTTAAGACATGAAGGTCAGTCAATACGGAAAAATGTCAAGAACTTTGAAAGTTTCTTCAAGTGCAGTCGCAAAAACCATCAAGCGCTATGATAAAACTGGCTCTCATGAGGACCGCCACAGGAATGGAAGACCCAGAGTTACCTCTGCTGCAGAGGATACGTTCATTAGAACTACCAGCCTCAGAAATTGCAGCCCAAATAAATGCTTCACAGTTTTCAAGTAACAGACATCTCAACATCAACTGTTCAGAGGGGACTGTGTGAAACAGGCCTTCATGGTCGAATTGCTGCAAAGAAACCACTACTAAAGGACACCAATATGAAGAAGAGACCTGCTTGGACCAAGAAACCCGAGCAATGGACATTAGACCCGGGAAATGTGTCCTTTGGTCTGGAGTCCAAATTTGAGATTTTTGGTTCCAACCGCTGTGTCTTTGTGAGATGAGGTGTGGTTGAACGGATGATCTCCACATGTGTAGTTCCCACCGTAAAGCATGGAGGAGGAGGTGTTATGGTGTGGGGGTGCTTTGCTGGTGACACTGTCTGTGATTTATTTAGAATTCAAGGCACACTTAACCAGCATGGCTACCACAGCATTCTGCAGCGATACGCCATCCCATCTGGTTTGGGCTTAGTGGGACTATCATTTGTTTTTCAACAGGACAATGACCCAACACACCTCCAGGCTGTGTAAGGTCTATTTGACCAAGAAGGAGAGTGATGGAGTGCTGCATCAGATGACCTGGCCTCCACAATCCCCCGTCCTCAACCGAATTGAGATGGCTTGGGATGAGTTGCACAGCAGAGTGAAGGAAAAGCAGCCAACATGTGCCAACATGTGGGAACTCCTTCAATACTATTGGAAAAGCATTCCAGGTTAAGTTGTTTGAGAGAATGCCAAGAGTGTGCAAAGCTGTCATCAAGGCAATGGGTGGCTATTTGAAGAATCTCAAATATAAAATATATTTTGATTTGTTTAACACTCTTTTGGTTACTACATGATTCCATTTGTGTTATTTCATAGTTTGTGTCTTCACTATTATTCTACAATGTAAAAAATAGTAAATATAAAGAAAAACCCTTGAATGAGTAGGTGTGTCCAAACCTTTGACTGGTACTTTAAGTGAAAGTTGAAAAATAATACTATAAAATATAGCTAGCTCTCTCTTGCTTCTCCTTCATTTTTGAATTAATGAATTTGTTTAAAACTGTTCAACTATTGTCTCTCTCTCTTTGAGTCAACTACTCACCACATTTTATGCACAGCAGTGCTAGCTGTAGTTTATGCTTTCAGTACTAGATTAATTATCTGATCCTTTGATTGGGTGGACAACATGTCAGTTCATGCTGCAAGAGCTCTGATAGGTTGGAGGACATCCTCTGGAAGTTGTCATTATTACTGTGTAAGTCTATGGAAGGGGGTGAGAACTATGAGCCTCCTAGGTTTTGTATTGAAGTCAATGTACCCAGATGTGGACGGAAACTAGCTGTCCTCCGGCTACACCATGGTATTACCCTACAGAGTGCTGTTGAGGCTACTGTAGACCTTCATTGCAAAACTGTGTGTTTTAATCAATTATTTGGTGACGTGAATATATTTAGTATAGTTTTATCTAAAAAGGATAACTTTTTAAATGTTTATCTTTTATGAAATTCAGAGGAGGATGGTCCTCCCCTTCCTCCTCTGAGGAGGCTCCACTGCTTTACTTGCATGAAAGAAGGTGGATGGAAATGTAGTTAATGTAATGTTTGGATTCAGTCTCGTGTCAGGTGAACTGGTGTCCTCACCTTTTGGTCTAATAATTATCTCATAATCTCCTAACTGTTCCCTTTCAATTGCTACCATGTTTATCCATATGCTTTTCATATTTCTTCTGTAAAAAAATATAGATATGTAGCCCTATCCATATAGGCCAATTCTAACGAGTGTAAAGGGTTAAAGCAGGGGTCTCCAACCCTGTTCCTGAAGAGGTAACCTCCTGGAGGTTTTCGCTCCAACCCCAGTTTTAACTCACCCGATTCAGCATATCAACCAGCTAATTATTAGAATCAGGAGTGCTAGATTAGGGTTGGAGTGAAAACCATAGCTCGCCAGTAACAGGGCTAGAGAGCCCCAGGTTAAAGGATAGGTTGAGTTGTCTCCTCAAACTTGCATTCACTTGCTTTGGCAATGTAAACATATGTTTCCCATGCCAATAAAGCCCTTTGAATAAGAATTGAAGGGGCTGCTGGGCCAATATAACAGATGTGGCTGTAGTTTTAGTCAAACTTTAACCATATTTCTCTTGTCTGTACAGACTTTAATCCTGTTCATATTTACCTTGACTGAGTGCAGCACGCAGTTCCCCCTCTCTGTCTGCACCCTACAGGTATCACACTCCATCTTCTGGACATGCACGTTGCCCTCTCCTTGAGTGGTGATGTAAAGGTCTAACACACACACACACACACACACACACACAGAGAGAGAGAGAGAGAGAAAGTAGGACATGTGATATCACTAACCATTTTGCTGTCATATCTAACTAATCACTTGTTTTATAAGAGGGGGGGGAGTGCTTGGCTAGGGGTCATGAGCATCAGCTGACAGTTTGATCCTAGTACAGTTAGTACACCTAGAGCTATTCTCTTAATGGCCTTCTTTAATTCATGATGCAGACAGTGGCTCTAAACTCATGATTGAACTTCACAAACCAAAACACTCACCACTTTTAATGGGAGCGGTCAGCTCCACTGACACGTTGCTGTTGTTGACCTCGGACAAGATGTAAAGTTCCTTGTTTTGGTCATCGTACTGCACCTGGAAGTTGTCTAGTTGGACGGCTTGATCTGCGCTGGTGCCATGAATGGTGATGAAGGCCCGGTTCGCCTCGGGGAAAGCGTGCGGGTCCAGAGGTCGTATGGAGATGTTACATTGGAGTTGAACCCGTACTTTGCTGAAGGGGTTAACAACAAGAGTCCACTGTTTCAAGGGCTTGCTCACCTCTTTCTTGGTTAAAGCGCAGGGAGAGGTCGAGAACGCCTTCAGAATCAGCAAGGAAGAGTCTTGGAGGTTCTTTGGACACGATGCCAGAGACCTCCAACGTAAAAGTCCGAGACTTATACATTGGTTCGCGGAACAACAAAACATCACGGTCACAGATCATAAACAGTCCTGAAAAACATGAGCATAAACATTTGCACTAGGGATGCTTTAATGCGGAGTGGAACTGATAAACCGTGTGTTGCGTTATGTTCCACGTCCTGCGGGAAGACGAGACTTTTGGCCAAAGGATGATGAAACAGGTTCGAACTCCTTAGGTAACCAAAGACAGGTTTAGAAACACTGTGTTCTAGCCCTGTCCAATCATAAACCAGCGTCTCGTCACCACGATCGTCTAAGTACTTCCGGGTGAGGGAATTTCGGAAACGTTCTAAATAAAAGTCCCCCACGTAATAGTAGAAAACTGTAATTACCCTGTATTTATTCATAATATATGAAAGATACTTGTCTAAACATTAACAATGATTCATATTTGTTCATATTTAAGTGACATTTTAATTTCCCCCCCAAAGTTAAATAAATGCCCCTAATGCAATACACTTTAGGTCTATACATTACATATTGGCTTATAGAGAAAAAAAAGTATTCTATGTGCCAATGTAAAAGTGGGGTTGGGAATACTCTGTAGGGTCTGTAGCGCAGGTGGTTGGTGGCACCATAATTGGGGAGGACGGACTCGTGGTAATGGCTGGAGCGGAGTCTGTGGAATGGTATCAAACACATGGTTTCTATGTGTTTGATGCCATTCCATTTGCTCCTGTCCAGACATTATTATGAGCCGTCCTCCCCTCAGCAGCCTCCACTGGTGTAGAATCTATATATGATGTTATTTCATGGGGGACTCTGGTCTAAATACCCAGCAACACTTTCTACTCCACCAGCTCCATAGCCCCCAATGCAATAATGCCTATAAATTACACTGTAGGTCTATAAAATGTTTTATTTTGTTTTTTTAGCTTACCCTGTTTGCTTCCAGTGTGAAATAAAATGCCATTCCATACTAGACTTTCATGAACTCATGCCTTGCCCTAATGGAGGTGCCAAATATTGATTATTAGCATGTGATTAGTTACTTCAAAGACACTACTGACATACTAACCTAGATTAATGATGAGCCAGTTGCGCCATCTACACATTTTAGTCATTTAGCAGATGCTCTTATCCAGAACCACTTACAGTAGTAGTGAGAGCATACATTTTCGTACTGGTCCCCATGGGAATCAAGCCCACAACCCTGGCATTGCAAGCACCATGCTCTATTAACTGAGCCACACGGGACTACACATTAAAATCAGCCAAAGGCCAGCCTTGACCTGTGCCAAAAAATGCGTCTTGGCCCGACAAGTAAAATATTTTTGAGCCCATGTCCTAGTAAAATCATATTGCTATAGTTTTATATTACCCCAAATATTCATTACCTTCCATTGATTTTGTTAAACCCACCTTGGTCTCAATACAGTGTTTTGGTTGTTATTGGTCAATTTTGTTGTCACTATTCTTGTTTGTGTATGTAGGTCTATGTGTTGTTAAGTTAATAGGCCTACATGAGTTGGAGTCAGTAAATTCTGGAAGTAATTGTAATTTACAAAATGGAGAGAAAAAATAGCTTCTAGACATAAATAGCTTTTCCTTATCAGCTTATTTAGAAGAAAATGAAAATAGATAGGCCTGAATTCATTGCCTTCAATTCAAATTGACCCCAACACTGAGGCCTAAATCCAACACTCAAATGAGATGAGGATCCCACTGCACTCAATGCATTACAGTTCCATAGGCTATCCAATTCACGTTCATTTACAGTTTTACTCCTTGTTTAAGTAGGCACAGTTATTAATAGTGTTTCTTTATTGTTATTTTTAGTCATTCAAAATGTACGGGCCTACAGTGTCTATACTCTGCAAAAAGCCGGCCAGAGAGAAATATGTGAGAAAATCTAACTTCGAAATCCCAAAAGGCAACGCATACTTCCGCAACACAAGGAAAGCTGGGAGAAAAGGAAAAAAGCATCTCTGTAGGTCTTTTCAAATTCTTCCAGCTATAAGTTCTAAATCATTCAGTCTTAATGAAAAGACAGGGATGAACAATGATCAGAATTCACTGTGTAATGAGCCAAAATCGGTCAACAGGTTGAAATTTCAGCAGGATTTCTTGAATGATACAAAGATAACAATATGTAGATTTGCAAACAGTGCTTTAAACTGTTGGTTCAACTCATCCTTGCAGCATTGTTACATCTCAGGATAGTGAAAACTACCTTCAAACATCTTGACCCACAATCCATGACAAAATGTTCAGATATTAAAGAAGAACTTTGCTGCTCTCTTGTTTTCTGCAGTTCAGAGGCCTGGACACATCTAGATTTTAAATATCAATTACTCCCCTGGTTAAAAGAGTTGGGCATCAAAACAGTGATCAGTGCTATGCATACTAATAGCTGTGAAACTTGCAAAAACAGCATCTCACGCAATGGGCATTACTTCAGCTAAATTTTTCAGGTTCAACTAAATACAGACATGTCATTGCTAGACATTCTATTCAGGCAATTAATCACTAAAGGGGGTGCACCCACAAAATGCAGTCAATGTGATGGCATATTGATTAGACAGACTGTTTGGACCACCACACCAGATATTCTTGTTATTTCTGTTCCCCGTGTAGCAGAAAATTGTAAAGTTAAGAGAGACCCTGTTTTTCCATCCAGTACCATTGAAATCCCAGTTGTTGGCAACAAGATACAGATGTACAGATTGAGCTCTGTAATATGTCACTCAGGTGCAAAATCTACAAGGGGGCCAATTCTGGCCAGAGCTGGATTTTGTCACTTTTAAGATATGGGCAAATGACTTACACATTTCTGCTAGCACGAATAGGGAAGGTTTTACTGTATATACAGTATTTCTATGAAGTTGTTAATGAGCCTCAGACGCAAACAAATTGCAATGATGTACAACCACTTGATTCAAAATCAGAGATTTCTGTAATTTCACAGTATGAATACTTTCCAATCATACAGTGTTACCCATTTTTCTAAATACTACATCAGCATTTACTGAATGCCATAAGAGATTACTTAGAGTTGACCAAGTGAAACTGTCTCCTCACTTCAAAAAGGTAATTTCCCAATTTGAAGCATTAAATTCAGCAACATTTTAGTCATTTAGCAGATGCTCTTATCCAGAGTGTCTTACAGTTAGTGAGTGCATACATTTTCATACTGGCCCCCGTGGGAAATGAACCCACAACCCTGGCGTTGCAAGCGCCATGCTCTACCAACTGAGCTACAGTGGACAACATTTCACAATCCATGGTTCAAGAACAACTTCATTACAGTGATGTAAAGGACATAGTTAAACATTTTGTTCAGGAAATTCTACCAGCAAATTTCTTAGCAAATGATCTGCTCTACATTTACAGCAGTGGTGTCATGCACCCCCAAAATCTGAGGGGGCACAAAGGAGGTAAGGATGGCTGGGGGGTGGTCTGGAGGGGGGCTAGGCCACCCGTCCGTAAGCAGTGACGTGTATTCGTGGATGCCAAGGCAAGCCAGGCTTCCCAAAAAAATAGACAACCCCCCCCCCCCCCCCCCCAAAAAAAAAAACATATACAATTTTTTACTTTCGTCTCTGTTTCATAATTTTCCTTCAATTCTCAAGAGACTGAATGTATTTCACCGGAGAAAGCATCCAAGCAAGCGAAACACCGCCCCTATGTATCTGTATGTGTAGCTCATCTATCTGATGCTGTCTGGTCAAAAAGAGTATGGTATTGAATGCAAGGGAAGCCAGCGAGCATTTGGCGTCCCTTAATGATATGTTTTTTTTATACAATATTAGCCCATCAGCGTTGAGCTAAACTGAATTAACTTAACTGTGAATGGTCCTGGCGCACCAAAAGAAAGCGTCAAGGGAAGCCAGTTTGGATTTGGCTACACATCAATCACAGCTCATCAAAAGCCAAACGTCATTGACAGAAAAAAACTTGAATTGTTGCATTTCGTTGTGTTGTTGTCCTCCGGTGGCTACCTAGCTAGCTAAAATTGTCCCCTTCCTAAATTAGCCATGGATGGAGATAGGGATTTGGACTTGTGGTTTTACTTAATTCTCCGTACTGGCCAATGATTATAAAGGCGATTCAGATCCAACCATAAATTCATACATTGTGCCTCTGGTAGGCTAATGTTAACTAGCTGGCTAATCGTTGCCCATGAAAGGAAGTTAGGCTAGTGAGCAAGCATTTTAGCCAGGTAGCCTAGGACAACAAAAACTGTACTGTATGACAGAGTAAAAAACCGTTTAGTCAACATGAAAGACAGGAGGATGTCATTGGCGTTTCTCTACAAGTAGGTAGGGTGAGTCAACATGTTTTTTTCTACTTACGCACGCACGCACGCACACACACACAGACACACACACACAGACACACACAGACACACACACAAAAATCAGTGCCATGGACAATCACATGATATTAAGCTTACATTGATTGGACTAAATTGTTTTGGGTTTTTAGTTGTCACTGTATTAGACTAAGCATAGATGATTTGATGATGTTGAAATGTTGAAGTTGAAATGGTGCTTGAATAGTGGAGGCAGCTCCTGTTTTCTTTGCGACTTGCGGTAACTCTCTGGTGTTCTTTTAGTAGTCTCCTTTTATGCACTCTGGACATGCATTGGTAGTACCCAACTCACTAACGACCATCAGGTCGCTAATGGCCTGGTACTCAGGGCTCTATTGTCCCTCTAACCACTCTGACATCAATGCAAATACAATTGAAAATCACGTCAAACACTTATCATCAAAAAGGTATTGTGCTTTTAAAACTCACCTCACTGTGATTGATCAATTTGAAGAAAGAAGTTCAACAACAGGTTGAAACTGAGTGGAAAACATGGTTGTTGTGAATGTTGTTTCAAAACCTAACACAACGAAATGGACAGTGCTTTCTAAGGTGATGATTAATTCAAAACACCCATACGCGTATTAAAGCTTATGCATAGGCCTACACTACCGGTCAAAAGTTTTAGAACACCTACTCATTCAAGGGTTTTTCTTTATTTTTACTATTTTCTACATTGTAGAATAATAGTGAAGAAATCAAAACTATGAAAGAACACATATGGAATCATGTAGTAACCAAAAAAGTGTAAACAAATCAAAATACATTTTATATTTGAGATTCTTCAAATAGCCACCCTTTGCCTTGATGACAGCTTTGCACACTCTTGGCATTCCCTCAACCAGCTTCACCTGGAATGCTTTTCCAACAGTCTTGAAGGAGTTCCCACATATGCTGAGCACTTGTTGGCTGCTTTTCCTTCACTCTGCGGTCCAACTCATCCCAAACCATCTCAATTTGGTTGAGGTCGGGGGATTGTGGAGGCCAGGTCATCTGATGCAGCACTCCATCACTCTCCTTCTTTGTAAAATAGCCCTTACACAACCTGGAGGTGTGTTGGGTCATTGTCTTGTTGAAAAAAAAAAAAAAAAATCACAGACAGTGTCACCAGCAAAGCACCCCCACACCATAACACTTCCTTCTCCATGCTTTACAGTTGGAAATACACATGCGGAGATCATCCGTTCACCCACACCTCATCTCACAAAGACATGGCGGTTGGAACCAAAGATCTCCAATTTGGACTCCAGACCAAAGGACAGATTTCCACCTGTCTTATGTCCATTGCTCGTGTTTCTTGGCCCAAGCAAGTCTCTTCTTCTTATTGGTGTCCTTTAGTAGTGGTTTCTTTGCAGCAATTCGACCATGAAGGCCTGAATCACACAGTTTCCTCTGAACAGTTGATGTTGAGATGTGTCTGTTACTTGAACTCTGTGAAGCATTTATTTGGGTTGCAATTTCTGAGGCTGGTAAATCTAATGAACTTATCCTCTGCAGCAGAGGTAACTCTGGGTCTTTCCTTCCTGTGGCGGTCCTCATGAGAGCCAGTATCATCATAGCACTTGATGGTTTTTGCGACTGCACTTGAAGAAACTTTCAAAGTTCTTGACATTTTCGTCATTGACTGACATTCATGTCTTAAAGGAATGATGGACTGTCGTTTCCCTTTGCTTATTTGAGCTGTTCTTGCCATAATATGGACTTGGTATTTTACCAAATTGGGCTATCTTCTATACACCTTGTCACAACACAACTGATTGGCTCAAACGCATTAAGAAGGAAAGAAATTCCACAGATTAACTGTCGCGTGTAGCTCAGTTGGTAGAGCATGGCGCTCGCAACGCCAGGGTTGTGGGTTTGATTCCCACAGGGTACCAGTATGAAAAAATTAAAAAATGTATGCACTCACTACCTGTAAATCACTCTGGATAAGAGCATATGCTAAATGACTAAAATGTAAGAAGGCACACCTGTTAATTGAAATGCATTCCAGGTGACTACCTCATGAAGCTGGTTGAGAGAATGCCAAGAGTGTGCAAAGCTGTCATCAAGGCAAAGGGTGGCTATTTGAATAATCTCAAATATAAAATGTATTTTGATTTGTTTAACACTTTAAAACTGGTTACTACATGATTCCATATGTGTTATTTCATAGTTTTGATATCTTCACTATTATTCTACAATGTAGAAAATAGTAAAAATAAAGAAAAACCCTTGAATGAGAAGATGTTCTAAAACTTTTGACAGGTGGTGTATATATGAGCCCAAGCCCGAAAGAAAAACCTGAATTAAAATAATGATTGTGATGTTACACAATACATAGCCTACTGCATATTATGCATGGCAGAAAAAGAGCGAACAGAGAGAGGGGCTTTTAAGTTTAATGAAATATATTTAGTTGTGAAAACTTGTTACTATCGATGTTCCCAAACAGATTTCACTTGGCCCGCATGTTCAAGAAGGAAGAGAAGCTACATTATGTTGTCCATATTATACCACTGATTGAACCTATTGTGCAAGGTTATGTAACTCTAATGTAAAGTTGTTTTGAACTGAATTGAATGGTTTTGTAAACTTTATTTTCTCTCCAACAACTCTACTTCTGTACAGGTTCTTACTGGAGTTCAACTTCTGTGGGTTATGGCACTCGGATTACGTTGTAGACGGTAAGTTATGCTCTTAATACTTTATGTGACAAAGGCCATTGCAAAGAGGATATTTGGATAAATACCTGAGGAGGGAGAGTCTTTAAGTGCTAGCTGAGAAGTTTGCAAGTTATACATGTATAGTCAACACCATGGTGAGACTGAACACATCAACAAAGGAATTACGTTCTATTTTATTGACCTTATTTAATTTTTTCCCATAAAAAATACTGAGAATAAAAAAACATTACAACAATCAATCATCAGTCAATCATTACAATCAATCAAGTACAATTTAAGAGTTTTTGTCCTTCTCTTCATTACCCTCCTCAAAGAGTATTTATCTTTCTCGTCACAGGAGAAAGACTTCTATGAAACCGTTTTCCTACAATACTTTCAAACAGTAACCTTACATAGATAATAAGAAGGCATCTTATAAATTAATTCAGGAACTCTGTACATCTTTTCCACAGTTTGAATGTTCTATTTTAATCCATAAAAAAGTGGTGTTTCGCTTCAGACCACAAAGTGGCAGTATTGTACCAACAGAGCAGGCTTTTCCAAGGCCCACTAATATTTATCAAGAAATTAAGTAGATTTAGGGGTTGTTGACCCGCCTAAATCAGAGATTTAATATTTCAAAGAGTAAATAAAATTATGCAATATATTCAAACTGCTTGTTAAACAAAAGGCATTATAAACCCCAAAAATATGAAACAGCAGTACAATCTGAATGTTTCCATTTGCATATCTAACAGTGCTCCTCCCAAAAAAAATCATATTTTGAACATTGAGCATTTTATCTGCTTTTTCCTACTTTGTCGTGGACCCATTGAAATATCTTGGAGGTCCCATAGGGGTCCCCGGCCCCCCTATTTGAGAATTGCAACAGCTGAGAACGCCAACCGAAGAGCCAGCAGACAATCACTTTGCATAGCCCCTTGGCCTGATCATCATTCTGACAGTCTTGAAAGATTGTCTGTCATTAGTCGGGTAGTACTCTGTGGATATGTTATGCCACGTCCCCCAGTAGATCCCGTTCCGCACCCCTTTGTATTTTCCCACATAATATCTCCCGTTGAGGTTGGCAGCCATGCAGGCGTCAAACCACCAGCCTGAGCTGTAGTAGGCCCCACAGTTCCCTGAAGGGTAGCGGTCATAGTCTCTGTCAGGAGTCGTAAAGAACCTGTTGTTGTGGTCATAACTCTTGCTAAATTGAAGTGCATCTCCCGCCGTGCCCGAGTACCCACCCACAGACAGGCGGTAGCGCAGCCGCTCGCCAGCCACACGGAAGAGCCTGTACTCTGCGTACTCCATCATGCTGTTAAAGTCCTCCAGCTCCACCCTGAGGACCATCACCCTGTGTCGGGTCAGGAGGTGGATGTGGTCGTTGCCCAGCCAGAACTCCCCACCCATCAGGTCACCGAAGCCCGTCCGGTATTCAGCCCAGGTTCGGCCGAAGTTCACACTGCCATCCTGACGGAGCTGAATGATGGTCCACCCTCCGCCATGAGACTCCATGTCACAGAACACTGCAATGGTTCCGTTCTTAGGGTCAGGGGTCACTTTGTAGACTCCGCTGTTCCTCTCCCCCCTGGCCATGTGGTCAGAGCAGTCTCTGGGTGCCATGGTAACTGTTGAGTGGAAGGATAGTGGAATGAGAAAATTTAATTAGATTAGTCTGTAATCCTTTTTGAAGAAAAGGTGCATTGCAGCATAACATAAATATACATGTTCTTACTGTAGGAAACTAACCTGGTTAAATAAAGGTTATTGTTTATTTATTTTTTACATACAAAATACAATATTTCACACATTTGAAACTATACACACAAGATTAGAATATGATTGTATCATGCTGAAATAGCTAGGATTTATCGGTCACCATAAATTTGAAGTCTATGAATCGGGCGTGAATGTTAGAGACAATGTCCCTTAGACAAACGTACAGACTTCAGATAAATGTCAATTACAGTTGTTAAGTCTGTAAGAAATGTAGATGCTTGGCTTAAAGTGGCCTTGTATATTAATAAAAGCTAGCAATAGCTTTGTGTGACACTTAATTTGTTATTTGATAGATGTGCTACTCAGCAATAACAATGTGTGTTTAAACTGACTATGACCTCAAAGGATGCTCTGCACAGACACCCCTTGATCCCTATTTAAGCCACACACACTCACAGACACGCACGTGCTCACATATATAAATTCTTAATTTAACAGTAAATAACCACAAACCACACAACATCTGTTACAAAGATGATGATCTCAAACTTCCACCACATTATAATAGGCTCATTAAACATCACCTTAGGTTGCTTGGACTTCAAAGTTACAATCCTCATAATTTATAATGGAGATGATATCACACTGATATAAAGTTGATTGAGCAATATTTTTCTTTTTTCCAGAACAACATTATTCCACTCACAACAATATATTTTTCAGTCACAATTTCCACTGTTATCTGCCATAACCTAGGCTACACTGTCAATATAAGTTTATAATTTATCTTAACCACTGGGGATAGAAATAGGGTTGTTGTACTGATGTAGGATCTTAATTTGATCACCCTGTTGCAGGATAACTTTTCTGCAATGCAGGACATTTAAAACTTGTAGTGTATTTGAGGTTCAAAATTTCCACTTTGAAATTTCAGACTTGATTTTCCCTTATGAAAAATGTATTAACCTCTACAAAAATGTCCATTAATTATAATCCACATAATAATTAAAATGTCCTGTTCCTGCAGGATTACTTTTCTGCTGTAGCAAACTGGCTCAAATTAAGATCCTACATCTGTGTAGGCTGTATTCAGAATTCGTATCGCCATATTTGTATAGCACGATTCTATTAAGTTTACTAAAAAAATTGCATCTTAATAACAGTGAGTAGCCTTTCTCGATCTTGCTTTGAATAAGTCAACACATTTGGTAGCTATTTACTATAGCCTACCTGGTACCAAATAACACATCATATGGCTTGATTCAGTGAACCCTTAAGAAAGCTCAAACTAAACTTTATGTAATTATCAATTACAATGTAATTATCATAATTACATTTAAATAGCAGACAATAGCATGTAAAGTAAAATATAATTGATTTCTCTTACCTCCTGGTGAAATATGTGCAGGGCTTTGAGGCTGGTTTTCTGTCCTGTCAGTCTTGCTGCCTACCTGGTCCTTCTCTGTGAGCAGGTTTAGCCCAGGACGGACCTTTGGATGCCCTCCTCGAGAAACCCTTGTGTCATTCAGACTAGCGGATACCCGGCTGGTCTTCACACGCAGTTCTCTCACACTGGGGGTGGAAGACTCCGGTATGGGGCTGGGGGTAGGGGAGTCAGGGCTGGTAGTAGGGCTATGGTTAGAGTTGGTCAATAGGATGGGACTAGTAGTGGTAGTTTTGGGGCTAGGGCTTGTGCTAAATTGTTGGCTTGAGCTGGTATTTTTTAGGCTTGTGGCCGTTTGTGGGCTTGGGTCAGTCATGGTCCTTTGGATTGAGCTATTGGATGTTTTGGGGCTAGGTGTGGGGGAAGTGGTCCTTGGACCTTGGGTGGTGGTTTTGGGCCAAGGCTTTGGAGCAGGTCTGGGCTTCAGGACAGGCTTTGGTCTTGGTCCAGGTTTAGGTGTTAGGCCTGGAATAGGCCTTGGGTCTGGTTTGGGCTTTGTTCCAGGTTTAGGCTTAAGTTCAGTTTTAAGCTTTAGGCCAGGTCTGGTAGTCGTTGTGCTGGGTTCTAGGTTTTGGGCAGACTTTGTCTCAGGACTGATGCTGATACTGGTGGTCCTTGAACTGGAACTTATGGAGGTTGTGGTTGCTGGAGTTGGACTGATTGTGTTGCTGCTTGAGCTGGAAGAGCTGGTCCAATTGCTTGAACTGGTGGTCTTTGAGCTAGTGCTAGTGGTGGTTGTGGGTTCTGGAGTTGGGCTTCTGCTGATGCTGGTCCCGATGTTGAGCCTGAAGGTTCTGTAGTTCATCCTGGATCCTGGACTAGTGACCTTTAGGTCAGGATTAGTGGTGATTCTGGTTGCTGAAATTGAGCTCGGTGTTGTACTGCTTCTGCTTGAGCTGGAAGGGCCATTCCGGATGCTTGGACTGCTGGTCCTTGGGCCAGGGCTACTGGTGGTGGCTGTAGAGTGGCTCTGTGTGGTGTTGCTTAGACTAGTACTGGTCCTGGTGGCCTGTATAGTGGGGCTGGTAATGCTAATCCCAGGGCTGGAGCTGGTAGTCCTTAAGCTTGAACTGGTAGTATTGGAACTTGGGCTATGGATAGTGGTAAGAGATGGTTCAGGCCTGGAAGAAATAGTAGGATTGGGTGGTCTGGGCTTTAGGACAGGCTTTGGTTTTGGTCCGGGTTTGGGTCTTAGGCCTGGAATAGCCCTTCGGCCTGGTTTGGGATTTAGTTCAGTTTCAGGCCTTAGTTCATCTTTAGGCTTTAGGCTGGGTCTGGGCTGTAGGCCTGGTCTGGGCTGTGGCCCAGGTTTTGGCTTTGTGCTAAGTCTGGGGATCCACTGGGATCTGGTGATCGTTGGGCTGGGTCTAGGGTTTTGGTCAGTCTTTGTTGCATGGCCGGAGCTTGCACTGATGCTCAGTGAGCTAAGTCTAGTAAAGCTTGTTGTTGGGCTGGGGTTAGTGGCGGAGGAGCTGGCCTTGATAATTGGATTGGTGGTGGTTGTAGTTGCTGGAGTTGGACTACTGCTGGTTCTGGCCCCAGGGCTACGGCGAGTGGTGGTGGTTGAAGTTGAGCCAGGTTTGAGTGTGGTCTTTGGTCCTGAACTGGAGGAGCTAGTTGGGCTGGGTGGTCTGGGCTTTAAGACAGGTTTAAGCTTTGATCCAGGTTTAGGCTTTGGACTTGGAATAGGCCTTGGGCCTTGTTTGGGCTTCTGGTCTGGTTTGAGTTTTAGGCCGGGTTTGGGCTTAATGCTAAATCTGTGGGTTGTTATGCTGGGTTCAGGATGTTGGGCAGACTTTGACTCAGGACTGATGCTGGTACTGGTGGTTCTTGAGCTGAGGCTAGTGAAGCTGGTGCTTGAGCTGGGGCTAGTGGTGGTTTTGGTTGCTGGAGTTGGGCTTGAGCTGGAAGAGTCTGTCCGGATGATTGAACTGGTGATCTTTGGGCTAGAGCTGGTGGTGGTTGTGGTTGCTGGAGAGTGACTTGGTGTGGTTCTGCTAAGACTGCCTGAACTGAGGGTTGTAAAGCTAATCCCAAGGCTGGAGCTGGTAGTCCTGGAGTTTGGACTCGTGGTCTTTGGGCTGAGGCTAGTGGGGGTGTCTGGAGTTAAGCCAGGTCTTGGAGGGGTCTTTGAGATGGAGCTGGGGGAGCTAGTTGGATTGGGTGGTCTGGGCTTTAAGGCAGGTGTGAGCTTTGGTCCAGGTTTGGTTCTGGGTCCTGGAATAGGCCTTGTGCCTGGTTTGGGCTTTAAGCCAGGTCTGGGAGTCAACCAGGACCCAGTTCTGGAGCTTGGACGGGTGGTCCTTGAGCTAGGTCTAGCGTTGGTTGTAGTTCCTGGAGTGGGACTACTTCTACTGCTACTGCTGATGCTGACCCCAGGGCTGGAACTAGTGGTCCTGTAGCTTGGGTTAGCAATCTTTGTTGTGGTGCCTGGAGAGGGGCCTGATGCGGTGCTACTTTGGCTGAGGCTAGTGGTGGGAGTTATGTTACTGGTCTTAGGGTTGAGGCTGGTTGGGCTGGGTGGTCTGGGATTTAGGTTGGGCTTTGATTGTGGTCCAGGTTTAGGCCTTAGGCCTGGAATAGGCTTTGCAACTGGTTTGTTCTTTAGTTCAGGTTTAGGCTTCAGGCCAGGTTTGGGCTGTAGGTCAAGTCGGGATTGTAGGCCAGGTCTGGGCTTGATCCTAAGTCTGGTAGTCGTTGTGTTTGGTTCAGGATTTTGGACAGACATTGTCTCAGGGCTGGAGCTGGTACTGGTGGTCCTTGAGCTTAAGCGAGTGAAGCCGGTCCTTGGGCTGGGTCTAGTGGTGGTTGTTGTTGCTGGAGTTGAACTTGAGCTGGAAGAGCCGGCCCGGATGCTTGAACTGGTGGGTTTTGAGCTAAGGTTAGTGCTGGTGTCTGGAGTTGAGCCAGGTCTTGGAGTGGTTTCTGGGATGGAGCTGGAGGAACTAGTTGGGCTTGATGGTCTGGGCTTTAGGACACGCTTTGGGTTTGGTTCAGGTTTGAATCTGGGGCCTGGAATAGGCCTTGTGCCTGGTTTTGGCTTTAGGCCGGGTCTGGGGATCCACCAGGACCCATTTCTGGCATTTGGATTGGTGGTCCTTGTGCTAGGTCTAGTGGTGGTTGTAGTTCCTGGAGTTGGGTTACTGCTACTGCTGGACCAAGGGCTGGAACTAGTCGTCCTGTAGCTTGGGCTGGTAATCTTTGAACTGGGACTAGTGGTGGTGGCTGAAGAGTGTCCTGGTACGGTGCTGCTTTGGCTGGTACTTGTCTTAGTGGTCTGTAGACTGGGTCTTGTAAAGCTGATTCCAGGGCTAGGGCTAAGGCTAGTGGTGGTGGTTGAAGTTGAGACAGTTCTTGGATAGGTCTCTGGGCTAGAGCTAGATGAGCTGGTTGGGTTGAGTGGTCTGGGCTTTAGGACAGGCTTTAGCTTTGGTCCAGGTTTGGGTCTGGGGCCTGGAATGGTTTTTGTCGCCTGGTTTGGGCTTTAGGCCAGGTCTGGGCTGTAGGCCAGGTCTGGGCTTAATCCTAGGACTGGTAGTCATTGTGTTGGGTTCAGGGTTTTGGGCAGATGTTGTCTCAGGGCTGGAGCTGCTATGGGTGGTCCTTGAGCTGAAGCTAGTGAAGCTGGTCCTTGGGCTGCGGCTAGTGGTGGTTGTTGTTGCTGGAGTTGAACTTGAGCTGGAAGAGCTGGTCAGGATGCTTGAACTGGAAGTCTTTGGGCGAGGGCTAGTGATGGTTACTGAAGAATGTTCCGGTGTGGTGCTGTTTTTGCTGGTACTTGTCTTAGTGGTCTGTAGACTAGGTCTTGTAAAGCTGATGCCAGGGCTAAGGCTAGTGGTGGTGGTTGAAGTTGAGACAGTTCTTGGATAGGTCTCTGGGCTAGAGCTAGATGAGCTGGTTGGGTTGAGTGGTCTGGGCTTTAGGACAGGCTTTAGCTTTGGTCCAGGTTTGGGTCTAGGGCCTGGAATGGGTTTTTCGCCTGCTTTGGGCTTTAGGCCAGGTCTGGGATTAATCCTAGGTTTGGTAGTCATTGTGCTGGGTTCAGGGTTTTGGGCAGATGTCATCTCAGGGCTGGAGCTGGTACTGAAGGTCCTTGAGCTGAGGCTAGGGAAGCTGGTCCGTGGGCTGCTACTAGTGGTAGTTGTAGTTGCTGGAGTTGAACTTGATGGTGTGGGCTTTAGGACCGGCTTTGGTTTCAGTCCAGGTTTGGGTCTGGGGCCTGGAATAGGCTTTGCATCTGGTTGTAGCTTTAAGCTTGGTGTGGGGGTCCACAAGGACCCAATTCTGGTGCTTGAACTGGTGGTCCTTGGGCTAGACCTAGCGGTGGTTGAAGTTCCTGGAGTTGGGCCACTGCTACTGCTGGCCCCAGGGCTGGAACTAGTTGTCCTGTAGCTTGGGCTGGTAATCTTTGAGCTAGGACTGGTGCTGGTGGCTAAAGAGTGTCCCAGTGTGGTGCTACTTTGGCTGGTACTTGTCTTAGTGGTCTGTAGACTGGGTCTTGTAAAGCTGATTCCAGGACTAAGGCTAGTGGTGGTGGTTGAAGTTGAGCCAGATCTGGCAGTGGTCTTAGAGTTGAAGCTGGAGGAGCTGGTTGGGCTGGATGGTCTGGGCTTTAGAAGAGGCTTTTGTTTTGTTCCAGGTTTGGGTCTAGGCACTGGAATAGGTTTTGTGCCTGGTTTGGGCTTTAGGCCAGGCTTTAGCTTTGGTCCAGGTTTGGGTCTAGGGCCTGGAATGGGTTTTTCGCCTGCTTTGGGCTTTAGGCCAGGTCTGGGCTTAATCCTAGGTCTGGTAGTCATTGTGCTGGGTTCAGGGTTTTGGGCAGATGTCATCTCAGGGCTGGAGCTGGTACTGGTGCTCATTGAGCTGAGACTAGTGAAGCTGGTCTTTGGGCTGCGGTTAGTGGTGGTTGTTGTTGCTGGAGTTGAACTTGCGCTGGAAGAGCTGGTCGGGATGCTTGATCTGGAAGTCTTTGGGCGAGGGCTAGTGGTTGTTGCTGGAGAGTGTCTCTGCCTTGTGCTGTTAAGACTGCCTTGACTGGGGCTTGTATTACTAATCCCTGGGCTGGAACTGGTAGTACATGAGCCTGGACTGGTGGTATTTGGGCTGAGGTTTGTGCTGGTGTCTAGAGTTGAGCCATTTCTGAAAGTGGTCTCTGGGATGGCTATGGAAGAGCCAGTTGAGCTTGATGGTGTGGGCTTTAGGACAGGCTTTGATTTTGGTCCAGGTTTGGATCTGGGGCCTGGAATAGGCCTTGCACCTGGTTTTTGCTTTAGACTGGGTCTGGGGGTCCACCGGAACCCAATTATGGAGCTTGGACTGGTGGTCCTTGTGCTAGGTCTAGTGGTGGTTGTAGTTCCTGGAGTTGGGCTACTGCTATTGCTGGCCCCAGGGCTGGAACTAGTCTTCCTGTAGCTTGGGCTGGTAATCTTTGAGCTATGACTATTGGTGGTGGCTGAAGAGTGTCCCGGTGTGGTGCTGCTTTGGCTGGTACTTTTCTTAGTGGTCTGTAGACTGGGTCTTGTAAAGCTGATCCCAGGGCTAAGCCAAGTGGTGGTTGTTGAAGTTGAGATAGTTCTGTGATAGGTCTTTGGGCTAGAGCTGGAGGAGCTTGTTGGGTTGAGTGGTCTGGGCTTTAGAACAGGCTTTGGTTTTGGTCCAGGTTTGGGTCTGGGTCTGGGGCCTAGAATGGGTTTTGTGCCTGGTTTGGGCTTTAGGCCAGGTCTGGGCTTAATCCTAGGTCTGGTAGTCATTGTGTTGGGTTTTGGGTTTTGGGCAGATGTTGTCTCAGGGCTGGAGCTGGTACTGGTGGTCCTTGAGCTGAGGCTAGTGAAGCTGATCCTTGGGCTGCGGTTAGTGGTGGTTGTAGTTGCTGGAGTTGAACTTGAGCTGGAAGAGCTGGTTGGGATGCTTGAACTGGAAGTCTTTGGGCGAGGGCTAGTGTTGGTTGTTGGATAGTGTCCCGGTGTGGTGCTACTTTTGGTGGTACTTGTCTTAGTGGTCTGTAGACTGGGTCTTGTAAAGCTGATCCCAGGGCTAAGGCTTGTATTATTAATCATTGGACTGGAGCTGGTATTACAGGAGCCTGGACTGGTGGTATTTGGGCTGAGGCTTGTGCTGTTGTTGTGAGTTGAGCAAGGTTTTGGTCCAGGTTTGGTTCTGGGGCCTGGAATAGGCTTTGCTCCTAGTTTTGGCTTTAGGCCTGGTCTGGGGGTCCACAAAGACCCAATTCTGGCGCTTGGACTGGTGGTCCTTGGGCTAGATCTAGCGGTGGTTGAAGTTCCTGAAGTTGGGCTATTGCTACTGCTGGCCCCAGGGCTGGAACTAATAATTATGTAGCTTGGGCTGGTTATCTTTGAGCTAGGACTAGTTGTGGTGGCTGAAGAGTGTCCCAGCATGGTGCTGCTTTGGCTGGTACTTGTCTTAGTGGTCTGTAGACTGGGTCTTGTAAAGCTGATTACCAGGTCTAAGACCAGTGGTGGTGGTTGAAGTTGAGCCAGTTCTGGAAGCGGTTTTAGGATTGAAGCTGGAGGAGCTGGTTGGACTGAGTCGCCTGGGCTTTAGGACAGGTTTTGGTTTTGGTTCAGGTTTAGGTGTTAGGCCTGGGATAAGCTTTAGGCCTGGTTTAGGTTTTTGTTCATCTTTAGGTTTTACGCTGGGTCTGGGCTTTAGGCCTGGTCTGAGCTTTGGCCCAGATTTTGGTTTTGTGCTAGGCCTGGGATTCCTCCAGGTCCTGGTAATCGTTGGGCTGGATCCTGGGTTTTTGTCAGTCCTTGTCCGTGCAGGGCTGGAGCTGGTGGTGGTGGTCTGTGAGCTGAGGCTGGAGGAGCTAGTCGGGCTGGGTGGTCTGGGCTTAAGGCCGGGTCTGATGGCCTGGATAGTTTGGTTGGGCTTGTGCTTCTGGGCAGGTCTGTTTCTTGGGCTAATAATCCTTTTTGATGAGCTGATGGTTGTTTGGCTTGAGCTTGTTATGATACTTGGGGTGGTTCTGTCAGTCCTGTAGCTGGTGCCTGAACTTGGGGTTGTGATGGCGTCAGACCTGGTGGCTCCTTGGCGTGGTAAAGAGGAGATGGTCCTTTGACTGGAGCTTGTGTTAAGAATTGAGCTTTTCCTTGTGCTGGCGATGGAGGAAGATCTGGGGCTAGAGGTTGAGCTGGAGGAAGGACTTAGAATATATCCACTGGCCGTGTCTGAGCTAGATCCTGGGCTGGGATTGGTGGCAGGGCTTGAGATGGAGGTGGATGTTTGGTTTGGTCCTGATGAGTGAGGTCTGGGGATTGAGTCCTGTGTAAAACCAGTGCTTGGGCTAGGTGAGGCCGTGTCCTGATTATCACTTGACCCATCTGTCGTCACCGCTCCTATACTGTGTCTCTGCACTTTTTTGACTGTTTTTTCTACCTCTTTCTCCATCTTCTTTACTGTCTCCTCTCTCTGATTCTCTTTCTTTTTTTCTATCTGCCTGTGGCCCGGGGTTTGCTTCTCTCTCTCTTTCTCCTTCTGCCATTCTTTCTCTCCCTGGGTCTTTCTCTCATTCTTTCCTTGCCAAGGATGTTGACTCTGCCTCTCCTTCTCCTTCTCTTTCTTTTTCTCACTCTCCTTCTCTATCTTCCCCTCCCTTTCCCTCTCTATCTCCACCTGATGTTGTCCCTTCTCCTGGATCTGTTCCATATTTCCCCTCCCTCTCTCCTCCTCTTTCTCTCTACACTCCCTCTCCAGATCCTTCTCCCTTACCTTCTCCCCCTGACTCTCCCTCTCCTTCTCGGTTTCCACCTTTGTTTCCCGTAACCTCTCTCTTTCATTTTCCCTCCTCCTGTCTTTCTCTATCTCTCTCCCGCTCCCCCTTTCCCCTTCTAAAATGTTATCTTTCTCCATCTCTGTCTCCCTTTCCTTCTCTTCCTCTGTCTTGGTCTCGTCCTCTATTTTTCTTTCCCTCTCTATCCCCCATTCCCTGTTTCCCCCTCTTTCACTCTCCTTTTCCCTCTCCCACTCTCTCGCCCACTCGTTCTCCCGTTCTCTCTTTCTTATCTCTACAATATTGTTCTCAATCTCCCTGACCCTCTCCTCCACTCCCTCTCTCTCTTCCACAATTGTTATTTCCCTGTCTCTTGCCCCCTCTTCCTCCTTGTCCATCTCCATCTTCCTTTCTCTGTCTCCCTGTCTCTCCGTCTTCTCCCCCTCTATCTCCTTCTGCCTCTCTCCCAATCTCACCTTCTCCTTCTCTTCTTTCTCCCTCTCTCTGTCCCCCATTCTCTCTCTCTCCCTCTCCATCTGGCTCATCCTGCACTCCATGCAGGCTCTCTTCAGCTGCTCCACGGTGTCCTTTAGCCTCTGCACCTCCTTCACCGTCCTCTCCAACTCCCTGAGCTGCCGGGGCAGCATGACGTCCAGCGGTGGAAGGGTCACTCGGTAGGGGCATGCGTCCTCGTCCATCCCCTCTCCCCCACACTTCCCTGCAGGCTTTATAGTTACCAAGCAGCTCCCAGATTCTGTACCCCAATTGAAGTTTCCCTTGCTGAGGTTTGCATAGTTCCCAGGGGCCGTGGAGAAGGCCAGCAGGGTCCCATACACGCAGAGCACAGCTAACCTCATCGCTATCCTGAGTTATAAGAATGCTGAGAGAAGAGAGGGCGAGAGAGGGTGCATGAGGATGCCAAAGACCCACCTCGTGTGTGGGAAGCTGTGACAGAGAGAAGGAGGGAGGAAAGAAGGGGAAGAAGGAGGAGGGGGCTGAGGGACTTCTTGAGAGTGGTGTTTGCATGTGTGAGAATGATTTTGAAAAGAGAGAGAGAAAAGGAATGGGCATGAGGAATAAATAATTGGGCATCCACTTCAAGGGGGTATCCATGTCTGTGAGTGAGACAGGAAAGGATGAGACGAAGAAAGAGAGTGTGAGAGAGGTAAAGAAAGAGAGGGAGGGAAAGAGAGAGAGAGAGAGCGAGAGAGAGAGAGAGAGAGGAGAGAGAGAGAGAGAGAGAGAGAGAGAGAGAGAGAGAGATAATTGGGGGATTATAGCAGTCTTTGGTTGCTTCAGCATGTCACCAAAAGAGTTAACAGGTACAGAGCTAAATCGGCACGAAAAGCTTTAAAAGCGAAAGGCATTTATACAGCATATTGTAATCCTATTATTATTTTCCACAATGTCTTTAACCAAATCAAAACATCTAATGAGGACCATTCGCAACGCATTCTTACTCCATGCTGTAATGATAAAGCACACATTGTTTTCTCTTCTTGCATATCACTGCCGTGAATATGCATGTGTGTGACAGTTGCTTTGGCATCCATTTCCCCATGCTTCCTGTCAATAGGGCCGACACACATGCAAATGACAGATGAGACAGGTCCAGATATGCATTTGAAGCACAACGTCGTCGGGCCCTGGGCTGTGGCTAAATGTTTGTTGCATTACTGTTCAGACATATCTGATATCTCTCTGTCTCTGAGCCTCGGTTCTCTCTGGCTTGAGAGGAATAACAGACAATAATTTATCATCCCATATTTATCCAAGAGGGTTTGTGGTTGCTAAATACAGTGTATGGGTAATGAATTGTCTTAGTTAGAGATAAGGATTGTGGGCCAATTGCATGCATCCTATTCATGGAAAGAGCAGAGTTTTACTGCCTTTGGAATGTGCCACAGAATACTGTACTGGTATAAATCCACAATGCCTATGTAGTCGAAGAATGAAGTTGCCCCCGATACACATGACTAGACTCCCACCCCAATGGCTCAGGTTAGGATTTGGGTGAGTGAAAAAAAATGATCCTAGCTATGTGCCTAAGGGCAACTTCTACCCAGAGCGATGGCACTACACTGCACAGCCAATGTCCTTTTTTTAAATATGTTTTTTTCAGGCCATTAACACCCTCTGCTGTGTCCGTAGCCATGTATGATCGGGAGGTTTTTTTTCCTCCTCAGGGTGCCCTCTCTCTGAACACAGTGTTTTAAATTCCCACGGTAAGCTAGCTTGGCCTACTCTCTGTCCTGGGTTGTGTAAGCACTAAGCAGCACTATAGTTTTTCCTTAAACCGGCAAAAATAAACATCTGACTATCAGTGAGGCTTTGCTGCCTAGACTGGACTACTAGATCAGGCCTCCTGGCAGGCCTCTCCGTCACCATCCACTCTGGGCAGAGAAGTGACTGTCGTCGGGCCTGTATTTTTGTCTGTGTGTGACTGCCCTATACCTGACTGAGCTGGAGTCACATATCTGTCTGTGACGCCATGCCAGTTCCCTGTAATGACATACTTCCTGGTAGGCCACTCCAACTCTGGAGAGAGAAGTGGCAGTTATGTTGGCTCTATGGTTAAGTTTTCTTAGCAGACCAACCAGAGTCTCATCTGTCTGTGACGCTATCTCAGTCCCCTGTAATGCAGCACTTGGCCTGTGGGTCTGATAGCGCAAACACTGTAATATAATGCAGTATTAGGCATGACAAGTCACCTGTCATTGCCATGAGGTTATGTTTAGTATAGAAACTGTAGTTGAGACTGGTCAGCTGAGTTCTGGCTAGATAGGACAAGGACAGGAGCTTTTTTGTATTTGTATTTATTAGGATGTCCATCAGCAGCTACTCTTCCTGGGGTCCGAACGGGATACATGTTTGTTTTAATCCTAGATCATAAACAAAATAACACATCATAAACAAAACAACCCCATCATACAAGACATTATATTATTACTATATCCTCACACATCTACAACATAACATTTACAATACTACAATACAACAGTATTAAAGTATTACAGTGTGTGTGTGTGTGTGTGTAGAGTGCGTGTGTTAGAGTGTGTGTGTGTATGCGTGTGTGTGTTTGTGTGTGTCTCTTCACAGTCCACTTTGTGCCGTGAGGTGTTGTTTTATCTGTCAACTAATTACTACACACACACACACACACACACACACACACACTTAAACACTAATTAGCTCACATCTTCTCCAGCCTCAGCCAACCCTCTGTACATACTGTAACTGATAAATTCCTGTTCCTCAGTGTAAAAGTTATTCATTGGTCAGTCGCCTGATTTTTAAAAAAATGAGAAAGCGAGGACTTAGAGTCCCACACATCTGGGCTGGATTTCCTACACAGCGTCAACAACAGATAACGTCAGGTCATTTTTGTTTCCGTTTCAAGAGCCTGGACCTCATTAAGACGTTGTTTGAAAGTTCTCTCTAAGATTCCCTGAGTTGATGCAGGGTCTGGAAAACATGCTTTAAAAGGGGAGTGGGTTGTTTGGTTCTAACACCTCACACCCAGGGGATTCTGGGGGGCTTCAAGGTAGGACTGGACTTGACTGACTCTCAACCATCCACACAATCGTTATAAAACAAAGTTAATATTTTTCCCCTGAAGGAGAAGTTGTGGTGTACTGGAAAACAGTTTGTTAGTACCTTTATTTTTGCCAGCAAATTTACAACAGGACATTCTGGTTTTATAATCCTCATAGTGTCCTGAGGGACCACTATATTGTATAACTTGTATTGTTTAACTGTGAATTTCTCCATTTAGTTTCATAGTGCACTAATGGAGGAGTGGTGGAGGAGTGGAGTGGAAACCAGCAGTAAACAAGATAATGGAGATGTGTCAATTAATTTGACCCCTATGGTGCTTCTCAATAGTGTGACATCTTCCTCTCCTTGTCTCCTTATATTCATATATATCTTCATCTGCATAGATGTGAAAGAGCAGGACATGTGAAAGCAAAATCCTGGTTTATATGGCTTCCATATGTTTTTAGTTCAGAGTAGAAGAAGAGGAGAGGATGAGGAGGACACCTCAGACAATTTACTCCTGACATGTACAAATGACCTCGACTAACCGGTGCCCTCGCACATTGACTCGGTACCGGTACCCACTGTATATAGCCTCGCTACTGTTATTTTATTGTGCTACTTTTTATTTTATTTTTTACTTTATTTATTTATTTAGTAACAATTTTCTTAACTCTATTTATTTAACTGCATTGTTGGTTACAGGCTTGTAAGTAAGCAGTTCACGGTAAGGTCTACACCTGTTGTATTCGGCGCATGTGACAAATACAATTTGGTTTGATTTGATAGGTTTGTGGATGGAGAGTGTGTGTGAGAGTCGAAGGGTAGTTACTTACTCTTTCCAGTGAGTCATCACCATCTCCATGGTAACCCACTCATTCAGTGTCAGTTCTCTGTCCAATATACACTGAAGAACAATTTAGGGCCAGAGAAATAAACACACTCTGTTAGAGTAATCCACTGTCAGGATTTAACTGAATGCTGTGTTTACTCTATACTCTCCAATGTCTCTGATGGATTTTAACCCCTACTTGAATGTTGGATTAAAAGTAAAATGGTATAAAAAAAATGGATCCCTTCCCCCGAGGTGCACTAGAACAGAATGATTTAGATGAGGGTACGTTAGCATATTTTCACTGTGTTTATTTCTGATGTCCACATGCAGAGAAACTTCTCTTTTTCAGATAACCAGTGCATTACTGGAAACATGTTTGAACGCTGTTTACAGCACTGTTTATTCTGTAACTGAGACACAAGCTAGGTAATATAAATAATCAATAAATGTGAAAAGACACAGCTGAAGTTGAGCGTAAACAGGCCTATTATTATTATCAAGGTTGAATTGTGTAATCTAAGTCATGTTTTGAAATGACGTCACTCTCTTCGTGTATTTGGGTTTTAACTAGATCTATGAAAACAGCAGAGGGTTTTAAAGTGCACGTGATGTCCCTCTCTCAGTCTCTTAATTTGCCCTCTCGCTCTCTTTTCCCCTTTCCCTCTCTTCTCTCTTCCTCCCTCCCTCTAACTCTCTCTCATACTCTGGTCCGCACAGAACCAACTCCTACCCACTGGGGACAGACGTCAGTTCAAAGTCTAGTTTTGATTTACATTTGCTTGAGTTGTCAACTAACGTGAATTCAGCGTGAAAACAACTAAACAATGTCATTGGATGTAGGTTAAAAGTTGGGTGAAAAAAATACAAAATTCCCCTTGTATTACTTTTTTCAAATACAATCAGCTTCCACATTGATTCAATGTCATCACAGATGTTTTGGTTGAAATGACCGTTTTTGCCCAGTGGTTAGCCCCTACTTCATCACTGCTTGTGTTTGTGAGAGGTGTTGACATGTTGAAAGCACCGGGCTGTCTGTTTGAACGACCGGCACACAGCTCAGACACCCATGCATACCCCACAAGACATGCCACCAGAGGTCTCTTCACAGTCCCCAAGTCCAGAACAGACTATGTGAGGCGCACAGTACTACATAGAGCCATGACTACATGGAACTCTATTCCACATCAGGTAACTGATGCAAGCAGAAAAAATACACCTTATGGAACAGCGGGGACTGTAAAGCAACACAAACATAGGCACAGACACATGCATACACCCACATGATATAATACGCTCTATACACACACGTACGCATGGATTTTGTGTTATAGATATGTGGTAGTGGAGTAGGGCCTTGAAGGCACACAGTGTGCTGTGAAATCTGTTATGAATGTATTGTAATGTTTTTTAAATGTATAACTGCCTTAATTTTGCTGGACCCCAGGAAGAGTAGCTGCTGCCTTGGCAGCAGCTAATGGGGATCCATAATAAATACAAATACAAATACCCCAGCACTTATAAAGATCAAAAAGGATTGGGTAGATTTAAGCAATATGGAGAGAGAAAAATCCATCAGCCTATTATTCAATCAAATGTATTTTATAAAGCCCTTTTTACATCAGCAGTTGTCACAAAGTGCTTTACAGATACCCCGCCTAAAACCCCAAAGAGCAAGCAATGCAGAGGCAGAAGCACAGTGGCTAGGAAACCACATTGCTAATGCCTATCCAATTCTGTAGGATCTATATGAAGTGAAGTGCTAGGAGTAGAGACCTCTCCCCCTCTATCGTCACACCCCTCCCCCCACTCTCTCCCTCAACAAGAAAACATATGTGGACGTCATTGTTCAGTGAGTCGTTCCTCTGCTGCCACCGTGTGGTATGTTTTAATATTGCAGCATGGCAGTGATCTCATCCCATTCTTATTGCCTCAAATTGCATAAGGTCGGTGTAGTGAGAGTACACCGAGTACACAAGCCAGGGAAAACCAAACAGTCAAACGTGGATTAATAACTCTTTACGGGAAAGACGCTTGAATAGAATATTGTTTATCGTCCAATGTCTTTCATTATGTCACTATGTTAATTTTATCTCTCATATCACACTGAGAGATGTTAAATCAAATCAAATTGTATTGGTCACATACACATGTTCAGATGTTATTGCGGGTGTAGCGAAATGCTTGTGTTTCTAGCTCCGACAGTGCAGTATATCTAACAAGTAATATCTAACAATTTCACAACATATCCCAATACACACAAATCTAAGTAAAGCAATGGAATTAAGAATATATAAATAAATATATGGACGAGCAATGTCAGAGCGGGAAAGACTAAGATACAGTAGAATAGTATAGAATACAGTATACACATTTGAGATGATGCAAGATATGTACACATTATTAAAGTGACTAGTGTTCCATTTATTGATTTTGTACATTTGCCCACTGACAAAGAAATGATCAGTCTATCATTTTAATGGTAGGTTTATTGAACAGTGAGAGACAGAATAACAACAACAAAAATCCAGAAAAACACATGTCAAAAATGTTAGAAATTGATTTGCATTTTAATGAGGGAAATAAGTATTTGACCCCCTCTCAATCAGAAAGAATTCTGGCTCCCAGGTGTCTTCTATACAGGTAACGAGCTGAGATTAGGAGCACACTCAAAGGGAGTGCTCCTAATCTCAGTTTGTTACCTGTATAAAAGACACCTGTCCACAGAAGCAATCAATCAATCAGATTCCAAACTCTCCACCATGGCCAAGACCAAAGAGCTCTCCAAGGATGTCAGGGACAAGATTGTAGACCTACACAAGGCTGGAATGGGCTACAAGACCATTGCCAAGCAGCTTGGTGAGAAGGTGACAACAGTTGGTGCGATTATTCGCAAATGGAAGAAACACAAAATAACTGTCAATCTCCCTCGGCCTGGAGCTCCATGCAAGATCTCACCTCTAGGAGTTGCAATGATCATGAGAATGGTGAGGAATCAGCCCAGAACTACACAGGAGGATCTTGTCAATGATCTCAAGGCACCTGGGACCATAGTCACCAAGAAAACAATTGGTAACACACTACGCCGTGAAGGACTGAAATCCTGCAGCGCCCGCAAGGTCCCCCTGCTCAAGAAAGCACATATACATGCCCGTCTGAAGTTTTCAATGAACATCTAAACGATTCAGAGAACTGGGTGAAAGTGTTGTGGTCAGAGACCAAAATGGAGCTCTTTGGCATCAACTCAACTCGCCGTGTTTGGAGGAGGAGGAATGCTGCCTATGACCCCAAGAACACCATCCCCACCGTCAAACATGGAGGTGGAAACATTATGCTTTGGGGGTGTTTTTCTGCTAAGGGGACAGGACAACTTCACCGCATCAAAGGGACGATGGACGGGGCCATGTACCGTCAAATCTTGGGTGAGAACCTCCTTCCCTCAGCCAGGCCATTGAAAATGGGTCGTGGATGGGTATTCCAGCATGACAATGACCCAAAACACACGGCCAAGGCAACAAAGGAGTGGCTCAAGAATAAGCACATTAAGGTCCTGGAGTGGCCTAGCCAGTCTCCAGACCTTAATCCCATAGAAAATCTGTGGAGGGAGCTGAAGGTTCGAGTTGCCAAACGTCAGCCTCGAAACCTTAATGACTTGGAGAAGATCTGCAAAGAGGAGTGGGACAAAATCCCTCCTGAGATGTGTGCAAACCTGGTGGCCAACTACAAGCAATGTCTGACCTCTGTGATTGCCAACAAGGGTTTTGCCACCAAGTCATGTTTTGCAGAGAGGTCAAATACTTATTTCCCTCATTGAAATGCAAATCAATGTATAACATTTTTGACATGCGTTTTTCTGGATTTTTGTTGTTGTTATTCTGTCTCTCACTGTTCAAATAAACCTACCATTAAAATTATAGACTGATCATTTCTTTGTCAGTGGGCAAACGTACAAAATCAGCAGGGGATCAAATACTTTTTTCCCTCACTGTATATAGGCAGCAGCCTCTAATGTGCTAGTGAAGGCTATTTAACAGTCAGATGGCCTTGAGATAGAAGCTGTTTTTTAGTCTCTCGGTCCCAGCTTTGATGCACCTGTACTGACCTCCCCTTCTGGATGATAGCGGGGTGAACAGGCAGTGGCTCGGGTGGTTGTTGATCTTTTTGGCCATCGGGTGCTGTAGTTGTCCTGGAGGGCTGGTAGTTTACCCCTGGTGATGCGGTGGGCTGACCGTTCCACCCTCTGGAGAGCCCTGTGGTTGCGGGCAGTGCAGTTGCCGTATCAGGCGGTGATACAGCCCCACATGATGCTCTCAATTGTGCATCTGTAAAGGTTTGTGAGGGTTTTAGGTGCCAAGACAAATTTATTCAGCCTCCTGAGGTTGAAGAGGCGCTGTTGCGCCTTCTTCACCACATGGGTGGACCATTTCTGTTTGTCAGTGATGTGTACGCCGAGGAACTTGAAGCTTTTACCTTCTCCACTGTGGTCCCGTCAATGTGGATAGGGGATTGCTCCCTCTGCTGTTTCCTGAAGTCCACGATCACTTCCTTTGTTTTGTTGACGTTGAGTGAGAGGTTATTTTCCTGCCACCACACTCCCAGAGCCTTCACCTCCTCCCTGTAGGCTGTCTCATCATTGTTGGTAATCAAGCCTACTACTGTTGTGTCCTCTGCAAACTTGATGATTGAGTTGGAGGCGTGCTTGGCCACGCAGTCATGGGTGAACAGGGAGTACAGGAGGGGGCTGAGCACGCACCCTTGTGGGGCCCCAGTGTTGAGGATCAGCGAAGTGGAGGTGTTGTTTCCTACCTTCACCACCTGGCGGTGGCCCGCCATGAAGTCCAGTACCCAGTTGCACAGGGCGGGGTTCAGACCCAGAGCCTCTACCTTGATGAGCTTGGAGGGTACTATGGTGTTGAATGCTGAGCTATAGTCAATGAACAGCATTCTTACATAGGTATTCCTCTTGTCCAGATGGGATAGGGCAGTGTGCAGTGTGATGGCATCGTCTGTGGATCTATTGGGGCAGTAAGCAAATTGAAGTGGGTCTAGGGTGGCAGGTAAGGTGGAGGTGATATGATCATTGACTAGCACTTCACGATGACAGAAGTGAGTGCTACTGGGCGATAGTAATTTAGTTCAGTTACCTTTGCTTTCTTGGGTACAGGGACAATGGTGGCCATCTTTAAGCACGTGGGGACAGCAGACTGGGATAGGGAGGGATTGAATATGTCCGTAAACACACCAGCCAGCTGGTCTGAGCATGCTCTCAGGACGCGGCTAGGGATGCCATCTGGTCCGGCAGTCTTGGGACGTCGGTGTCCGCGACGTGGCTGGTTTTCATTTGTAGTCCGTGATTGTCTGTAGACCCTGCCACATATGTCTCGTTGAATTGCGAGAATTGTTAGTGAGAGATATCAATATTGTACTATATATATATGCATTGTAACAGTGTAGCTCACGTACAGGGTTCATTGTATAACATTGTATCAATGACAGCTAGATTTTCCCGCTTGCAAGAACATGTAAACAAGTGTTTACTGTTCTTCCCCCCACCCTCTTGTCTTCTGACGTACTACACAGGGGCCCGCCCCTTCCCTGTCTCTCACGCAGCAGTTACGTATGAGCGTAAAAAATAGAAACTTCCAAGATGGCTGAGTCCGTAGGATCCATGCATTTAGCAGCTAATGGCAAAATAAATCCCCCAAAACCCTTGGTACCCAAAATACCGCCTGAGAGTCGACCACAGTCTTCCAACGATGTCTTCCCCCCACCGCCCAAGAAAGTCAGAATCGAGGAGAAAAGCTTGAAGCAAAAGAAATTGAACGGGGACGTAGTGTGCGCAGGGGAAAAACACAACGGGAAGCAGAGTTATGGAAGCCCAGCGAAATGGAGTTTCGGCCCGGCCAAGCCGAGCAACTCCACCTCGCCAGCTCCCGCACGAAAGATCTTCAAGATCAGCAACTTTCTTGCCTCTCCTTCGAAAGTGAAGAAACCGAAGGAGAAACGTCACAAGGAAAAAGAGAAGAGCGCTAAAACGCAGAGTTCACTCCTGGAGAAAGTGAGCCCTGCGAGTTGCCATACAAAGACGGAGAATGGTGATGTGAAGATGTTACGAGGTCAGTCTTCTGAATAACGGAATTCATGTAAAAAGTCATGAAAAACTAGGTTTTAAATTACTAAGGCCAGCTGATAACATTAGTTACACAGGGCTACTGTACAGTAGGCCTACATAATGCCACTAGCCCCAGTTGTTTATATTACTACTGACTAATAGGCCTACAGTTGAGATGAAGTTGAACTTGAATGACGTGTTGATTGATCACTATCAATATGTTTGTTACTACATCATCTGTATTCAATTTCCATATTTAAGATCACACTGGCAAAGACGAGGAGAGAGAGAAGAAAAGGGAGAACGATAAAGAGAGGGACAGGGAGAAGAAGAACCACCAAGGGATGGTTGTGAATGATGATGGGAGGGAGAATGGCGAGGTGAAAACGCCACTGAAAGGTATGGGTGAGATAAAAGCTCTTCTTCATGGTGATTGCTTGGAGATTGATGCCATGTTTGTCATTCCCATGTCAGAGGTGTTCACACTGTTTTAGCTTCCCTCTCATAATAAATTGAGTCAATCTGTGAAGTAGCTAGGTAATTTACCAGGACTAGTGCCTTCAAGATGTATGCACATCTTATTTACACCTGTTGGCTTACATATCTTCTCTTCCTTGCAGAGTCAACAGAAAAGCCAAAATTCAACTCGGAGGACAAGCTCCACTTGAAAAAGCTAAAGAAGAAGAAGAAAAAGAAGCACAAAGACGGCGAGAGGGAAAGACGCAGCCGACCCAAGATGTACCACCGCTCCAGTCAGACTGTGTGTTCTGGTGTATTTGTGGACCTGCCGGACCTGCTCAACACACCAGACAGAAGTAACAACAGCACCAATAACAGTTTCTTCCAAACCTTCCCAAGTCCCCATCAGGATCCTTCCAGCACCACCACTAGTACTTCCGTGTCCACCTCTACGGCCTCCATGGTCAGGGAGAGGTTGGGGTACGGCTCCCCCCTCCACAGTGCCCCGTCCCTTGGCATGGCGGGGCTGGAGTTTGGCAGTCTGATCCACGTGGAACAGCAGGCCAACGGCGGGGCGTTGGTGGCCCATGCCTACACCCAGCAGCTGGCCTGTCTCTCCCCGGCTGAGATGCAGCGCTTCGCCCAGGAGTTTGTCACCCTCTCATTCAGCGAGGACCAAGCCGACGCGGCCCATTACGTCATGGGCATCATCCATGGAGCGGCCTCCTACCTACCAGACTTCCTGGACTACTTCTCCTACAAGTTCCCCAATGCGCCCGTCAAGATGGAAGTGCTAGGGAAGAAGGATATAGAGACCACCACCATGGCCAACTTCCACACTCAGGTCAGTGGATGGATGAGAGAGAATGCTTTATAATGCTGGTATAATGCTGTTGTGCTTTATAAGCATCCCAAAGAATCACCACCTCAGTACCAGCCACTTCCACACACTGGTGCTGATGTTGTGTATGTGTGACTTTGAAGTGCATGTTGTTTTTGTAGCCCGGCGTCTTCACGGGACTAGAATCTGTAGCCTCTCCATCTGGGCCATACCCATTTTGAGAAGGGACTCTTTGTCTGTTCATTTTGTTTACATTTAGGCTTTGTTATCTTTGCTCCAAAGTCGTTGGTGAATCTTTGACGCTCCATATGTTAGGTTATTGCCTGGAGGAGGGTTTGAACCAGCCTAAAATGACAAAACATATCAATCCCACCTCATTGATTTCCCACTGCGCCAAGGATATCGCTCATCAGTCGAGGTTGCGCAACCAAGAATGAATCATTTTAGCGAATTTGGGGGGCATTTTCTACCAAAAATGAACATACTCAATGACACCAACCCTGTAGCGAATCCCAACACGGCTGCTGTATTTACCCTAGAATTTGTTTTTTTATGCTTTATTTTCCTTACAGTAGAAAAGCAATGGGGTTCTTCCGACAATCCTCGCTCCTCTTACCCCGTAAATCTGTCATCATCTATAACTTTTGAATATGAAAACCCGTCAGGATTCGAACTTGTAGAAGGGTAAATAAATGTGTTAAGCCTAAACACCACAGGAGTTCCATATTGTTTATCCCAATTAAGAGAAAGGACTTACTCTATAAAGTGAATTAAGAGGAAGGGGAGAACACTGACTAATACATCAAATCACATTTTATTGGTCGCATACACATATTTAGCAGATGTTATTGCGGGTGTAGCGAAATGCTTGTGTTCCTAGCTCCAACAGTGTAGTAATCTCTAACAATTCACAACAGTACACACATCTAAAAGCAAAAGAATGGAATTAATAAATATATAAATATGAGGACGAGCAATGTCTGAGTCCGGTGTATAAATATGTGTGTGTGATGGGATGTATAGACAGTATGTGGATAGAATATTTAGTGTATATATGTAGAATACGTAGGATAGAATAATATATATATATATATACATTTACATTTTAGTCATTTAGCAGACGCTCTTATCCAGAGCGACTTACAGTTAGTGCATACATTTTTTTTATTTTATACTGGCCCCCCGTGGGAAACGAACCCACAACCCTGGCTTTGCAAACGCCATGCTCTACCAACTGAGCTACATCCCTGCCGGCCATTCCCTCCCCTACCCTGGGCCAATTGTGCGCCACCCCATGGGTCTCCCGGTCGCGGCCAGCTACGACAGAGCCTGGATTCGAACCAGGATCTCTAGTGGCACAGCTAGCACTGCGATGCAGTGCCTTAGACCACTGCGCCACTCGGGAGACTATACAGCAATGGTTTAATAGGATGGCATTGACTAGAATACAGTATATACATATGAAATGAGTAAAACGGTATGTAAACTCTTTATTAAAGTGACCAGTGATTCCATGTCTATGTACATAGGGCAGCAGCCTCTAAGGTGCGGGGTTGAGTAACCGGGTGGTAGCCGGCTAGTGACAGTGACTAAGTTCAGGGCAGGGTACTGGGTGGAGGCCGACCAGTGATGGCTGTTTAACAGTTCATGGCCTTGAGATAGAAGCTGTTTTTCAGTCTCTCGGTCCCAGCTTTGATGCACCTGTACTGACCTCTCCTTCTGGATGATAGCGGGGTGAACAGGCCGTGGCTCGGATGGTTGATGTCGTTGATGATCCTTTTGGCCTTCCTGTGACATCGGGTGCTGTAGGTGTCCTGGAGGGCAGGCAGTGTGCCCCCCCCCCGGTGATGCGTTTATTCGTCATATACACAGGATACAGCGGGGTGTAAACGGTGCAATGAAATCCTTACTTGCAAGCTACCTCTCAACATAGCCCTTGATCATTCATGACTCTCAGTTCCATTACATTACACACGAGTAATTGGACAAAGGTGTCTTCTGTACGGGGGAGTTTTGTTAAGAGCCCCATCACTCGATCTGAACATCAACACACATCGCTTGCGATCCGGTTTTCGAAGCATAAGGACCTTATCTTCCATACCAGCGAGAAATAATTTTCTAAAAACTAAAGGTTAAATTGATATACACCTTAATATGGTTAGGGTTAGTGTTACCACAGGCCATATCTCCATGTTACAGCATGTGTTGACAGATATCAGGCGTAAGGCAGAGTCGACTACCTGTGCTAATTAGCTATCTACGTCTTTTAACATGCGTGTGCAAACAGAAGACTGATGCCACAAACGTGTTGTCACTGAAAAATACTGTCGGCTGCAACTGTGTTAAAACCGGTCAAAACAGTACGTTTTGTATTTTGCATTTGTGAAATTATTTTGATGTGATATGAAAGTAGAGGGATTTATGTTTCTAGAACCGTACCGCAATTGAGAATCGATTCACATTTAGATGGAATATTTGGCTGTTTTGGCTTCCAGTGCCAATTGGCCTCTAAACAGAACATGTAAGGTCCTTGGACTATAAGGAGTAACGTTAAGCTCCTTTAGTCCATTGTTGGGCTACCTCTCAACAGTGCAGTGAAATGTCAAAAACAAAAGTAAGAAAGATAACACAATAAGGCAAGTGGTAAAATATTAAAAGGTATAAAAGTAGGAGTAAAACTAGCAGTTTTATGTAATATGAAATGTGCTATGTCAACAAGTAGATAAAGTGAGCAGTACAAATAAATAATAGCAGCAGTGATGTGAGTGTGCGTGCGTTATGGTGTGCATGCGTGTGTAAGGGCTGTAACTTTTGTGGAGCGATAGGTAACAACGCTTTGTGCGTGTCAAGTTGTCGATGTGTTCAGAGGGTCCCTGGTTTGAGCCTAGGTTGGTACAAGGAGAGGGATGGAAGCAGTACTGTTACAGAGAGTCAGTGGAAATGGTCTCTTAAGGTGCAGGTGAACAGCAGGTTGTGCAGGTGGACAGCTAAGCTTTTTAACAGTCTTATGGCCTGGTGGTGGATGTTCCGGTACTGTCTGCCAGACAGAAGCGAAGAGAACAGGCCGTGGCTGAAGTCCTTGGTGATCTTCCTGGGGACGGTGCAGCTGCCTTTACAGGTGGTGATGCAGCCAGACAGGATTCTCTCAATCGTGCATCTGTAGAAGCTGGTGTCTTTCAGGACAAGGCTCCCATCTAGCAACTTGCTTTGGAAATAAGGGGGAAAGTTTGTATTGATGAGTATAAGATGTAAAGTGTCATCACAGTGAGCAGATTAGGTGTATAGATGGAACATTTAAATGAATAGTGTCTAACCTTTACCTAACATCTCAACTTGCTCAGCACATTAGAACACACACACATACATATAAACATGTTTATTAAATATCAACAGCTAGCTAGCCGCATAATTAATTTAAGTAATTTCAAACTATCTGAAGTTAACTAGCTGGGCAACAAAACTTAGGCCTACTATAAAATCACACTTTAGGATTTCAGCCTAGTATGGAAATATTGGGGCTGACATGATGAGACAAACTATTTTGACAACCTGTCAAAACATGCAGCTAGCTACTGTTACTGTAAGTACTGTAGCTAGCTAGCTAAGTTGTTAGCCATGTACTAATGTGATGTAGCCTAATGCACTGATCTTACCTGCTAGTGATAGATATTCCAATCGAAACAGCAGGCAACTTCTGATTTCAGAAAAAGATAACATAAGCCGCGAAAGTTTTTAAACTTTACTGTTGGATGAAATGTTTATGGTAGAGTCAGAGAGGAGAGATGCTCCTCTTCTAGTTCCGGACACTTCCATAGCTCTGTTCTCATTGGTCAATTATTGGTAACTTCCTGGTTGCGCTGGCGTCTTGGATTGGTTGGCGAGTGCAATTTTTGGTTACTTCTTGGTTGTAGACGGCGATATGATTGGTTGTCACAACCAGAAATGTCCTTGACTCACTGTTGTCAGGGGTCCTCACTAGATGGATATTAAATACATGATTGGAGATGGAACATCTCAAGGATGACCCGAGCAGCTCATTCTCTTCTCTCCTCTGTTTGTGAAAGCTAGGCTATGCGTGACTTGTTGACTCTGCACTAGGTTTTGCTAGTGTGACTCCTTGACTCTTCTCTGAGTGTTTGTTTCCTTTCAGAATCTGCATTTATATTTCCCCTCGACCAGGAACTCTTACTCCTGTATCCTAGCAACCCTGTTTCCTTCCTCCCTGCAGATCGTTTGAAAGGTCTACTGCTCTCTCTGAGACGCCACGTGCTTGAACATTCAACAACGCTGAAGATGACAGGCAGTCACTTACTACTTGACTTGATTCCATCATGTGAACAAACACTGAAGGGTGTTGAAGGAATATTAGTGAGCTTCTGTTGCCATTAGTAACTGTGTGTATTGGGCCATGAGACAGACACCTGCTACTGCTAGATGTTGCTGATATTAATGGATTCTTGATGGATAGATAGTCAGCTTGTCTTGCGATATAATGTGTTATGGTGTTAACAGGCAATTTCTGCATGATGGGAAGAAGATGCTGAATCAGCCGAGTGACTGTATTTAGATTAAACTGCATCTTGTCAAAATGACAGTAACATTTCTCAACATCATGTAAAATAAAAGTTGAAAAATGGAGTTGGTTGAATGTTTGTCTTCTTTGTCTGCCACCTGTCTGTTGGTAGATGTCTTTCTAGTCTTATTTACTATTTCAGCAGACGTGTATCTGATGCTAGTGTCTCTCTTGACTCCTACTTCCAGAGCACTAACCTGTCCATCATCTGTCCATTCACATCTCCCATTCTAACCTGTCTCCCCCCTGTGTCTCTGCCCCCAGGTGAAGCGTACCTACTCCCAGGGGACGTACCGTGCAGGGGCCATGCGGCAGGTCAGCCTGGTGGGGGCCGTGGACGAGGAGGTGGGAGACTACTTTCCCGAGTTCATCAACATGCTGGAGGAATCTCCCTTCCTTGAGGTGGGTGTAGAGTATAGGTCTTCTCGGATCCCAAAGTTGAGATCCGAACCGAATTGGATCCGTTAAATTCCTACCCGACCCCGACAGGATCCGGTAATAAAAAATACATCATTTATATCCGATTTGGATCCGAGGTGGACCAGATCAGACCCAAAACATGTCAGAGCTGAGAGAGAATCAGATCCAAATTGGGTCGGGTCTGTATCCGACCAAAATGGCTCCTAAATATTTTTTTTAAATGCAGCTTTTTTGCCTCGCAAGACAGTGAAATTGTTTTGACTTGTCTGGCAGTGAACTTTAACCTGCATTTTCAGTTGTATCTAAAATAATTGATTTGTAGTCTACTGCTTAGTATTTTCATAACATCCCTATAGTTAGATGGAGAACATTATGAAGTTTTCAGAAAGGTTTTCCTTATTTCTGTTGATCAAATATTTAAGTAGGATAAATGTTTTATGTGATGATCATCACGTGCCAGAATGAGAGCAGCAAATAGTTCACTTTTGTCTGTAACCTAATAATATTCTATATGCCTATTCTTTTACTGAGCAACATTACAATCTAGCCTATTTAACTGTTTTGATCAACATTGATTTAGACTAAAGGTAGGTTATAGTCTGTTTGACCAGCAAGCTTGAAATTCAAAATCAATTTTGAATAAGCTACGGAAGTATGGCGTTTCCCATGTCATTTCCAACTATTTAGATTTGTAGGTCTAGATTCGTTTTCCCGCTATGACAACGCTATAATTGGATGTAGAATATTTAGAGTTTTTCAGAGATCTGTTCATTTGTTTCTGTTGACCACATTTTTAGATTAAGATTTTTGTGGTGATTTTAGGACGGTGAAAACACATTATGTGGTGAGTGCTGTGTGTTAGACATATTTTGGTAGGCTATTTCTATAACTCAGGTCTAATTCATTGTAATAAGCTAATATTTTTTGTTCTACATGAAATGTAGATATATCCTTTAGGCCTACAGAATTAGCCTATACAGCCTGAGATTGGTTTGGATGCGGGTTTGATAGAAGTGTAATCCACACCACCGCTTTGTAGGCCTCCCGTCCAGAGAGCTAATCAAATATTGGATAGAGAAGTTGTCTTGATATTTCTTATACCGATCCATGCCTTACACAATCAATAAATCGGCAGCCTTTCAACATTAGGCTACAATACTTTCTGCAGATAAGCCTATGGCTATCAGTCTACCGCACACACACACAGCCTGCACACACAACATGAGCAAATGAACTTGGTCAAACATTTTTTTTATTAAAGACTATCGGAAAGCATTTGTCGGTAACTGCATTATAGTATAACTCCTTTATTTTGAACAAAACCACGAAACTAGTGTATAAATTGAGTGAGTCATCTTTATGCTGACAAATATCACACTTGACTCGAGTCATTCAACATTAGTTGACAAACTGTTATTTTAAACAAAAATACCCCCCCAAAATAGCAAAATAGCCTATAAATAGGCCACGCCTAAACTAATAAATTAGATAGCATAAATAAACAAGTAAATTGAATAAATAAAACTATTAAATTAAATAGCTCAGGTCTTGGAAATCTGGGCTACTTTTTTCCCCCTCTGTATGTGCATAAATTAGGTGAATACAAACAATTTGCCTGTCGGGTTTTTCCTTCCTGTGCTCTTTCATTCTGTTTCTTCTTCACATCTGCAAATAATGACTCAACGTTTCAGAAATTAACTTTATATAATCTAGGGGCGATCACTCTTTCCCACTGCGTCCTCCTGCTCTCCCACAACAAGTAGCCTGTTTTACCCCGCGTCACGTGGCTCATTTTCTTAAAGCCAATATGCCGTTTTGACACAATGATATTGACACATTGGGTTTGATGAAAGGGGACCCCCTGACAGTCATTTAAGATAATAAAATGTAAATGTGTGACATTTGTGTTTGTTGTTTAGGAACTAAACTCTTCAAATATAATTTAGGATCCGGTCGGTATTTCACATATTTTCATACAGATCCGAGGTCCATGGCCACCGAGCGGGATCCGACCTGGGATCTGAGGGTTAACTACAAAATGTGGGATCCGACCCGGTCGGATCCCGGGTAACCGGGTTCGTGTAGATTCGTGAAGACCTCTAGTGTAGAGTGTGTGTGTGTGTGTGTCTGTGTGAGTGTTTTAGCGTAATTTCATCAGCACTGTGCTATTCTACTTTTGTTTATTTTCACATAAATGAAACTTTAACAACAGACATAAATATATACAAGTAAATGAGCTGATGTGTAATTGTGTGTGGTCCCAGCGTACCCTGCCCTGGGGCACGTTCTCCAGCCTGCGCCTGCGGAGCCCCACAGAGAGTGACGACGGGCCCATCATGTGGGTCAGACCAGGGGAACAGATGATCCCTGTGGCTGACATGCCCAAGTCCCCCTACAAGAGAAAGAGGTGCGTTGTTTTGTTTGGCATGGTAGTTTGTCCACCGTAGTGAAAAGATTGCGTTAGGTCTAGGCTTGGTAGGGACAAGAACCAAGGCATGGTAGCAAGCCACCAACATGACATTAGACCTAATAGCTGACAACAATGAAGTAGTCTGAGGTATTTTAGGATTTTGTATCCTTATGCCACATCCTATGGCATTTTGTTGCTACTTTTAAGGTAAATTTACATTTCCCCCTGTTCCAGGTCGACCAATGAGATCAAGAACCTGCAGTACCTGCCGCGGGCTAGCGAGCCCAGGGAGATGCTGTTTGAGGACAGGACCAGAGCCCACGCCGACCACATCGGACAGGGCTTCGAGAGACAGACCACCGCAGCCGTGGGGGTGCTCAAGGCCGTGCGCTGCGGAGAGGGGTGGGTACACACCTGGCCTCTGTACCCCTGACCTAGTATACACACACACACCCCTTCCATATCTGTACACACCTGAGCTCCTCTTGCTGACAGTGTCTCTATCCCCCGTCTGTCCCTGTAGTGATGCTCCTGCCAGGATAACCAAAGATGTGGTGTGTTTCCACGCTGGAGATTTCCCTGAAGTGGTCCAGAGGCTCCAGCTAGACCTGTACGAACCACCCCTCTCACAGGTACGTCTGAGATCAATGGATTCTACATGGACCATTAGAACAGATTATTAACCAATGACTGTGTGTCAATGGTGGCTTTAACCAACATAATAATCTCCTTTCCTTCCCTCCTCCCTTTCTGCTCTCTTCTCTTCCCCCCCTTCCCTCCCATTCTCCTCCTTCCACTCTCCCCCTCTCCCTCCGTAGTGTGTGCAGTGGATAGACGATGCCAAGCTGAACCAGCTGAGGAGAGAGGGCATCCGCTACGCCCGTATCCAGCTCTACCATGACGACATCTACTTCATCCCCAGGGGAGTGGTGCATCAGTTCAAGACTGTGTCTGCTGTCTGCAGCCTGGCCTGGCACATCCGCCTCAGACAATACCACCTGGACCAAGAGAGGGAGGAAGAGAGCTGTACTTCTACACAGGCAGCAGGTCAAGTCATAGAGGAAGAAACGGAGGAAAGTGAGGAGGAGGGAGGGAAAGAGGACACTCCTACGCAGACGCAGGTAAAGACTGAGGAAAAGGAGGAGGCAGGGGGAAGGACGCCTGTACATGAGCCGCCACCAGTTTGCAAGGAGGAAGACGACACGGAGGAGGAGGGAGGGGAGAGAGGAGGCTGCACATCTACACTGGCATTCCCTTTGGTCAAGGAGGAGAGGAAGGAAGGAAACGCAGTCACAGAGACACTACTGGAAGTCAAGAAAAGAAAGGAGGATGACGAGCATCACAAGATAGAAGAGAGGGAGAGAAAAAGAGCAAGAGATGGCAGTACACCCACGCAGATGCCACCACAAGTGCAGATGGAGGGAGATAGTGAACTCTCAAAGGCGTCACAACAGACTGGCATAGAGAGAGAGGAGGAAGGAAGACATCAGAAGACACCTCCACAAGCCCAGAAAGAAAGAGAGAGGCTAATAGATGGTAGCACAGCCACACAAACACCTCCACAAGCCCAGAAAGAGAAGGACAAAGGGAAGGGGAAAGATTTGGAGAAAGATGAAAAAGAGAGGGAAAAGGAGAAAGTGGAGAGGGTGAAAGAGAAGAAGGAGAGGGGGAAAGAGAAAGAGGAGCGGGGGAAAGAGAAGAAAGAGAGGGTGAAAGATAAGGACAGAGAAAGGGAGAGAGGGAAAGATAAGGAGAAGGATAGAGTGAAGGAGAAAGAGAAGGGGAAAGATGAGAGTGTGATGGAAAGCACCACACAAACAGAGATGTCTCCACCCATTAGGAAAAAGGAGGATGAGGAGAGGGCAAAAGAGGAGAGGAAATACATCCATCCATCCCAACACGCCCAGAGGGAGGAGAAGGGAGTGAGGGAGACAGACATGGCCTCAAAGACACAGCCTCAAATCAAGAAGGAACGAGACCGGGACAGAGGTGGTAGTGGTACACAGACACACACACGGCAAGAGAGAGAGGAGGGCAGAGAGAGCAGCACATACAGACACAAACCCTCACATGGAAAGAAGGACCGAAACGGGTATAGAGAGGGGAAAGAGGGTAACCCATCCACCCACCCCAATCCAGGGAGAGAGGAGGATGGGAAGGTTCTCATTCCTAGACACACACCCTCTCATGTGAAGGAGGGAAAGAGAGATAGAGAGGTCAACCATAAGGACGAGAGGAAGAAACCGCCCCCTGCCCCTAGCTGCCCCCCCTCGTACCATAAACCCCCACGGACACTCGTAACCTTTGACCTCTTTAAGCCTATGGATGCACTCCAAGCCCCGCCCCTCTCCCTGGCAGACAGGTCTCACCACCACAGTGACTGTCGAGGTGCTCGCTCCAAGTCTGAGAGTCGGACACTAGCGTCCTCTAAAGGACCAAAAGTAAAGGACACAACACACACCAAACCTACAGTTCCTCTCCAGGACACACGGCCGCATCACTCCCTAAAACACCCCCTGAAACCACACACCACACACCCACAGCATAAAGACTTTTTATTATGAATGTGTAGTTCTCTCTCTACTGTATAACTTACTTAGCCTGCTCACAGATCTGTTGCTGCTTCAGCCATACCATAATTGTCATGCCATAGTACATATACAGAGGAGTTGAATTGGCTAAAGCATATACAGATCTGGGACCAGACTACAACTTACTATAAGGCCCTGTTTGGAACTTTGAAAATGCATCCTTTCTTCCTTCCTCCATTCCTTGAAGTAATCACTGGTCTAATACAGTTGGATGGGTATAATCTAGCCCAACAATGGACTAAAGGAGCTTAGTTACTCCTTATAGTCCAAGGACCTTACATGTTCTGTTTAGAGGCAAACTGGCTCTGGCAGCCAAAACAGCCAAATACTCAATCTAAACGTGAATTGATCCTCAATTGCGGTACGGTTCTAGAAACATAAAGCCCTCTACTTTCATATCATATCAAAATAATTTCACAAATGCAAAATATACACTGACTGTAGACTGTTTTAACACAGTTACAGCTGACAGTGTTTTTCAGTGATAACACGTTTGTGGCGTCAGTCTTCCATTTATACACAGGTGTTTGCAGATAACTAATTAGCGCAGGTACACGTCTGTCTTCCGTTTGTTTTCCGTAAACAAGTGCTGTAACATGGAGATATGGCCGTGTGGGAACCCTCATCTTATTTAGGTGTGTAGTAACTTAGCATTTTTATTTTGTGCTGATATGAAAGATGTGTTCTTTATGTTTCCAAAACCATACCGCAAGCGAAGCATTTTAACGTTCAGAACGAGCCTCGGGGCTCTTAAAACTGCCCCGGCCAGAAGATACTATCGTGAATAGGCGCTACGGTAGTTAGTCTATGAATGGGTGACACAATCACAAGTGTTACACCACATAGTTCACACCAACACAGTCATGTCAGCATCAGATCAGGGATCTCTCTGAGGAAGGATGCATTTCTTAGCATCTGAAGAGGGCTGAAGAAGGAATGTACGCTAAGTAGCTCACTTCACGTTTGTTAGTGAATCTACGTAGGTTCTTTATATGAAAACCATTGTGTGACCCGTGCGTTAGTGCCTGTGCACTACTTAGCTACACTATGTTCTTAAAGCACCTACTCTAGGTACCCTACGGCTCAGTCCCAAAACAGCTCCTTTGTCTTCTCCTAGCCTTTCCCTCTTTGAAGTTTGCCGATCTGAAGGGACTGGTTAGGTGTACATAGGCAATATGTTTCCCCATCTAGATTCAATTCCAAATAGACTCCTACCCCCAACCCTTGATGTCTACACTAGACTATACTGAAGTGGTTAGTAGGGGATAGGGGTCTATTTGGAATTTAGGACTAGCCTTCCTGTATGCTGTGGGGAGCTTATACTATATTGCTTATACCTATCCAGTCACTTTAGGTTTGCCAACACTGAAGGGCTCAGAGCTAGGGGTTGTTTTTGGACCAGTCTTACATGTATGATTCAACACAGGACTGTAAATGATACGTACCTAATCTGTACGGTATAATGTACTAGTACTGATGTGAGAAAATGTATACATAAATGCATATATTTTTTGTAAGACAAGTTTTATTTTCCATAGAACTTATTTATATAATTTTCTGTCTGTTTTTATTTCAGATGTATGTGAGAAACTCTGTTGTAAATACCTTTTATTTCCTAAGATTATGACTTGGTAGTGTGATTTATACTCTGACCAGAACCTTTCAATAAAAGGTTCCTAATATTACAATGGTCTCTTCATTGTCCTCATTCTAAATAAAGGTCTGGATTCAATCTGTATGGCATCGCGGGGATTCAGCACGATTGAAATTTAAAGGCAATGTTCGAAAACAGCATTCACGGTAAATACTGCATATGTCAGCTCAATCGCAAATTACATTTTAATTGTGCTGAATACGGATTGAAACCATCTGTAAGTTAAACTGAATTGACCCAAACTCTGATCACACACACTGACAAACCACCAATCATCCAAATAATGTAGTTATAATTACTTTTATTTACATAATGCATGTCTCACTTGGGACATAAATAATACCAGGCACACCACACATTACATTTTATTACAGAATCTTCCACAGTGCTACTGCCATATGAATATATACATTTGAAGTGGAACTCTCAACACATACCATGGGCCCTACAGACAAAGCCATGACTGAGAACATCCCACATCCCCTTCAGTGTCTGCAGATCTGAGGGAACCTGATAGGTGTAAGCCTGCCGACACAATGGGATTTTGTGTCCGAGAATTTCGGATGGAGACAATGCTTTTTCAATGGGTGCCGGATGAATGACAACGGATTATGATTCTCTGACAAAAAACGCAGTCTTTTGACAGACAAACTCATCCGAAAAGAGTTGACTTGATATGTACTTTTGACAATGATATACACTCAGTGGCAAGTTTATTACGTACATCCATCTCGTACCAGGTCGGACCCCCTTTGCCTCCAGAACAGCCTGAATTCTTCGGGGCATGGATTCTACAAGGTGTCGGAAACATTCCACAGTGACGTTGGTCCATGCTGACGCAGTTGCTGCGGATTGGACGGTGGTATATTCATGCTGCGAACAGCCCGTTCCATCTCATCCCAAAGATGCTCTATTGGGTTTGGTCAGAAACAATGTTCAGATACGGACCAAGCAATGTTTTTCCACTCAATTGTCCAGTGTTGGTGATCGCGTGCCCACTGGAGCCGCTTCTTCTTGTTTCTAGCTGATAGGAGTGGAACCCAGTGTGGTCATCTGCTGCAATAGCCCATTCGTGACAAGGATCGACGAGTTGTGCATTCCGAGATGCCGTACTGCACACCACTGTTGCACTGTGCTGTTATGTCTGTTTGTAGCACAATTCTTGCCATTCTCCTTGGACCTCTCATCAATGAGCTGTTTTCGCCCTCAGGACTGCCGCTGACTGGATGTTTTTTGTTTGTCGCAACATTCTCGGTAAACCCTAGACACTGTCGTGCGTGAAAAGCCCTGAAGGGCAGACGTTTCTGAGATACTGGATCTGGCGCGCACGGCACCGATGATCATACCACGCTCAATGTCGCTTAGGTCACTTGTTTTCCCATTCTAACGTTCAATCGAACAGTAACGGGATGCCTGTCTGCCTGCTTTATATAACAAGCCATGGCCACGTGACTCACTGTCTGTAGGAGCGATCCATTTTCGTGAACAGGGTGGTGTACCTAATAAACTGGCCACTGAGTTAACATCATATACGATTTCATCCGTGTTCACGCGTCTGAGTGTGGCTGTAGCTTAACGGTGGCTGTAGCTTAACGGATAGAAAATAAGGGAAGGTTCTAAAGGTTTTTGTTAGACCTTGCACACCCCAGCCAGAGACAGGCCCTTTGTACAGTGTTTCTCAATCCATTCCTGTGAGACTCTAAAAGGATGCACATTTTGGTTCTAACCCAGGTCCAATCATTAGCCTTATTCAGCTAATATGGGTTGATGATTACTTGCTTAGTAGAATCAGGTGTGTTAGTGCTTGACTAGAGCACAGCAAAAATACACGCACCCTCCTGGGTGTGCCACAAGACTAGATTGAGAAACTCTGCCTTAGCAAACAAAATATCACAGAAGACAACATGGGAGTTATTATAGCACTTTCTAACCCTGATGCCATGGCTGCCAGTAGCAGAAACAGTACGAGTCCTGTCCCTGATACACCAATGAGCTGACCTCTTACACAACACCCCGGAGGGCAGGTAATCCCTCCCTCTGTCCTCTCTGGGGTGGGTCAGGTTACCAGTTATGTAATTATTTTTATATCAGACTCAGAGCCATGTTCCAACACTTATAGAATGTACACTTCATTTCTCCCTTTGAAGTAGTCACTAATCTGCATGTGATTGGATAAATTAAAGATGGGATATACTGCTGTATAATTAGTCATACTGCTTTCACCAATCCAACCCAGTCAGATATTTGATAACTTCAGCAAAGTTGAGGAATTGTATATATTTAATTATTTATATGTGTGTTTCTCTGTGGTCTCCACGGAAAATCCGATCCCTACCACTTCAAAGAAACATAATCAATGTTCACATATAAACCCATTGGACCCAACTGTCCCAGTTATCTGAGAGTAACAAAGGCACATGCACAGATCAGTCAGTCTATCAGGAGATCCAGTCTGCTTATGAATACCCTGAATTCTCAACCAGAGACCATCATGGCAAAGACCAACATGGCTGCAACGTTGCTTGATGTATCACTAGGGCGAAATAAAGATTAGATTTGGAAGCAGCATAAACCCTTAAAATATATTGCCATATCACTACTCTCTCCTCCCTGCATTGTCTCTTGTAGTGGTCTTTACATCCTGTACTAGTGGGAGTAAACTAAATCAATTCCCTTTTCCATCTCCCCATTCTTTCAGTCTCTGCTGTAGTGAAAATAAACAATTTCTCATCTCCAGTGGATTACAATAATCTCCCATTCACCTCCCCTACAGACTAACTTGCAGTCACTCTCTGCGGTAGTGAAAGACATTGTAGCCCAGCTCCACCATGGCCCCGACCAGTAGGGCCCAGAGGGGGACACACACCACACTGAGCGAGATCTCCATCAGCCTCTCCAGCCGGGCGCACAGCGTCAGACAGAAGCCCAGCTTCAGCAGCATGGCCACTAGGTACCACACCCTCCGTCGCAGGTTCTGCTGGCCGTCACGCAGGTCATAGCCGGGCTTGCACCGACCCGCCATCTTCACCACCAGCATGAGGATGAGGATTGTGTCAAAAATCCATACAGGGAGGAAGATGAGGAACCAGTTCCAGGGGATCTTGGAGTCCAGTTTGAGGACCAGCATGATGAGGAAGATGAGGGAGAATATCCAGGTTAGGAGGACTCTCTGGGCCAGAGACATTCTCATTTAAGGGATGGGGGTGGTGGCCTGGAGGGGGAACGTTAACACCGTGGCACTGGCCGGTCAAGAGTGAGACGAGCCTGAAGATAGGAGAAACATACATGAGTGACACACACACCTAACTAGGATGTGAGACAATACTAGCTAACATGCCAGATTGTACTGGTTGTGGTAGGATGGCATAGCAATGTCTTCCTGGCAATGTTTATTTTGTGTGGGGTGGGGGCATGGGGTGGGGGCATGCTAAACGTATAGGAGCATGCTGTAGGTAGCTAGCTAGCTAATGTTAACTACTGTAGTTAACTAACTCTTCAACGTGCAGTCTGAGTCTGCAAGCACACTAACACCATGATCAGATTATCTAGCTTGCGTTGGATCCATTACGATTCACATTTAGTCAAATAAATGCATGACAACAATATTGGTTAGCGAATAAAGCATTAGTTTAGCAGCTACAGTTAGCTAGCTAGCTAAATCTAGCCGAACTCACATATGGCCAGCCAACATTCTCCTTACCTGGATCGGAGGATTTGTCACCTAAGTATCTTTAAAAATCCATATCATAGACAATGTTGTGTTTTTTATTGCACTTTCGTTACGATAAAAACGATTTAAAAGTGGCTAGAGTATTTTCGAATGTTTATCTTCCGGTTGTTGTTAGTCGAAGAAAAGAATGTGACCCTCCCATTATCCACTAGGATTGGCCATTCTCCCATTATCCACTAGGATTGGCCATTCCCCCATCCTCCCATTATCCACTAGGATTGGCCATTCTCTGTCAATCATACAAAACAGCCCTTCTTCTTCTTCGATTAGGTTTAAGGGCGGTTGGCATCCAAGTTGTTGCATTACCGCCACCAACTAGACTGGTGTACAACTCCCTTATATTTTGCTTGAAAAATAAAATAAAGAAATACCCTACCATCTAACACTACACTCACAAATTCAAAATTATTATTAATAATTAACACCAACCCACTCCACTATTTAAATATATTCATTCCTACCTCATGCCCTCAACCTGAGATGATGGAACATCACCAATTAACACTCCCTGTAACTCTTCTGATGTTAAGTCTCGCACACCCAAATACCTCTCTGTAGCTGCCACCACAACCTCAATTTTCTTAGACTTACGTTCCATCTCTGCAGTACAATTAATAGCCATTGCTATAAATGCTAAAAATCCAATCTTGCTGAAACAAATATCACTTGTTGTCCTATCCCTCTACATTGGTACATCTCTACTACTCTCACCACTCCCCCCCCCTTGACCCATCTTCCTCTACTTTCTTCACTGCCTCAGCATATGACAACTTCTTCACTACTCTTACCCTGGAAACCTCAACCTGCCTCTCTCGCACAGGACATTTCTGATCCCCAGCCCCATGGGCACCCCTACAATTAGCACATATCACTACTTTCCCCAATGCTACACATTCCTTTGTCTCATGCCCTTCTGCACACTTCTCACACCTCGGAACCTCCCTCCTACACACTGCTGCCACATGCCCATAAGTTTGACACCTGTAACATCGTAATGTATTCGGCATATAAGCTCGTACAGGATAACTTATATACCCTAACTTCACTTTATCAGGCAAAGACTCAACTTCAAAACTCAAAAGAACAGACAGTGACTCCTCTGTTTCCCCTCTCTCGCCCCCCTGTTTGTGTCGCACCAAACGACGAGCATCACAAACACCGGGAATCTTCCCCTTCAGTTGGTCAACTTTTACATTTACTGCTACCCCAGTAATCACTCCTTTCAATGGCGCCCTTTTCTTGAGAGCGAAACAATTCCCCATTCTTTCCCCCATTTGTCTAAATCTGAGCGCCTTCTCCCTCTGACCAACAGAAACACAAACAATTATCACTAGAACACTTCTGGTACCCTCACCGATACCACTTTACCCAACACTTTTTTCACCCATCTTGAAACCACAAATGGATCAGCCAAAAGCAAGGCTCCACTTTTTTCAAAAACGTCACTCCTACTGACAGACTCATCTTCAACCTGACCCTCTGTGCAATCCTTGGGCACCGAGTACTTCACCACACCTTCCACCTCCGATACTTCACCCTCATTCACTTCAATTTCTCCTCCTGTCTTCAGCTCACGTTGCTTACATTTCCTACCATTCTTCTATAACAAACCTTCTCCCTTTTTCCGCCATTTTTAACAAACTCAGGCTCACAGTCTTCCTCCCTCTCTCTCCTAGACCTCCTCTGCCTCTCTTTTTCCCTCCATTCCTCCTCCGTCATCCAGGTATACGTTTCCTTATGATAATACTGCACTTCTCAAGGGACTCCATTTACCGTCCTACTCTCCCTTTCTACACTTATTCATAGCGCTTTTGATAAAATATGAGCAATAAACTTCCCAAAACAGCCCTCTGATTGAAGGAAAATAAATATGTGAAACCGAGCATTACTGTAAAGTTCACAAAAGGTGTCCATATTTGTTTAGCTCAGTCAATGAGCTAAATTAAGTCAATGGACTAAATATATATATATTTTTTAAAGGCAATGGAAATCTGTATTTAGCCATTAGAATTTTAATTGAAATCTGATATCACAAATGAATGATAATTACAACCTTGGATAAAAACTTCTCATTACAGATTGTCAAAAAAAAGTATTAAAAAACGGTTGAGGTAAAACATCATAAAAATAGCTTCAGTTAAAAAGGCCTTATTGAAATCACAAGTTAAGTTAAAAAGCTTACTTCACAAAACCTAGCTGTCCTAAAATGTTTTTTATTTACAGTTGAAGTGCCACACAACACAGTGAATGAAACAACATGAATTATCATTAAACCCTAATTACCTCATCATAAGTAAACAGTAAATAAACAATTACATTTCATTATTTAGTTTCTATGGGTAATACATAACATTAATGCTTTATGACCTTTGAAAAGAGGATGATAGACTGGTCCCAGAAGTACTTTAGCCAACTCCTCTGACTATCATTGTCATGCCATACATGTCACGTTTGGCATGACAGTAAAAAAACACACAGAGGAAGGGGAACATACAGATGGGACAAGCCAGGTTAAAACAGATTGGACTCGGCAGGTTCTTAGAATGAGAAGTAAGATGTGACCAAATTACATTCACATAGTGTATTTACTCCAAAAGCTACTTTTATCTTTGAATTTTATGGTAACTGCAGTTCTCCAAGCTTTTGAAGATGAAAACCCAGACACAATCCAAGGGCCCCCGTCCAAGGGCCCCCATCCAAGGGCCCCCATCCAAGGGCCTACAAGTTATGGCATCATAGTGGTGAGAGTCAAGTTTCAAAACACACAAAACAAAAGCATCCCAAAAAAGCAGACATATTCAGATCTAATCAAATGCTTAGAAAAGTTTGTGTTTTTTCTCTAAGTAAATGCTGACTAAAAAGAGGCCTCTTGTGGGGAGAAGTATTGAGTGCACTTAGCCACAAAATACTTTTTAGGTCTAGGTTGCCTCTAGCCTACCCACTGATCTAAGTTCAGTTTAGCGTTTCCCCCCTAATGTCTAAGATTAGATATTTGGGGAGGGCAAGCTGATCCTAGACATGTGCCTTCTACCTATGATTCCCTCTACACAGTGCTCTGCATACTCTCACGACCATTTCCCATTGACTCTGAGCAGCGGGGTGGGAATTCTATGAATATCCCATCTGAATCTAAGTCCAGGGACTCCAGCACCTGTCCAGTGACGGTATCCGGGCTGGAGGATCCGCTGGGGGGAGAGGAGCGGGTAGCCTTGGCCATGTCCGTAAGGGTCATTGTTGCCTGCGTCCCATGGAGGGTTCCTGGGCAGTGGAGGATGGAGTGGGAGGGGAGAGGAGACTCCATGGTTCCTGCCAGAGGGAAGGTTGTGGGTTAGGATCATACAGTCTGGCAAGAGTATTTTCTTATTTTTCCTACTATGGCAACTTTTCCACCCTGCACCTCTGGCAGTTTGTAGTGTATGCATAACGTAACCTAGTGAGGAGGACAGAGGACCTACCTCTGAACTGTGGAACCACACAGAGCCTGTTAGCAGAGGCGCTGGAGGTGGATGCATTGGACCTGGAGGCCATGTTGGCATAGGCCAGCCCCTGTTCCTCCAGGCAGGAGATGATCTCACAGGCAGAGTGGCGTCGGATGCCCCCGCTGCCCACCGAGCTGGCATCAGGGTCACACTCTGCCACGGGCGTCAGGAGGAGAGGGATGTTATAACTCTTAGAACGGACCACTGGGCTCTTAGATGGCTGGTCCACAGGCTGCTTAGGCCAGCACCACTGCAAATGCTTCTCTGTGAGGGAGGAACATAGTGTGCAAGAGAAAGAGAAGAGAAAGCAAAGGAGAGAGAAAACCTAGTGGGAGAAGAGTGAACAGCACAGTGTGCGCTTCTTACCAATCACACAGGAGCAGTGTGCCACGCTGCCGTCTCCAGAGTAGAGGCCGTGGGTGCCCAGGTAAGGAGAGACCACCCTCTGGACCAGAGATTCCAGACGCAGGTAGTCCTCACTCACACCCCGCGACTCATGGACACCCTAGAGGGAGAGAGAGGAGACAGGTCAGAGCATGTGTGTGTGAGAGAGAGCGAGAGATAAAGAGAGAGAGATAAAGAGAGAGCAAAAGAGAGAGAGATAAAGACTCAAATATATAAAGACAGAAAAAGAGAGCGAAAGAGAGAAAGAAAAAGAGAGAAAGTAAGTGAGCGATAAAGAGAGAGAGAACGATAGAGAGGCGTATTGTACCTACCTGCAGTATAAGCAGCATCTGTGTGACGGAGGGGGGAATGCGGGCGCGGGGTCGAGACAGAGCGTCCTCCAGCTTCACACTCAGAACTATGGTGTTCCTGAAGTGGAGCAGAGCCAGCTGTCTCACATTGGGCTCCTTACCCTGCAGACAGGAGAGGAGAAGGATAGAGATAGACCGAAGAATGGAGCAAAGGGTGAAGAGAGGGGGATATAAGGTTATGAAAACGTAGCTTTAATTATTATTTATTGTCTGCTGAGAGAGAAACAGAGAGAGAGAGAGAGAGAGAGAGAGAGAGAGAGATAGATAGAGAGAGAGAGAGAGAGAGAGAGAGAGAGAGAGAGAGAGAGAGAGAGAGAGAGAGAGAGAGAGAGAGAGAGAGAGAGAGAGAGAGAGAGAGAGAGAGAGATTCAGGGTGAGCCAGGACAGAGAGAGATAGAGACAGACAGAGACAGAGAGATGAAGGAGAAGAGTCAGGGGATTGATACCTGTACTGGGTGAAAGATGGCCTGTAGCATGTTGAGAACATCACAGAAGAAGAAGTCCCATGTCTCTGCCAGAGAGTCCAGTGACTTCTGACCTGCACACCAACAGGAGGAACAAACTGACTGCTGTTAGTAGGAGAATAATCTCACAACTCACAGCTGCATGGGACCTACGGCCTCAGATGACTTTGGCGTGTTAAACACAGAACATCACAGACCCTGACAAAGGTAATGTAAGCTTCAGTTCAACTATTCTTCTTTGTAGCACTGACTGCTCTCTACTGTGTCACTCTGTAAACACATCTACTAATATTCAATGAACAGTGAGACACCACAAATACCTTCGTAGAATCTTATTTTGTCCCGTAGAATGACCATGCCCTTTGTCAGCAACTGGTTCTGAGGGACAGAGAGGTTCAATTAAAGTTTTGTTAAACAATTATATTATGGCTCAGTCAGAAACAATCTATCCATGATATTATTTCACCATTTAGCAGAACCATCACTTACCTGGAGGTATTCTGTGAAAAACGACCCCAGCTCTGTTTTCAATAGGTGTCTGAGTAAACAAAGACAAGAGTTCACCCACTAGAGCTATAGGCTACATTTCACTAGTGCAATACACTGATAACACAAAACAGGCAAAAAGCTTCAAAACCAACTATGTAAAATTAGATGCTAGTATATTATTGTGTAAGTACATGTATATTACTGTGTAGGTACATGTATTCATACCAAGGTATGTAAAGTAAGTCTTATACAACTGCATGGTATCTGGGTAAGTGCAACCCAGCTTTCTCTTTTAAACATACTGTTCATGTTTGTTTCCAGTGGTAAGTACATGTTAAAACAGTGTTAGGAATAGACCCTATGATTGACTCAGCTTACCTAGTGTGTGATGCGTGTGATTTCAGTTGTTTACTGGGTTATAATGGAGGCTGATATGACAGAACTGACGGCTCTAATGTCACGTCTGGAAAGATAATGAGACATCTGGCAAGGCCACATGGCTTCACAGACACAAACATGCACACACACACACACACGCAGCAGATAAATGCCATGCTAGCAAACAGATGTGTGTGTTTATTAGTGTTTATAACTCACCTGACACCTTCGTTGAGGACATAGAGTTCATTGTCAGCCAGACCTTTCTTCTGAAAGACGGCAATGACAGCATTGTGGATGCTAGTGAACACACACACACAAACGTCAACATGTACCATTTTGATTACATTTACCCATTAGAGGATAGTTCATATTCATACAAATGTAGGATCTTAATATGAGCCAGTTTGCTAAAGCAGGAAAACAATCCTGCAGCAACAGGAAATGTGAATTATAATTAATGGACATTATTGTAGGGGTTGATACATTTTTCATAAGGGAAAATCAAGTCTGAAATTTCTAAGTGGAAATTACAAACTTCAGAAGCCTTTTTAAACCTCAAATACACTACATGTTTTACATTTCCTGCAGTGAAGTAAAGTTATCCTGCAACAGGGTGATCAAATTAAGATCCTACATCTGTAACAAGCACAGACTACATGCATGGTCAGGCTGCAGCATACCTGTTCCAGGTAGCGTTGGCTCCGGCCCTCTTCTGTTTCTCTCCTCTCTCCTCCGGTGATCCCTTCTCACTCTTTCCCAGTTCACCGAGACTAGGGGAGCTCATCAACTTCAGCCTGTGTAGAGTCCTCATGACGGCAGAGAGGGAGGGAGAGAGAGAGACAGCACACTAAGTACTGAGCTAAAGCAAAGACTAGAGACTGAAATTCTAAAAGAAGACAATGAAAATAGGGGAGTAGAGAGAGGGCAGGATGAGAAGAGAAGGAAGAAAGAGGAATGTGAAAGAGGAAAAGAGAGACGACATCTGGCATCTGGTCGAGGCAGAGACCAGAAGACTGAACGAGAGAGTGAGGAGAAGAGAGAGAGAGAGAGAGAGAGAGAGGAGGAAGAAGGAGCAGAGCTGTCCTTTGCAAGGGGTGGGCCATGGTGTGACTTTATTGCTTATCCCCTCTCTCCCTCTCTCCCAATTCAAGGGGTTTTATTGGCATGGCAAACATTTGTTTATATTGCCAAAGCAAGTGAAATAAACAATAAATAAAAGTGAGAAGAAACAAATTTAACAACATCAAAAAAATATTAGAAATGAACAGTAAACATTGCACTCAAAAAGGTTTAAAAAGATAAAGACATTTCAAGTGTTATATTATCAGCTATGTACAGTGTTTTAGCAATCTGCAAATAGTTGTAGTACGAATAGTGGGGGAAGATAAATAAATATTGGTGGAATTTGCAATGTCATTTGAGCTCCACTTGTTGCCCTTTTCTCATGGCAATGGGCCACAAATCTTGCTGCTGTGATTGCACATTGCGGTATTTCACCTAACAGATATGGGAGTTTATCAATGTTTGATTTGTTTTCAAATTCTGTGGGTCTGTGTGATCTGTGGGAAATATGCATCTTTAATGTGGTCATACATTTGCCAGGAGATTAGGAAGTGCAGCTCAGTTTCCACCTCATTTTGTGGACAGTGGGCACATATTCTGTCTTCTCTTGCTTACGGCAGCCTCTCTCAATAGCAAGGCTATGCTCACTGAGTCTGTACATAGTCATGGATTTTCTTAATTTTGGGTCAGTCACAGTAGTCAGGTATTCTGCCACTGTGTACTCTCTGTTTAGGGCCAGATAGCAATCCAATTTGCTCTGTTTTTTGGTTGATAATAAATCACAGACAGTGTCACCAGCAAAGCACCCCCACACCATAACACCTCCTCCTCCATGCTTTACGGTGGGAAATACACATGGGGAGATAATCCGTTCACCCACACCGCGACTAGCAAAGACACAGCGGTTGGAACCAAAAATCTCCAATTTGGACTCCAGACCAAAGGACACATTTCCACTGGTATAATGTCCATTGCTCGTGTTTCTTGGCCCAAGCAAGTCTCTTCTTCTTATTGGTGTCCTTTAGTAGTGGTTTCTTTGCAGCAATTCGACCATGAAGGCCTGATTCCCACAGTCCCGTCTGAACAGTTGATGTTGAGATGTGTCTATTACTTGAACAGCATTTATTGTGTCTGTTACTTGAAAAGCATTTATTTGGGCTGCAAGTTCTGATTGAGGCTGGTAACACTAATGAACGTATCCTCTGCAGCAGAGGTAACTCTGGGTCTTCCATTCCTGTGGCGGTCCTCATGAGAGACAGTTTCATCATAGCGCTTGATGGTTTTTGTGACTGCACTTGAAGAAACTTAAAAAGTTATTGAAATGTTCCGTATTGACTGACCTTCATGTCTTAAAGTAATGATGGATTGTCGTTTCTCATTGCTTATTTGAGCTGTTCTTGCCATAATATGGACTTGGTCTTTTACCAAATAGGGCTATCTTCTGTATACCTTGTCACAACACAACTGATTGGCTCAAACGCATTAAGAAGGAAAGAAATTCCACAAATTAACTTTTAAGAAGGCACACCTGTTAATTGAAATGCATTCCATGAAACCTCATGAAGCTGGTTGAGAGAATGCCAAGAGTGTGCAAAGCTGTCATCAAGGCAAAGGTTGGCTATTTGAAGAATCTCAAATATAAAATATATTTTGATTTATTTAACACTTTTCAAATCAAATCAAATTGTATTTGTCACATGCGCCGAATACAACAGGTGTAGTAGACCTTACAGTGAAATGCTTACTTACAAGTCCTTAACCAACAATGCAGTTTTAAGAAATAGTCCGGGTAGCCATTTGATTAGCTGTTCAGGAGTTTTATGGCTTGGGGTAGAAGCTGTTAAGAAGCCGTTTGGACCTAGACTTGGCGCTCCGGTACCGCTTGCTGTGCGGTAGCAGAGAGAACAGTCTATGACTAGGGTGGCTGGAGTCTTTGACAATTTTTAGGGCCTTCCTCTGACACCGCCTGGTATAGAGGTCCTGGATGGCAGGAAGCTAGGCCCCAGTGATCTATTGGGCCGTACGCACTACCCTCTGTAGTGCCTTGCGGTCGGAGGCCGAGCAGTTGCCATAGCAGGCAGTGATGCAACCAGTCAGGATGCTCTCGATGGTGCAGCTGTATAACTTTTTGAGGATCTGAGGACCCAAATCTTTTCAGTCTCCTGAGGGGGAATAGGCTTTGTCGTGCCCTCTTCACGACTGTCTTGGTGTGTTTGGACCATGATAGTTTGTTGGTGATGTGGACACCAAGGAACTTGAAGCTTTCAACCTGCTCCACTACAGCCCTGTCGATGAGAATGGGGGCGTGCTCGGTCCTTCTTTTCCTGTAGTCCACAATCATCTCCTTTGTCTTGATCACGTTGAGGGAGAGGTTGTTATCCTGGCACACGGCCAGGTCTCTGACCTCCTCCCTATAGGCTGTCTCATCGTTGTCGGTGATCAGGCCTACCACTGTTGTGTCATGCAGTCATGGGTGAACAGGGAGTAAAGGAGGGGACTGAGCATGCACCCCTGAGTGGCCCCCGTGTTGAGGATCAGCGTGGCAGATGTGTTGTTACCTACCTTCACCACCTGGGAGCGGCCCATCAGGAAGTCCAGGATCCAATTGCAGAGGGAGGTGTTTAGTCCCAGGGCCCTTAGCTTAGTGATGAGCTTTGAGGGCACTATGGTGCTGAACGCTGAGCTGTAGTCAATGAATAGCATTCTCACGTAGGTGTTCCTTTTGTCCAGGTGGTAAAGGGCAGTGTGGAGTGCAATAGAGATTGCATCATCTGTGGATCTGTTGGGGCGGTATGCAAATTGGAGTGGGTCTAGGGTTTCTGGGATAATGGTGTTGATGTGAGCCATGACCAGCCTTTCAAAGCACTTCATGGCTACAGACGTGAGTGCTATGGGTCTGTAGTCATTTAGGCAGGTTACCTTAGTGTTCTTGGGCACAGAGACTATGGTGGTCTGCTTGAAACATGTTGGTATTACAGACTCAGTCAGGGACAGGTTGAAAATGTCAGTGAAGACACTTGCCAGTTGGTCAGCGCATGCTTGGAGTACACGTCCTGGTAATCCATCTGGCCCTGCGGCCTTGTGAATGTTGACCTGTTTAAAGGTCTTACTCACATCGGCTACGGAGAGCGTGATCACACAGTCGTCCAGAACAGCTAGTGCTCTCATGCATGATTCAGTGTTCCTTGCCTTGAAACGAGCATAGAAGTGATTTAGCTCGTCTGGTAGGCTCGTGTCACTGGGCAGCTCGCGGGTTATAGTCCCACTCCTTAAAAGCGGCAGCTCTACCCTTTAGCTCAGTGCGGATGTTGCCTGTAATCCATGGCTTCTGGTTGGGGTATGTACGTACAGTCACTTTTTGGTTACTACATGATTCCATATGTGTTATTTCATAGTTTTGATGTCTTTACTATTATTCTACAATGTAGAAAATAGTAAAAATAAAGAAATACCCTTGAATGAGTAGGTGTTCTAAAACTTTTGACCGGTAGTGTATACATTGTTTTTATCAAAATTGCTCAAGCTCGTTGAGAATCATTGATGGACAGCAATATTCAAACTTTGTCTCAGATTTTCAAGCAAATTTAAGTCAGAACTGAGACTAGACCACTCAGGAACACTCAACACCTCTTGGAAAGCCATTCTGGGGTGTCTGGCATAAACATTTGTGTGATTGTCTTGTTGAAAAATAAAACACTATCCCAAGGTTAGGTTTTCAGAAGACTGAGGTGGGTTTTCCTCTAACCTGGGCTTTGCTCCTTTCATATTTATTTTGATCCTAACAAACTCCCCAGTCCCTGCCGATGACAAGCATACCCATAACATGCCACCACAATGTAATTCTGCCCTATTACATCCATCAATTATTTTCAAGTTTCCAATTAGTTCCATGTTAGTTGTACCAATCAGATTGTAGGGCAACTCTCTGTAGCGCCATCTGCCATCCGCTACATAAGGAATGGGGCTAGGGGTTGATTTCAGACTGGCTATAGTTTTATGACCACCCTCATAAGAGGGCTAACCAGAAGGCACATTTTGAATGTTAATCCTTGGAGTTGATTCTCACCTCCTGATTGGATGATCACTGCTGTCAATATCAGGGCTTGGGGGCGGGGCTGAGAAGGCAGTGAAGTTGAGTGACAGGGGTCGGGGGGAAGGGTGAGAGCCGTGCCTCCGACGGAGTCCATCCAGCATCTGTCAAAAGAAACATTGAGACAACAACAACATAAAATGAATCAACACAAGTAACTGCAAGAAAACCTTGACTCACCAGGGTCTTATTATTCAGGGTGGGTTCAGGTTGCAAAGTGTCAAAGCATGCTCAGAAAGAACCATATTATACAGAACAGGCATTTCTCTTCATCATGCAGAATAGGAACTTGATTGTGTCTATCAGCTCTATATTTTATAGATTATTATTATGTCACAGCAGCTAGCCAACCAGGAAACATTGAACACATGGAAAGAGAGAGAGCAGTCAAAACCACAGTGAACTCTGAACAGCCTGGTATTGGATATTCTCTCTATCACCGGATACTGTTGCCGTCGCAGCCTGTCATTTGAGAAGTGTAACAACAGTGGTATTTTGAAATCAAAACGGTGTGTAAGGCTAACTCACTGCTAACTCAAACTCATTCAATCTACACGCACGCACGCGCGCGCACACACACGCGCGCACACACACACACACACACACACACACACAGGTTATAATATAATAATAATATGCCATTTAGCAGGTTAGTTTATAATAATTTGTATGTAAGGTTTCTTCCATTGATAGTATGTCACGGTGTCGTCCAATGGTGTGACAAATAATACTAGGGCGCCATCAGCTGGTTATTGGGGGAAACTACAGTCTAGGCGCACTGTTAATTAAACAAAGAGTATCAATAAAGAGTTGTTTTGATCATAAAAACGTAATGCAGTGGGCGTATCTGAGACTACAGATAATTAGAGATACATTTCTTCCAATATTACACAAGTCTAATGCTACACAATAACCAGGCTTCACTGTTGTGTCTACACAAAGGATATTGGTACATAGGGCTGTTGCAATTTGTAACGACAGCTCCTAAAAAATACATCGTAATTGAGTAATGATTGAATAGGAATCTACAAACCAATTTTTAAAAGAGTCATTCATTCTACTAACAAAACCTATGAAAATCTAGTGGTACCATTTACTTAATGACATACTGTAGCCTAATTATTGTGACTGAAGATTACAATATGCAGATGACATCTAATAAATAATAATAGGAGGATGAGAGGATCTAAGCACGTCTGGGGCTGTCCAGGGGTTGGGGCAATGTGTGTGAGACTATGAACATGGCAGGTGTGTATTCTCTGAGTATGGCAGGTGTGTGTTGTTGTCTCTGCGTAAACTGGTCGTTGGAGCAGACGCAGACTCCACACACACACTCCCTTCCGACTGTCTGCCCCGCATGCCACGCCAGTCTGGGTATTCATTTGGATATTCTGCTTTTGTTCTTGCGGAGCGACTGAGGTCCCTTTCCTTCCATAACAATCTAGACATCGATCGCTTTAATTTGCAAATGAAGGCATTTACCTCGTTAATTTATGAGAACCCCTAGCCTACAGAATAATCTCCTTGCTTTATATATATTTTTATACGTACAGCCTACACAAAGGAAATGTATCCCCGTCATAGAACACGATGCCCATGTCACACGGAGGAACGTAGCCTACATTATAGTGCGTACGTGGAGTAGACAACTTTGACATGTGCTACAGGATATGCAAACAAACTAGCCCATGTAAACAATGCGATAGTAGGCTTAAATTTCCCAATCAACAGCCGCGCATACCTTAAAAATTAGACCATAAATAGCCTACCCATACAGTAGGCTACAATTCAAAGTTCACTGTACACACACATTCATCGCACACTACTTACTCACCGTTCTCTCTCCTGATCGTGTTGCTTATAATAGAATGATGTGGATATCATATATGGATGATCAATAGCATTGATGTGTAGCCTATCAGCAATAAAAACCATAATCTATCTCATTGTTGATTTCCCAGTATGCACTGACCAAACAGGCATTGGGGTGCAGTTGTGGGATGCGCCAGCGACCTATGCTGCGGGAGTCATTCCATGATCATGCATGCTCGCCCCCGTGTTGTTTTGACGAGATGCGAGCCACTGTACCAGACGCCTTGCGGTTTTGCGTCTGTTGGTGCTTTCAAGACAACTCGGAACGCGGAATCTCTGACTTTAACTATACGTATGTATTTTTACGTAGAGAATTCCTATCGGTCGATTCAGACGTTTTTCAAGTGGAAACGAGGTTTCAAGTCGGACATTTCCGACTTTCCCGAGTTCCGAGTTGTCATGAAAGCAGCATGTGAGAGAGTACGCGCGTTTTGGTGTCTGGTGTTCTCATTCAAGCAAGGCAGTTGGTAGAGCATGGCGCTTGCAACGCCAGGGTTGTGGGTTCGTTTCTCACGGGGGGCCAGTATGAAAATGTATGCACTCACTAACTGTAATTCGCTCTGGATAAGAGCGTCTGCTAAATGACTAAAATGTAAAATGTAAGTTGTAAAAAAGGAGAAGAAAGATCAGGATGCGCAATTTCAATTAGACCTAGATGTTTTTTTTTACATTTTACAGCACTCTTCTACAATTTATTGTACATCATTTGTGATCTAATAGCCTACACATTCCCCTTTCGGAGAGCTGAATAGTTTTGAATTAGACTAGTAACATAATTTTGACTGGTTACACAGTTACAGACTGTAACTGTTTACCAGTGGTGGATAAAGTACCCAATTGTCATACTTAAGTAAAAGTAAAGATACCTTAATAGAAAATGACACAAGTAAAAGTGAAAGTCACCCAGTAAAACACTACTTGAGTAAAAGTCTAAAAGTATTTGGTTTTACATATAATTAAGTATCAAAAGTAAATGTAATTGCTAAAATATACTTAAGTATCAAATTCATTATATTAAGAAAATCAGACAGCACCATTTTATTGTTTTTTATTTGATTTACGGATAGCCAGGGGCACACTCCAACATTCAGACATCATTTACAAACGAAGCATTTGTGTTTAGTGAGTCCACAAGATAAGAGGCAGTAGGAAGACCAATGATGTTCTCTTGATAAGTGTGTGAATTGGACCATTTTCCTGTCCTGCGATGTCTGCACTGTGTAATTTCAACACGATCCTCTGGGTGCACACACACACACACACACACAGGGCAAGATTTTCTTGGCCATCAGGCTACATTCTTTAGGGTTTCTGTAGCCTAGATGTAATGTGTAATTCACATATTGAATATGACTACTATAAAGTCCTGACTAATGGGGTTAGAAACATGCTGCTCTATATCCAGCATTGACCCCAATCTCACCCAGTTTAAACACAGCAGAGAGGGCTCTCCTCTGTGCCATCTGTCACATCATCATGACACGAGTGGCGGGCGGCCACTTTAATGCAGTCAGTCAGGCTTGGCACAATGGTGGTCGAGAAACGGCGATTATAAATATTTTTACGTTGACAAAGGTCGAGGTTATTATTTATTTTTCACATACACATATATCTATGTGACTGAAAACAATGACATCTGAATTTATGATGATGATTAATTTAGGGCATCACTGCGCAATAAATGCACAAATCCTAATATCCTTGAAAATACTGTACAAGCCCACTGAACCCGCATACGACCAATGAACAAAGCGAAGGGGTTTGACTAGGGTAAAATTCGGGAGGAGTAATGGCGGCAAATTCAAGATACAAGAACAGGATACAGTGAGGGAAAAAAGTATTTGATCCCCTGCTGATTTTGTACGTTTGCCCACTGACAAAGAAATGATCAGTCTATAATTTTAATGGTAGGTTTATTTGAACAGTGAGAGACAGAATAACAACAACAAAAATCCATAAAAACGCATGTCAAAATTTTTATAAATTGATTTGCATTTTAATGAGGGAAATAAGTATTTGACCCCTCTGCAAAACATGACTTAGTACTTGGTGGCATAACCCTTGTTGGCAATCACAGAGGTCAGACGTTTCTTGTAGTTGGCCACCAGGTTTGCACACATCTCAGGAGGGATTTTGTCCCACTCCTCTTTGCAGATCTTCTCCAAGTCATTAAGGTTTCGAGGCTGATGTTTGGCAACTCGAATCTTCAGCTCCTTCCCCAGATTTTCTATGGGATTAAGGTCTGGAGACTGTCTAGGCCACTCCAGGACCTTAATGTGCTTCTTCTTGAGCCACTCCTTTGTTGCCTTGGCCGTGTGTTTTGGGTCATTGTCATGCTGGAATACCCATCCACGACCCATTTTCAATGCCCTGGCTGAGGGAAGGAGGTTCTCACCCAAGATTTGACGGTACATGGCCCCGTCCATCGTCCCTTTTATGCGGTGAAGTTGTCCTGTCCCCTTAGCAGAAAAACACCCCCAAAGCATAATGTTTCCACCTCCATGTTTGACGGTGGGGATGGTATTCTTGGGGTCATAGGCAGCATTCCTCCTCCTCCAAACACGGTGAGTTGAGTTGATGCCAAAGAGCTCCATTTTGGTCTCATCTGACCACAACAATTTCACCCAGTTCTCCTCTGAATCATTCAGATGTTCATTGGCAAACTTCAGAAGGGCATGTATATGTGCTTTCTTGAGCAGGGGAACCTTGCGGGCGCTGCAGGATTTCAGTCCTTCACGGCGTAGTGTGTTACCAATTGTTTTCTTGGTGACTATGGTCCCAGCTGCCTTGAGATCATTGACAAGATCCTCCCGTGTAGTTCTGGGCTGATTCCTCACCGTTCACATGATCATTGCAACTCCACGAGGTGAGATCTTGTATGGAGCCCCAGGCCGAGGGAGATTGATAGTTATTTTGTGTTTCTTCCATTATCGAAAAATCGCACCAACTGTTGTCACCTTCTCACCAAGCTGCTTGGTGATGGTCTTGTAGCCCATTCCAACCTTGTGTAGGTCTACAATCTTGTCCCTGACATCCTTGGAGAGCTCTTTGGTCTTGGCCATGGTGGAGAATTTGGAATCTGATTGATTGATTGCTTCTGTGGACAGGTGTCTTTTATACAGGTAACAAACTGAGATTAGGAGCACTACTTTTAAGAGTGTGCTCGTAATCTCAGCTCGTTACCTGTATAAAAAAACACCTGGGAGCCAGAAATCTTTCTGATTGAGAGGGGGTCAAATACTTATTTCCCTTATTAAAATGAAAATCAATTTATAACATTTTTGACATGCGTTTTTCTGGATTTTGTTGTTGTTATTCTGTCTCTCACTGTTCAAATAAACCTACCATTAAAATTATAGACTGATCATTTCTTTGTCAGTGGGCAAATTTACAAAATCAGTAGGGGATCAAATACTTTGTTCCCTCACTGTATTCTATACTATCTATTGCATCTTAGCCTATGCCACTCTGATAATGACATTGCTCATCCATATATTTATATATTCTTATTCCATTCCTTTACTTAGATTTGTGTGTATTACGTTTTTGTTGTGGAACTGTTAGATATTACTTGCTAGATATTGCTGCACTGTCGGAACTAGAAGCACAAGCATTTCGCTACACTTGCAATAACATCTGCTAACCATGTGTATGTGACCAATACATTTGATTTGGTGCACAACGACTGACCCGCATGGTGGATGGAGTGAGGAAGCCCACTCTATCAATTCTATTGTTTTTTAAAATTAGAGTCTCTCCCTTCTCACGTGTATTTGGATTTTATGAGATACCCTGTGAGAGCCGTCGTGACCAAACCGATGCAGTGTGATAAATGCAAATTATTTGGCCATGTGTCAAGTGTATGTAGATGAGAGGAGTATCGTATACTAGCTGAGCCTAAATGCTGCAATTGTGGTGGTGAACATGCACCCGAATTTCTGAAGTGCCCTGTTAGGGTGAAGGAGACAGAGGTGGCAAGAATAAGGGCTGTCCAGCACGTCCCCTATCCAGGCGGTGAGAAGAGTGGAAGAAAGGAGTGAAGTTTAAGAAATAATGGTAGTGGGAGTAGAGACACCAGCGAGTATTCCTTGTCAACAGAGTGATCCTGACATATTACATGTTAAGAATGTGGACTTTGTAGCATTTATTGCATTGGTTATCAACTGCACAGCGCAAACAGAGAGGAAATCAGAAAAAATAGGATTTTACAGCAGACACATTACAATGAGTCCTGTAGATGAATGCTCCGTCCTCACAGGCACCTGAGAGGGAGTGGGATGCTTGTTTTACTACCCCATACAGTAGGTGGCGGCAATACACCAATAGGTTGTAGTCTGCCATAAAACCTTAAAGAAGAAGAACATGCGTCACTCAAAGTACGACTCAGGGGTAAGCGGTAAAAAATATATTTTGTAGCTAGCTAGAATTCATTAGAGCGTTTTTCGTTTATAGCTAAACTCCAAGGTAATTTACGGAACATGTATTAACTTGCCAACGTTTGTGCCGAATAATAAAGCTTCACCTCATAGCTAGCGAATTTTCCATCGGCTAATGCATGCCAAAACAACTTCTAGCCAGTTAGTTATAGCGAGCTAACTAGTTAGCTATCCACATTCCGTAATTTAGCAGTTATCAAAGCGATAGCTACATTGTTAATACTACAGTCAAAGGCATAGCTAAAGTATCGAGTTAGTGTAGCAAGCTGTACACACTTCGTTATGTCAGCCTTTACATTTTCAAACAGTGCATGGCGTTGCCGACTTGGACAGGAATACAGCTGGATAAGTTTCACGTTTTATTAGTCGTATGTACTGGATACACATGGTATACACAACGAAATACTTACTTGCAGGTTCTTTCTCGACAATGTAACAACAACAAGAAACAAATATATAAGAACACGAACAAAGTAAATGGCTCAGTAGAATAGAATACATGTTTTACCATATGTAGCTATAATACAGGAAGGCACAATTTAATGCTTAGATACCGTCAGTTTATGGCCGTGGGTCCTTGATGATGCTGCGGGCCTTTCTCAGGCACCATTTCGAGTAGATGTCCTAAATGTGTGGAAGCACGGTCCCGGTGATATACTGGGCCGTCTTCACCACCCGCTGGAGGGCCTTGCGGTCGTGGACGGAACAATTCCCGTACCAGGCCTTGATGCAACCGGTCAGGACTTGATTGACTGTCTGTCATACAATTTTTGCAGCACCTGACACATTATTGATAAACTGGAGACCGTGCGAATATGCACCATGACACTGAGGAGGACAATAGCAGCGGAGCATCCAACACGCGCTTCGGGCAGGTAGGTTTGGGGTGCATCACAGTCTAAAGTGGCTCCAAATCCTTTCTTCTTTCATGTCAACACTGATGTGAAAGATTTGGACAAGGAAATGCGTCATCTATCCTTTGTTTTCAGATCAGTTAAAGCTGCAATATGTAACTTTTTGGGTGACCCGACCAAATTCACATAGAAATAGAGATGTCATTCTCATTGAAAGCAAGTCTAAGAAGCAGGATATCTGTTCTATGTGTGCTATTGCTATGCTTCCATTTAAGTTTAGTTTTTGCGTCTTTTACTTTAAAAGTACAATATCTTTGGTTATGGGAAATATTTCACAGCTGTTTAGATGGTACAATTATTCTCTACATTATGCTTGTTTTGTCACATAAATGGAAATTAGGCAAACTATTAGAATTTTAGCAACCATGAAATGGTGGAGCGAATTCTGCATAGTGCATCTTTAAGATGCAGGAAAAGAAAGCCCCTTTAGACTATCCATCCAAATGAATAAAAACAGTGTAGGATGTTGTCCATTTTTGCTTTAAAATATCAAGCAAACATCATCAACCAAGACTTTATCTTTCCAGTATAACTATACTGCAGAGGAGTACCAGGCGGTCCAGAATGCACTGCGACAGAAGCTGGGACCTGAGTACATCAGCTCCAGGATAGCTGGAGGGGGCCAGAAGGCAAGGCCATGTCACACACACTTTTTTGTTGTTGACATCCTAATCCACCCAAGAGAAAACTAACCAATAAGTACACACTTCATCATCACCCTTCACCAACTAAAACGCCTGCTTAGAACTAAAGACAGTGTTGTCCTTGTTGCAGGTGTGTTACATCGAGGGGCACCGTGTGATCAGCCTGGCCAATGAGATGTTTGGATACAACGGCTGGTCTCACTCCATCTCCCAGCAGAATGTCGGTAGGAGAGCTGGAGCATCGCTAGCTATTCAAGAGTATATTTAGACACTTACTTGTGTCTTCAGTATCTTTAGTGTAACCTTTAACCCATACGTAAAAATGTATGCACACATGACTGTAAGTCGCTTTGGATAAAAGCGTCTGCTAAATGGCATATTAATTAATATTTATTTATTATTTATTTATGACCCACTGGGTACTGTATATGAATGTGTCAGTGTAATGCACAGTCACATCACAGTGACGGACTGTGTCTCCTCACAGACTTTGTTGACCTCATCAATGGGAAGTTCTACGTTGGAGTCAGTGCCTTTGTCAAAGTCCAACTCAAGGTTGGTGATGGGCAGAGAAGTCAACCATTTTTCATTCAAATCTGCAGTGCCAATGTTGGCTCTTCCCAGTTTTGGAAGTGTGTTTCAAGGGAGGGTGCAATGAGTTGTGTGTTGTTTGGCAATGCGGTGCCGACATTTGGTTATTAGGTTTACCCATTAAATAGTTGGGAGCATATATAGTACATCAGTGCATTTGGAAAGTATTCAGACCCCATTACTTTTTCCACATTTTGTTATGTTACAGCCTTATTCTAAAATTGATTAAATAGTTTTTTCCCCCCCTCAATCTACACACAATACCCCATAATGACAAAGCAAAAACTGGTTTTTAGAAATCTTGCCCATTCTTGCCCATTCACCCTCTGAAAAAGGCTTAAAAATCATTCTTTAACCTGTCTCCTCCCCGCCATCTACACTGATTTGAAGTAGATTTAACAAGTGACATCAATAAGGGATCATAGCTTTCACCTGGATTCACCTGGTCAGTCTGTCATAGAAAGAGCAGGAGTCCTTAATATTTTGCACACTCCGTGTATATAGTGTACAACTTTCTTATTTTTTAAAATACAGTTTACCCCCTTTTAGTCAGCACCTATACAAACATTTTTGGGTGTGTGTCAGCTCACGCTTTTGACTATAATAATGTATTTCACACACTTATTACTAAGTGTGTTTGGTGTGCCTCTCTCCACCTAGGACGGGTCGTTCCATGAGGACGTTGGCTATGGGGTGAGCGAGGGACAAAAGTCCAAGGCCCTGTCACTGGAGAAGGCCAGGAAAGAGGCGGTCACTGATGGACTGAAAAGAGCACTCAAGTACGGGGGGAGATACTGTACACTTCATGTAACTTACTATTAACTACTTTTTACTGTGTGTGTGTGTTAGTGTCTGAGTTTGTTATAGTTCTGATATTTGATCCCCCGACCTTCCAGATGTTTTGGAAACGCCCTTGGGAACTGCATCATGAATAAAGAATACCTCATATCCATCAACAAGATCCCTAAACAGGTCAGATACTGTTCCCCTGTCAACTGTCATTTACATCCATCCATCCTTTCCAGTGTTCACTGTCTCTGTCTCTCCCAGCCTGCTCCCCCTCTGGACCCGGCCCAGACCAAGCGTTCTGACAGTGAGCCGTCAGTGGAGAAGGCCCGGTTCTCTAGCCTGGCCCGGTGTGAGGGGGCTGGGCCTGGGTCAGGGCGGGCACCACTGGAGCAGCCCAGGGCCCACCACCACCACCAGATTCCCCCACGGGAGCACAGGGACAATGGAGGGGGAGCCAGGACCTCTCTCTCACACACCCCTAATTCTGCCTCTGGACCTGTTGCCCCCTCAGCTCCATCAGACAGTGAGAACAAGCGCTGTAGTCTTGTCGTGTAAGCAACAGCAAAATGGCTAACTCTCAGCCTAACCTTTCTTGTGTATTGGTTTTATTACAGGTGTGTGTCTCTATATTTCCTCTCTCTACCCAAACTCTTACTCTCTCCTCTGTTCCTCTTTGTCTTATCACCCCAACTCTCTCCTCCCTCTCCTCCCTCCCCCCTCCTTCAGGTCTTTATCAGATGCGGAGGACCTCTCTCTCTCTGACGCCCACACAGACCCCAAGCAGCTGAGGAAGCTCAAGCAGCAGCAGCTACAGCAGAAGTTCCGCCAGGAGATGGAGGCGAGAAAGCTCCTGCAGGGACAGGGACAACCTCTACCCCAGCTCAAGACAGAGGGCCCAGACACAGCTGTTGCACAGGCACCCAGTGGAGCTCATGGTAAGACAATAAGCAAGTAAGAAAATATAACTATATTTTGGAGGACCAGTGCTTGACTTGGGCAGGAGCACCAGCACCTCAAATGTTCTACTGCTTGAGCTCCTGTTCCTTTTATAGAATATTAGCTCAAAGTATTGTATAAATATAAACAGTACCGGTACCCATTTCAGTCCAAGTCAAGCACTGTGGAAGACCATAAAATTAGTGTTAGCAAGAAATGTCCAGGTTCTGTATTAATGCAATATGGCGTGTGTGTTAGTCATGTTCTTTAAATTAGTGAGAATGAATCTGTGTATGTGAGTGTTTCTGTTAGTCTTGTACTAGTGTTGCCATGCTCTTTTGGAATGGGATATCTCTCTCCTTCCAGGTAGGTTTAGCACCCCTGACCAGGGACAGAGACCCACAATGGCTTACAGCACCCCTAGTGGCACAAAGAACCCTGCAGCAGGGACGAGTATCTGGCCGGTACCGTAAACAACCACCAGGGGGCTCAAGTAGAAAGAATGGGAGCTACTCTGAAAATGATTCAGATTACGCATATCTACAATGCATGCTGGTGTTGCGGAAATCTACCTACCTATGCTGCTATGTTGGTGTTTTTGATGTTACTTGTGTACCTGTATACTGTGGCTGCTTCTAGTTGTTACTATTGTACTAGGGACTATAAAATCCCCATAGTGTGACAATATACTGTATATCCACTAAAACACTTGCCCCCCCCTCCTAGATGACCCAGAGCTGTGGGACTTCACTCTAGACGGCATCCAGGAGTTGGAGGCCCCAGCAGGTGGACCTTCATCATCATCCTTGTTACGGCCCAGCACGCCAGGGGGGAGTCACCAAATGCTGACCCGCAGTAAGACACCTCAGAGAGGGGCTTCACCATCCCTACGACCCCCTGTCAGGCCCCACGAGCCCCCACCACACGGCCAAGGACATGGGGGACACCAACCCCAGTACAGACCCCAAAATCAGAACCAGCCCCCCAGGACATCTGACAGGGCAGGTGAGACTGGACTGGGTAATGAATGAGCTGCTTTAAAATAGTGGACATTATTAACCCTGCTCCTGGGGAACTACTGGGTGTGCAGCCTTTTGTTTCAGACCTACACTAACACATCCGATTAATCTAATCAACACCTTGATTAGATGAATCAGGTGTTGTAGCAATGTAAAGTACCTTCAATTTAAACAGTTTGAGAAACATTCTTATTATTGGTACAGCATTTTCTAGATTGTTATTAATTCCCTTTTCTTCTGTCACAGGTGAGGCATTCAGTCCATGTAGGCAAGGACAGTACTTGAAGAAACGCAAGCTGGACCCTTGAGAAAGGGCTGTTTTCACAGTCACCTAAAAGCCATTTTACCAACAAGTCCTAATTTTAATTTGTTTTATTTTAATTGATATGTTGAGTATATGGGCATCTCTTGTTGCTGCTAAATGTAAAGAAAAGTTTATATTTTTGTAAATAAATAAATCAGTGATTCCTGTTTGCCTTTCAAAAATCTGGAATATTCTCTTACATGTAAGTGTATCCACTTGTAACCTTTGTTCTGAATGTAATGTTCTAATCACGTTCCTGAACGATAAGAACATTACATACCTTCAATGTTACAGGTCTGGGATCCTGGCCACACACCAACCTCATTGGCAGAAATAAGCCTCAACTAGGCCCACTTGGTGCATGTAAAAGATGAAACAATAGGATTTCAGTTGTATTTGTATTTTTTACATTTTGTACAATGTGAAAAAACAGAGTAGACTGGTCGCAAGAGAGGGACAGAAATCCAAGAGTACAACATGAAATAACGTTGTTATAATATGTCAGTAGCCTAAGGAGACAGTATTGTGCCGGTAGAATCTTTTCACCACTGGATAAATACATATTTACTGATAATTGGGTGATTAGTAGCTTCTGTGTTAGCTTTTGCTGTACAGTGGTCTGGTGGGTTGTTGTAGGTAAGCAAAAGGTCTAAAACCAGTTAGCATGCAGAATTCAGGAACTGCAGATGCCAATATTATATTGAGATTGACACCTGAGCAATTCAAGATCAGCACTTTGTGTGGACTCCCATACAGCAAGGCAAAGAATAACAAAAGGAAAAAAGCAGGATCTCAGTTTTCCCAAATATCATAAACACTTATCAAATCAGTAACAACCCTCAGTATGCAAACATTATCTCTATTCCCCATTGGTCCCTATAAAACATTAAACATTGCATATTCTGCATTGCAGTAACTCATTATTCTCTAGAGAAGTTAGTCGTTTTTCAATCCAGGAGTGGGTGGATGAGAAGGTCACTGTATTGAGGGGAATGGCACTCATCGTGTAAGGTGGCAAAGGAGCAAGAGAATGGTGCCAATGGAGAGAAAAACCACAATACAACTGCTTAGTTTTCTTATCTGCTGAAAACAAGTGCTGCTATGCAATACTGTACTGATTACATTCATTCAGACAACCCACTTACAGACAAATCAACATAGGATACATAAACACAAACGCCGGTTTTGGTGACCACACAAATAAAACTTGTTTTCATGCAGCCCAGTGTGCTCTACTTTCCATTAGTCAGTCCTGTGTTGATATAAGACTGTCACCTGCCTCTTCTTACAGCAACTTCTTTAGGTAACTTCCGCTTAACCTCCACTTTAAAAACATTTACCGATGTCTATGGACGTTTGATGGATCTCACAAGTCGGCAGTTAACTGGTCTTTCAGTCACTGTACAGTAGGGCTAGGTAATTATGGTGTAATTTCTCAGTAATGAGGACGCAAGGCACTAAAGAGTTCTGCAAGTTTACAGGGCTGTCCGTGTGTGTACTGTGTGGGGGTGGGTAATCGCAAGACATCGTACTCTATGGTGATGATGGAGCATTATGTGAAAGCATTAATTAATATGCAACACATGTACCTCGCATGTATAGATATACAGTGAGGGAAAAAAGTATTTGATCCCCTGCTGATTTTGTACATTTGCCCACTGACAAAGACATGATCAGTCTATCAGTCAAAAATGTTATAAATTGATTTGCATTTTAATGAGGGAAATAAGTATTTCACCCCTTTGCAAAACATGACTTAGTACTTAATGGCAAAACCCTTGTTGGAGATTGACAGTTATTTTGTGTTTCTTCCATTTACGAATAATCGCAATAACTGTTGTCACCTTCTCACCAAGCTGCTTGGCGATGGTCTTGTAGCCCATTCCAGCCTTGTGTAGGTCTACAATCTTGTCTCTGACATCCTTGGAGAGCTCTTTGGTCTTGGCCATGGTGGAGAGTTTGGAATCTGATTGATTGATTGCTTCTGTGGACAGGTGTCTTTTATACAGGTAACAAGCTGAGATTAGGTACCTGTATAAAAAAAGACACCTGGGAGCCAGAAATCTTTCTGATTGAGAGGGGGTGAAATACTTATTTCCCTTATTAAAATGCAAATCAATTTATAACATTTTTGACATGTGTTTTTCTGGATTTTGTTGTTGTTATTCTGTCTCTCACTGTTCAAATAAAGCTACCATTAAAATTATAGACTGATCATTTCTTTGTCAGTGGGCAAACGTACAAAATCAGCAGGGGATCAAATACTTTTTCCCTCACTGTATACACACACACAGTAAAACAGAAAATGACAGGGTGGTGTATGATAAGAGCTGAAGAAGCACAGGACTACTCTCCTGTGTTACTGAGTACAATACTAATAATAACCCTGCAATTGCACTTTTACTTTCCTTTAACTACGTTGTTTAACAACCTTAAATAATTACAGTGAAACATCAAAATCTGATGGCTGAATACAGGTCCATAAAGAACATCTTGTATTTGTATTTAAATATACACATGAAATAAACCACAGAAAGGGAACCCCGGACAATTTGTCATGATTTTGAAAATATGACAACGGGAAATAAGGTTGGATAAATTTGTGAAAAGTTTACATTTCTTTGAGGTCTGTGTCTGAACATCATGCACCGTTCACTGCTAAATAATATACCGGTACTAGTACTATCTACAGAGAACCCTATGCCTCAGGAATGTAATACCTTTCTAACAGAAATGTACTGAGGGCCATAGCCTTGCTTATCAGTCTGACTACAGTACACCAGGTGGTGAGGTGAGACAACTGACACAGTAGCTAAGGTTTAAAACCCCAAACCAAATGGTCACAGTAGCTGAAGCCTACAACTGAAACCACTGACACAGGTTTCAGTTCATAAGCCTAACCAGTCGCTAAGGAGTAAACCAAAATCACTCATGGATACAGTCACTTCAGGCAAACTCCAAAGCATGGACACGACAGGAAGTAGGTATTGATAAACACTATCTACAAACAGGTCCGTTACTTTTAGCTCACACTAACAGGTTATGGTCTCAAATAAGAAACTAACCCCCCCAGTCAGGCATAACATCACACCATCTCAGAGGGACAGAGAGTAAAATATTACCATGGAATCATAACCTAGGACAAGAAATATCTCTCTATACGAAGACAATGTGTACAGGGGTTTAAGGCCACTGTTACACGGGGCCAGGGACACACTCCTTTCCTCACAATGTTATTATTGCATCTTACTGTACAGCGATCATACGGGTAACCACTATCCAAACACTATCCACTAAAACCTTACCGACTTCCATTCACACTTTCTTTCTCTCATTCCACCTCTTCTTTCCTTCTCTACATACTGTATCTCTCGCTACTTTCTTTACACAAACTTGTTACCCACAATTCATCTGTTTCTCGCCCAGACAGCTTCCCATACAATTCAACACCCCCGAATCTCAGCCAATGACAGTAGGGCTAGGAGGCGCATGTGTGTCTGTTGGCAGGGTTTCTCTCCATCTGCTAATTCTGTCCTAGTTAAGCTTAAGGCCAGTTACAGTCAAGAAGTGATTCATTCCCCCTCCCCGTTCCTATCCTCTCCTTCAAGGGAATGATGACATCGCAATGGTGCTTTCAACAGACGTCTTTGGCCATTGCCGTTTGTGTCCTTGGGTCAATGGCTTTCACTGGACAAACCCAAATGTCAATCACAGCCCGCTTCCACAGCCATTGGCAGAAAAGACTGGACCCTGTTAAGGGTGAAGGTGTGATTGGTGTGCTGTGGGTATGTACTGCACTCTCCCTCCGTCTGACAGGACTGAACCACAGTCTCCTCTCCTTCATTCTCACTACATTCTTCTTCCACCTCACCAATAAGCGAAACAGAACAAAACATCAGAGAGTGCTAGTAGTTGTCCTATAGCTCTCCTCCTCCCTGCCCTCAGTCCCTCTCAGCCCAGCCTGACTAACCCAGGTCCAGGCTACGTGGCCCTCAGGTTGAGGCCTCCAGGGTTGCTGACAGGTTTCTGGGTGGCTCCCACATGGAAGGCCTGCTGAAGGGGGGCTGAGGCCGAGGAGGGGGCTCGGGGCTGGTACTGGGTCAGCGGCTGGGTGGAGGCCAGGAGACCCACCTGACAGGGTCCTGTAGGTCCTGCCCACTGGGGGGCGCTGTAGGGGGATGGGCCATAGCCGAATCCCTGGGCAGGGGGGCCCAGTGAGCCCTGACGTGGGCAGATGGGGTTGGAGGGGTTGGTGGTGGAGGGGAGGGTGGGGCAGAGGTGGCCAGGGGCAGAACACTTCCGGCCCATGTTGGCTTGTGGAGGGATATGTACATGGATCTGTAGTTAGGGAGAGGGGACAGGAGAGAAGGAGAGGAATCAGACAAGGGGAAGTTAGTTAGATCAAAACCAATATTAAAGAGAGCAAAAACAAACGCTAACATTACCATTTAAAATAGAGCTAAAACCATAGATTGGCAGATTATTGAAATGGCTGGTCTTTAGACTGAGTAGTGAGGCCTTACGTCGTGTCCGGGTCCCTGGGCTGTCCCCTTGGGTCCTTTCTTGCCGTGGGAGAGGCTGATGGCGTCTCGGGCCCAGATGTCAACCAGCTGGTGCAGGTCATCTGTGAATGTGCCCTTGCGGCTCTGTGTTAGGGCCGGGGCTGTGTTAGGGCCTGACGGCTGGCACTGGCTGGTGTTCGCTCCAGTGTCTGAACTGGTCCCACTCACTCCTGGAAGACACACAGAGATGAGTTCAACCTGGGAAGCCAACTCATTTCTCAAATCACGTTTGGCTTCTCTTCTGGAGATGTATTATCTCTTGGTTAGATGAATATTGCATGGGTTTGCCTTTGTAAAACATGTAGTGAAGGAGCATAGACAATAGGAGCGTGGCTGGGTTTGCTTACTCATGGTGGAGGTGCTGAGGCTGGGCAAGGAGGGGGAGAGTTTGAGATTCTGGAGGGAGGTCCGGCTGCCTGACTCAGAGACCCCTGCCGTGGGGCGAGAAGTCTGCTTAGGGGAGGACGCTGGGGAGCTCTGGCCTGAGACTGGGGCTCCTAAACACACACCAACATCAACCAGAGAGTGGAGTGGAAAGAAACAACTGATCACATTACATTTACACTTCTAAGCTAGCAGTCTCTACCCTTTAATATTGACTAATTACTTGTTGCTTGCAGTCATGAACATTTGTAGATTCATTTCCATTCAGCAGTGCGCAGATCACTCACTAGATACAGACAGATGGACTGACCAATCATAACTCCTGTTACCTGAGTGCAGGGGACTGGGCTGGGCGCTGCTGCGGGCTGATTTTCTGGCCTTGGCCCTGCGTCGGCCCCCGGCCATGGCCACAGCGGGGGAGAGGACAGCTGAGGGAGGAGGTTTACCCAGCCTGGTGAACAGAGCATTTATTTCCTCCTTCTGACGGGAGTGGAGGGTCTGGATCTCTATCATATGTCTGTGGAAGAAGAGAGGAGGGCAGAGTGAGGCAGGGTTGTAACAAATACAGTACAACAGTCACCACTACTTATTTTATCCTTTACTAATACAAGTGATCCCATTGAGATAAAAAAAATATATATAAGAGAATTATGGCCCAAAACAGCAAAACAAACAACAGGTTACATCTTGGAGGAGTGAAGGTAACATACTTCTCTCGGAGGCAGCTGACTTCCCTCTCAAAGGCCTCGTCCTCAGGCCCAGAGTCATCCTCGTTGTCGCTGGTCATGTAATGATGAAACAAACCGCTGTTCACGCCGGAGGCAGAGCTACAGAGGTCAGAGGTTGTCGAAGAGGAAGGGCCGTTCTGATGGCAGGAGCTAGACCCCGAAGGAGCTGTGGTATTGGCAATAGCTGGCGTCACTGAGAAACGGCCCACTTTCGAGACAGAGTTGGGGCTGGCAGTCACCTGGAAGAGTCCGATGGTGGTGGGCTGTGTTGGGACAGAAGTGAGCCCATCTACGGAGTCTCCTCTCCGGACTCCTTTGGAGAGGGAGGAGGAGCGGTGGAGGGTGTTCTCTGGGCTGGAAAGGGAGGAAGAAGAGGAGGAGGACGAAGAGGGTGTGAGGGAGGAAGAGGAGGCGATGTTCGAGGGGTCAGGAGTGCTGCCGGCGCTAGCTTCTGCTGTAACAGAGACCTGGAAGCGTCCCAGTTTGACGACCCCTGTGGAGGGCGTTGCGGCTCTACAGCTCCCTGGAATGGTCTCTGGGCTCAGAGCTCTCCTCAGCTGGCCGTCCAGACTACCAAGAGGCTGCTGGGACTGGACACACACACGACATGTCAGTAACAAACATACCAACACAACTCACTCAGAAAAACAACACTCAAAATAACTCACCACTACTAACACAACTAATATAGGTAAGATAACACAACAGAACAAGCACAACTCAACACACACCACTCAAAGATAACCCAACGATCACCTACTCCACACATCTACAAAACTCAACAGTACATAACTTACAACTTCTCAAGGGGACAAGTTCTGAAAAGAGGACTAACCTGGTTTGGTCCTGGGAATGGAGGCAGTTGCTCGGTGGTAGGGGTGCCTGCCTGCTCGGAGCCACCAGGATACATCCGACACACACACATACACACACACACACACACACACCCGACACACACAAAGATGTAATCATTATTATCAAGGTGGGAGAAAAATCACGTTCTCGCGTTCCAACAATTGAAAAAAGCATTTAGTACAAGTACAATATCTTCTCAGTCACTGGACAATCAGAGAGTTCCCGTACCTGTGCTCTAGTGGCTTGGCCATGGTTTTCTGGAGGGATCTGTGTATTTTCCGCTGGTGTGATGCCCTGTCCTGGGGTGGAGCTGGGGCCCGGGGCTCCCTGTCCCCCTGAAGTGAGGGACAGGTTTAACGGGGGCACCAGGGCCGCCCCGGGGGGAGGGGAGATGGTCCCCGTGGGGGGAGAGGTGGTCTCAGTGTTGCCAGTGTCAACGGAGGATGTGTCCTTAAAGAGTGAGCGCAGCTTTTTATCCAGGGCATGGATGTCATCTATACCAGGGGCCTTGGACTGGGACTCTCCCCCATCTGGGTCCCCTGGCTGCGACTGGGATGGTTGGGAGGGCAGGGTAGAAGGTGGAAGTTGGGTGGGGGCCATTGCAGGCTGTGCCACAGGGACAAAGGTAAGGATAGGCTGAGACTGGGAGGAGGTGGGCAGAGTGACAGGAATGGACACAGGGATAGGCTGAGAGGACGGAACAAGAACAGGAGCAGGGTGCTGCTCTGAGCTGGTCACAGTCCCAGAGTTACTGGGTGGAGCTCCAGAGACAGGGGAGAGAGGGGCAGAGCTGCTGCCCATCTGGGCGGCAGAGGCTGGGGGGAAAGAGGCCGAGGTGGCCTGGGGGTGCTGGGGAGCAGCTGAAGGGGGGAATGTGATTCGGGCAGGGGTAGGTTGGGAGGGGGCAGCTTGGTAGCCAGGCAGGGGGTGTGGGATTAGCTCACTGGTAGCAGGTGCAGGGGCTGGAACTGTGGTTGGAGACACCCTCCCAGTTGCAACTTGGCATGTGGAGGGGGGAAGAGATGAGGACCCAGAGGGGATGACAGAGACAGGAGGCAGGGTGGAGGAGGAGGTGGGGGCTGTAGCCCCTGGGGGAGCCAAGGTCTGGTGAGGGTGGAAAGGAGGGGAGGCTGGCCGCAGGCTAGCCTGGGAGGAGGGTACTGTGCTGGGGTCTGGCTCGGCTGGGTGGCCCATGGTGGCTTGTCTCTCCCCATGCGTCTGCCTCATCTCAGTGAAGGCCTGCTGGAGGCGGCCTGAGGGGGCAGACAGGGACAGGCCCAGACTCACTGGGGCGGCGGGGAGGAACACAGACAGAGAGGAGTCACTTACATAACCTGGGCTCTTACAACAAGTCATTTATCATCATGACTTCAAAACGCACTAATGTTGGTACTTGCATCAAGCAACATGTTTTAGAGTTCTCAAACAGTCACTCTCACCTGGAGGGGGCTCGTCCCCAAACGAGGTGTTAGCCAAGGGAGGGCCGAATAACTGCTCCCTCAGACGGGACTCTGGGACAGGGCTGACGATGAACCTCCGGCCTGCAGAGTGGACCACCTGAGCTGCAACACCTGGGCAACAGGGGTCAGGGGTCAGGGGTGAGGGGTGAAGCTCAGACAATCATCTTTCCGTAGAGATAGTAATGTGTAGGTGCATGTTTACCAGGCAGAGGAGTGGGCATGTTACGCTGCTGTAAGGGGTCATCCACGACAATCTGAGGAGAGAGAAGGACAACACGATGTCAACTAAAGGCTGCCCAGGAGTTAGTGGGTGGAAAGATGAAGTGCTGCTGTGTGTTGGTGTAGTATGTTACCTGAGTGAAGGGTGGTTGAGCGTAGCCTTCCTTCATGCCCTCTCCTTTATCGTCCGCCATTTCGATGACCTCACGGACCTGCTCGATGAACGACTTGCGTTCGCTCTCCAGGATAAACTCACTCAGGACCTGAGAGAAGGATATACATTTAACTACAATAATAACAATTAATGCCTATTAAATCCACATTTCCACCCGTGGAAAGAGACCAGTGGAGCTACAAAACAAAACAAATCTAATGCCTTTACGGTACTTTTGACAACTACAGAGCCTTTGGGGAAGAGATCAATAAAACTCAGATCAATGCTTTTTAGTTTAGTTTATTATTATCATTACCATGATACATGCGATCTCTTCAGGATTATCTCCATCCAGGTCAAACTTAAATTTGACCATCTTCCTGTTGTGGGTCTCCAGCTGGCACTCTGCTACCCGGTCTCCAATGTTGGAGATCTTAAACAGACACACAGAGAGAGAGTGAGAGGCCAATAGGGTTGCAAAATTCCTGTAACTTTCCTGAAAATTCATGGGTTTTTCTGAAATCCTGGTTGGAAGATTCTCCGGAATCAGAAGGGAATAAGCAGGAAATCTGGAATCCTCCAAACAGAATTTCTGGAAAACCTGAGTATGTTGAAAATTACTGGAATTTTGGCCAACACAGGGTGCGAGGAGCATGGGCGGTGTGTTCAATAGGGCGATATGGGCGACGCACTGCCAAACGGGAAAAGGAAGGGATTTTTTTTCTAATCAATTATATCATGGCAACAGTAGTTCAGTGTTCACGTCTGATCTGCCAGCCACTAAATGTCCAATCAGGCTAAAGTCGTGCTTCAAATGTCCCCGCCCGTTTTGGGGCGATTTCAGTCAGGTTGAAAATCGCCCAGAAGTCTCTCATAGCCTCTAATGTAAAATATTTTTTTTTCAAATTTCTGAGCTTTCAATACATTCTCTATGGGTGTCTGAGGGCTTGCACTTACGCGCTTTCGTCATACGTAACGTAACGTAACCATGAACGGCAGACAGCAACGCTTGGACAGCGACTGGTGTAACCGACATGCACCATCTTTCAGAAAAGATTCAGAAAAATGAGCTGTCAAAGACCCACATTGATAGCTGTTTGAGATTGTCTGCTTTGGTGAGAGTGAATATTGCCACTCAACTGGATGAGGGATACAGGCTAGCTGTCCGCCGCCACAACGATGAGGTTAGCAACAGCAGAGTCGTGAACACTGTCTACGAGAATCGAGACGACCTCATAGAATGTTTTGAAGCCATCCGGACGGGTTCATTGGGTTCATTTGACCAGCCCACCGTACCAGAAGCTACAGAATAAGGACATCGATGCTGTCTTTATCAAACGTGCCCTCGACAGCTTCGCAAGCAGTGTGCAGGCCATAAGGTAAGATAAAGATTAAACAATATCATTCGATCTTTCTCAAAGCAGAGCTTTATTTGAAAATGTATGCATGAAAGGAGACTGCATTTGTGTTTGAAATTACATTATTGTCATTATATATGGCCAGTGGTGTAATCTATCTTATTTTATATACTATGTGTACTGTACAGTGGTGCTCATAAGTGTATGAACACATTCTAAAGCTGACTAAAAAGAGGAATAAAAAAATAAAAAAATCATCTTTTGGAAATTGATCTTAATGACTTAATTAAAAAAGTTGGAAAATCCAACCTTTAAGGACACCAATTTTATTTTCTTTTTTATTCCTCTTTTTAGTCAACTTTAGCATGGGATCATAAGCTTATGAGCACCACTGTATACTGTGCTGAACATCCAGGCTATGTGAGACACAAAGGCTAACTTAAACACTAAAGACTTTATGCATCCCTGCCCATTTTAAGTGGAACTGAAGTATTTGTACTATACATGGATACATTGCATATACCTGTGCATCACATAGACAACAATACTGTACAAAGCCAACAAACACATTGGTCTGTTTGCCTTCAGGGACTCCTCTCAACAGCAGCTGCAAGAAGCAACAGGAGCCAAAAGACCCAGAACAGCTTTGAGAGAAGAGGAGAAGCAGAGGCTGTCTGAAGAGGTCTGCAACACCATCCTGGATCACACCAAAGAAAGGTTCTCTTTCTCTGGCCACCTTGTGAGTGCTACCTTACTGCAAGCAGACATGTTTGAAAGGTACTGCCATTCAAAAAAATAAAAAATCTGTTCATGTTCATTTTTACAAATCTATACAATTGGCCAGAATATGGTTGTTCATATTTACAAATCTATACAATTGGCCAGAATATGGTTGTTCATTTTTACAAAGCCATACATATTGTTTATGCAGTGTTGAGGAATGTGAAAGAACACCCTTGATTATTTTTACTGTGATAACTTATTTTGCTTTTGTAAGCCAACACTTTTGAGATCAGTCAATAAATGCTTCTGGTATTGACTTATATGCTGCCCCTGTCTTCATGTTGTTGCTGGACATATCTTTTAAAAAATGTGTGTAGGTCACCTAAATCATCAGAAAAATTGCCCCTCCTGAGAATTTTTTCAGGAGCCGCCACTGGCGAGGAGATAGAAAGTAGCCATGTGGAGTCTGTGTGAGGGACAAAGCGCTTAACATAGAGGAAGAAAACAGACAGTGAGTTGAGGTGAAAGTCTGACCATGTGACTCTTACATTGAGGACGATGAGCTTGGCCTTGGCGGTCTTCTCGTGGCAAGAGTGGCTGCGTACAGAGTGTTGCTGGTGCCGCTTGATCATGGAGCGCCCTTCGTGTCTACCGCCTGATGCCCCCTCATGGCCGTCACTCAAACCTGACGCCACGTCCGACAGACAACTGGGAGAGAGAGAGAGAGGTGGGGGGAGGAAGACATCACAATGAACAAAGGGCCGTATCATACAGTATATAGATGTATTTTCAATAGAACATATTCAGTAGCAGAAAAAGCTGTTTGGTGTGAGCTAGGTATAAAGCTGTTGTGGAGAGATGTGATGCCTTACCTCTCCACAGACTGAGGCACCAGCGCTGTCTGTCCTGCTGCCTGCTCTGCTGGCGCTGGCTTGGATACACTCACAGAGGCCTGAAACATCATCACACACACACACACACTGTTCATTAAAGGAGCTTTACAACCATGTCATGTCAAGCATGAAAGCAATGGATGCACCTGGCTACACCTTAAGCACAGAAGGGTGTGTGATCTGACCGAGGAATTCTTTGAGCACACACACACACTGAAGGTACAAGGTACTTCTCGTAGGACATGATTTGAGTGTGTGTTTGTAGGCTCCTTATACTACTATCACATGACAACACTCATCACACACACGTTGCTCCTGGCCTGTGTGTACCTGCAGCACAGAGAGGTTTGCGGCCTGATAGAGGAAGTAGAGGTGTTCTGCGTTGATTGGAGGAGATAGGATAGTTGGGCTCGGTTCATTGGCCCATGACTGACAGCCATGCAGGAAGAAGAAGCAGCAGCATGCAAGAGGAATGCATGAAAGAAAGAGTGGATGAAAGAGTAGGGCCATGGAGCCTTTAGTCCAGCGGTTCCCAAACTCGGTCCTCGGGACCCCAATGGGTGCACGTTTTGGTTTTTGCCGTAACACTACACAGCTGATTCAAATGATCAAAGCTTGATGATCAGTTGATCACTGCTGTGTAGTGCTAGGGCAAAAACCAAACCATGCACCCATTGGGGTCCTGAGGACCGAGTTTGGAAAACCCTGTGTTTGTAAAAAAAAACCCAGAACATTTCAAAACAGAGGGTGAAGAATTGAAAAGAGAATGACAAGACTGTACATGCGTGATACAAATATGGAATAGATGCTGTGTCGTTGTTTGTAGATATGCTTGCTTGTCTGATTGTTTTAGCGTTAGTAAGAGCGTAAGCTGGGGTTGTTGTGAACTAGTGTGTCAGTGTGTGTGTCACCTGTATTTGCTGGGCTCCAGGCTGGAGTGGTGGTAGTGCTGAGCTCTGAGGTACAGTGCTCCCCACTGGCTGTGGCTGCTGGAGGTGCACGGGAGGGATGGGCTGAGATGAGGGGGGCAAAGCCACCTGCTGGGAGGGCACCTACAGGGGGGTGGAGGAGACAGAGATAAGAGAACTTCACAAATCAAACAGCCATATCTGCAGAGAAGACCTCTTCATTATCTGCAAAGATCTCTTCATTATCTATTCACCAACACACTGCCCTTCAAACAAACCCACCATCCATCCCTCCCCCCAGAGGCCTAACCGCCTCATAGCGTTACACTGGCTCTCATCCACAATCCAACTCCCCCAGGCACTTACCTACTGCATTACATTGCAACACTATAAATCAGTACAGGTCTTATAGCATGGATTATACCACACACACACACACCTCAAAAAGCAGTGAAGGATACCATATAATAGGCTTGGGCGGTATCCAGATTTTCATATCGTCATACCACCCTTCTCTCATCCCGGGATTTACAGTATTACCGGCATAGCTCACAAGGGGGCGCTAAAGCCCATTGGGCTTCTATTACCAGAATGCTAACAAAATGAGCAAACTAATACCGAAATTACATAGACGCTGTTAGCTAAATGCTAACGAGCGAAAAATAAACAAATTGCAAAGAAAGGCAAATCCATCTCATAAAGTTATACAAGCATAGCTAGTGTGGACATTTACATGCGAAAGTGAACGAGAAAATTTTGCAAATGAACAAAGTTGTGAAGCATGCTTTTCTGAAGGAAGAGAAGCATGTGTACATGGAACAGCAAGGAAAATAACTAATAGGAAGCACAGGGGAGAAAATGGCAACTGTACAGATAACTCATCCAAAGCTCTTTGAGTTCTGGCAGAAAGCCATTACAAGATACAGTATCTGATGGCAAACAGTAGTGAATTGCATACAATTGTACCTTGAGGGATGCATAAAGAAACCGAAAGAAAGAGGGAGAGCGGGTCCACCACTGTTTTCAACTCTGTGGCTATAGTGGAACAGCACTGGTGTGGTGTGGTGGTGAAGTTGTATTGTGATGGTGACGTGTACCTGTTGTGGAGCCCCAGGGACAACAGTGGCAGTCTGGGCAGCAGGAACCACCTGACAAACAGGACAGAGGGAGGAGGAGAGAGGGATAGATGGAGGGAGAGAGAACGAGATAGAGAAAGTCAGCTGTATTTACTATTATACATACAGAGACAATAGTTGGGTACTGTTTCTGTAAGAATATATTAAATACATTGTGTGCCACGATAATGACACTCACCATGGTCTGCTGCTGCGATTGGTCAGTTTGGACAGGGGGTGTGGCCTGTGGGTATGGGGCCTGTGGCTGTGGCTGCTGACTGGGCAGAGAGCTGTATGACATCACCGGCTGAACCAGGTGCGTCTCGGGAAGGATGGAGGAACTCTGAGCTCTATCTGTTATTTGATTGGCTGAAAGAGGGAGGGGTAGAGAATAGGAAGATGGTTTTTAATTGATAAACACTTGATTAAGACTAGGTCAATACTACAAAGCACTGACTGCAAAAAAAGGTGACCGGCAGAAGGTACAGACCTGTCTCAGTCTGCTGTGGGTACTGGCCCACCTCTGGCACCCCTGACTCTGGCTGGGCTGGAACCTGGGTCGATACTGGGACTGGGAGCTGCCCTGTCGACTGGGGTATGTAGGGAACTCCCTGGGGTGGCTGCTGGGTATAGGGGGCAGCCTGTTGGCCTGGCTGGGAGGCCTCTGTGCTGGGCTGGAGCCCTGGTTGTGGATGTCCCTGCTGCTGTAGTAGTAGTAGGTGTTGTTGTTGTCGTTGTTGGCCCTGCTCCTCCTCCAGCCTCCTCTTCTCTTGCTCCTCTCTCACCTTCAATACAATCACATCAAGTTCAGCTCAGTTTAATTCATTTGATTGGAATACCATTAAACTTTACATGCAGGATTCAGACCTAAGATTCCATTGAGCTGGTACAGACCTGTTGCCTCTGCTCCCTCTTCCTGCTGATGAGGGAAACCCTGTCCTTTATGGCCTTAGCCATGGTCTTATGGTCCCCTTCACACACGTAGCCAGACTCCACCTGAGACAGATACACACACACACAGAGAGAGAGAGAGAGCAGAACAAGGGACCAGGGCAGTATTAGGACTTGAAAGACTCCTAAATAATCAGGAAGAATTAAGACCCAAATGGCACCCTATTCGCTATGGGCCCTGGTCAAAAGTAATGCACTATATAGGGAATATGGTGCCATTTGGGGTGTAGTCAATCTCTCTCTGAAGTGGACAGCCATTTGGGACGCAGAAATAACTATTTGAAGTGGACATCGCATTGTCACCCACCATCTCCTGGGCCACGTCCTCGGGGACGTCCTTGCCGAGGTCGAAGGAAAACTCGATGGCCTCGTTGTCCTTGTACTTCCCCTTCAGCTTCTTGACATCCTCTATCCTCAGCCACAGCTTGATGGCCTCCATCTCCCCGTCGTCCTCCTCAGCCAGCTCCACACGCACCCCGGTCTCCTCCTGGAAGAAGGCATGGTTCAGCAGGTCCTTTATCGAGTACCTTGGAGAGACGGGGAGAGTCAAATCAATACAGATATTTTTATCACACCAAAACCCTTTTCAACTCGTCTCATTTTGAGAAGGTCCTGGGTGCATGAGTATGAATACTCTCCCTGCATCGGTGTCTCTATAGCTGGACGTTGCAGAAATCACACTGGATAAGAGTGTCTGCTAAATGACCAGAATGTGAGTGTGAGTGTGAGCTGACCTCTCGTCCTTGTTCTGTCGGATGCATCCCTCGATGATCTCCTTCACCTCGGGGATGGCCACCTTGTCGAAGCTGGCCGGCTTCACCCCCTATAGGACACACACACACACACACACACACACACACACAACTCCCAGTCAACAACCCACACATTGTCAACATAGAAAGATTCTGCTTCCGTGATTCTAACTTCCTGGGCATGGTTTCCCCGATACCAATGGCACTTAAGCTTACGTGTGTTTTAACGATGCATCTTTCTGTCCGAAGATGTAACATGCGTTTTCCAAAACACCACGCAGAGAGTACATTCGCAAAGTGCGTCGTTGAGGCCTGTGTTGATACTGATAGGATCTAAAGAAAGGCAGCACTGCTCTCGGATCAGTGTTCTCCCTTTCCAATCTAAACATTATAATTATTCCACAATACTGATGATGGATCAGCTCCTAGACAGATATAATCACTTATGGCTACACATTTTGATGCGGCTTATTCTAATGCTTATACTATAATAATGGACTAAATCAAGATTTGGCACATCATTGCGCACCTTACACATCATGAAATATATTGAGTCAAATAGCTATAAAGCGTACAAATAGCTTAATAAAACTCAATTGAATTAACATGAAATTTCAATATCATTGAAATATATAGGTCTATGTAGCCTATACTGTATTTATCTTTTAATACAGTAATCTTGGCTTTCATTTGAAGCGTCTTTATATCATTCACAGAAATGGGCAACTTTGCATTTGTAGTCATTGTCACATTCGTGTTGAAGTTATTGGCGGTCACAAAGACAGATAAACATACTGATTTTGTGTTTAGCGGCCATCTTCTGTGTATAAAGTGACGCGGAAGGGCAAAACAGCATCTAATGACGTACTTAGCTGTTTTACGAGTGTTTTGAGGCAGTTAAACATTTTCAAGAGCAACTTTAGTAACAATGGTTTTGGGAAATAGCTCGGAGATTTAATGATGCCCCTACAAAGGTTCTAACGATGAACGTAGCCTTAAGATGCTTTTGGGAAACTGGGCCCTGGTCTACTCAGGGATGCGTTCTGGAGGGCACACGGTTGCAGATAGAAATGTTGTGTACAAAGCTGAAATTATTCTATATTCTACATGCCAGAAGTATGTCTGTTCTACATAATATATTTATATCTGAACGTTCTGTGGCGTTGCCCTGTCGCCTCCTAGCAGCACTGTATGAGAACAGAGTATAACACTTTATTGGGCTGCAGTGCATGCTTAGTGTTCAAACTCATGTAATTGAATGTGATGTACTTGAATGTCCCAAATGAAGTTCTTGGGGGAGTCACCAGTTACAGCACTCTCATCTCAGAGCAAGGTTCAGTAGCTACAGTACCCACTGTACCCTGGGCCTGTTTTGAGGGCCACTAATCTAATTCTACATGTGAATTTAGGAGTTATGGTGACACTCCCACCCTTTGAAGATTAGTGGCTAGGGCTGTTACAGGGAGGGAGGGAGGAATCTAAATAAGGAAGCTGACCATATTTCACGAGAATTTACTTCTGGGTAACAGAGATTAGGTCTATAGAGACAGCAGGAGACTGCCTGGCGCTACATATACAGTGGGGAGAAAAAGTATTTGATACACTGCCGATTTTGCAGGTTTTCCTAATTACAAAGCATGTAGAGGTCTGTCATTTTTATCATAGGTACACTTCAACTGTGAGAGACGGAATCTAAAACAAAAATCCAGAAAATCACATTGTATGATTTTTAAGTAATTAATTTGCATTTTATTGCATGACAAGTATTTGATCACCTACCAACCAGTAAGAATTCCGGCTCTCACAGACCTGTTAGTTTTTCTTTAAGAAGCCCTCCTGTTCTCCACTCATTACCTGTATTAACTGCACCTGTTTGAACTCGTTACCTGTATAAAAGACACCTGTCCACACACTCAATCAAACAGACTCCAACCTCTCCACAATGGCCAAGACCAGAGAGCTGTGTAAGGACATCAGGGATAAAATTGTAGACCTGCACAAGGCTGGGATGGGCTACAGGACAATAGGCAAGCAGCTTGGTGAGAAGGCAACAACTGTTGGTGCAATTATTAGAAAATTGAAGAAGTTCAAGATGACGGTCAGTCACCCTCGGTCTGGGGCTCCATGCAAGATCTCACCTCGTGGGGCATCAATGATCATGAGGAATGTGAGGGATCAGCCCAGAACTACACGGCAGGACCTGGTCAATGACCTGAAGAGAGCTGGGACCACAGTCTCAAAGAAAACCATTAGTAACACACTACGCCGTCATGGATTAAAATCCTGCAGCGCACGCAAGGTACCCCTGCTCAAGCCAGCGCATGTCCAGGCCCGTCTGAAGTTTGCCAATGATCATCTGGATGATCCAGAGGAGGAATGGGAGAAGGTCATGTGGTCTGATGAGACAAAAATAGAGCTTTTTGGTCTAAACTCCACTCGCCGTGTTTGGAGGAAGAAGAAGGATGAGTACAACCCCAAGAACACCATCCCAACCGTGAAGCATGGAGGTGGAAACATCATTCTTTGGGGATGCTTTTCTGCAAAGGGGACAGGACGACTGCACCGTATTGAGGGGAGGATGGATGGGGCCGTGTATCGCGAGATCTTGGCCAACAACCTCCTTCCCTCAGTAAGAGCATTGAAGATGGGTCGTGGCTGGGTCTTCCAGCATGACAACGACCCGAAACACACAGCCAGGGCAACTAAGGAGTGGCTCCGTAAGAAGCATCTCAAGGTCCTGGAGTGGCCTAGCCAGTCTCCAGACCTGAACCCAATAGAAAATCTTTGGAGGGAGCTGAAAGTCCGTATTGCCCAGCGACAGCCCCGAAACCTGAAGGATCTGGAGAAGGTCTGTATGGAGCAGTGGGCCAAAATCCCTGCTGCAGTGTGTGCAAACCTGGTCAAGACCTACAGGAAACGTATGATCTCTGTAATTGCAAACAAAGGTTTCTGTACCAAATATAAAGTTCTGCTTTTCTGATGTATCAAATACTTATGTCATGCAATAAAATGCAAATTAATTACTTAAAAATCATACAATGTGATTTTCTGGATTTTTGACAGACCTCTACATGCTTTGTAAGTAGGAAAACCTGCAAAATCGGCAGTGTATCAAATTCTTGTTCTCCCCACTGTATATGGAGGGCTGGATAACAGCTGTAATCACAGTCACATTAAGACAGCTCTGATAGACAGTCATAAGTTCGCACCATTCTGATTTTCTCATAGCGATAAGTATGTTGTGTATACTGATTCCTGGAATGCAAGTTACTTATCAAGGGAGTTCAACAATGTTCAGCATTTTGGGGAAAAATTTTTTATCCAAAGAAGTTGGTCGAATTGACTAGAAAGGCTCCTAAAGTGCGACTTTTTCGTTGTGTTTCTTGGCCAGTTGAGTCTTGCTCACACGCTAGGTTGATTTTCAATGTTAGTTTGAGTTTGCTGCAACTGTTTGCTGCTAGGAAGACACAGTCAGAGATTTTCTTTCATCACAGACAAGCGAGTGCCCAAGTCACCACGGTAATGGCCCATCCCTTAAAGGCAATGCTTTTATTGATGAACTTTTAATTTCTTATGAAAACACAAATACTTTCATTGTTCTCCTAGATTTATTTGTGAGATTCTACATTTCTACTTAGGAGCACATCTTGTAAAAAAAATTCAGCGTAGCACCCTGAACTAGAATAATAAATAAGCCATATCACTCAGCCTTTTGTAGCAGGGTAGGCACTTTGTAGATTTTTGATGTTCAGTTGTAGAACTGTTTCTGTTTTTACTATCTAAATGATTTATTTTAACATACATTGGTTAAAATACGCAGGTCACAAACATTTTATTAAATTAAGAAATATACCTCATTACTTCTTACTATACTGAACAAAAATATAAACACAACATGTAAAGTGTTGGTCCAATGTTTCATGAGCTGAAATAAAAAATCCCAGAAACTGTCTATATGCACAAAAAGCTTATTTCTCTCATTTTGTGCACAAATCTGTTTACATTTCTGTTAGTTAGCATTTTATCCTTTGTCAAGATAATCCATTACACAGATGCACCTTGTGCTGGGGACAATAAAAGGCCACTTTAAAAATGTGCAGTTTTGTCACATTACAATGCCACAGATGTCTCATGTTGAGGGAGCGTGCAATTGGCATGCTGACTGCAGGAATGTCCACTAGAGCTGTTGCCAGAGAATTTAATGTTCATTTCCCCACCATAAGCTGAAAATGTATGCACTCACTTAACTAAGTCGCTCTGTATAAGAGCGTCTGCTAAAATGACTAAAATGTAAATAAGCTGCCTCCAACGTTGTTTTAGAGAATTTGGCAGTACGTCCAACCGACCACTCAACCGTGTGTAACCAGGAATAACAGGACAGTGCAGACACTCCTCCAATCAATCACACACTCCTCACTTCAACTGACAGACACGCAACACAACTGATAGACACATTCCACACACACGCGTCCGGAGACAGAGCGAGAAAAACTGGAAAAGAGAGAAATAGAGAGGGGGAGAATTGGAGGGAGGAGGGGAAAGAGGTAACAGAGAGAGGGAGGAAGAGGACTCACGGTGAAGACAGAAAGAGGGGTGAGAAAGCGATAAAGACAGGAGAGAAAGAGTGGCAAAGGAAGGCCAGTGATGCAAATGAAAAATAACTGTGCTCAAAATGGAGAGAACAGCAAGGAGGGGGAAAGCACACAGGGAGGAGATGGGACAAGTAAAGAGGGAACCGGAGTGAGGAGAGGGGGTGGCAGAGCGGGAGGACAACAGGGAGAGGGGTTCATGGAATGGGGGTTGAGGCGGGGGAGACTTACGCTGGTGACTCTGCGGTAGATCTGTGCAGCGTTCTGGCACTCGGAGTATGGGTACTCTGAGGTGGCCATCTCCAGCATGCACATCCCAAAGGCATACACATCCACTGACTCGTCGTACTTCTCCTCATACATCTCAGGCGCCATGAACTCAGGGGTACCTTAAATCAAATACAACCATTCAGAACTCTGTGTCTCTCTCTGTGTCCGTCTCCCTCTCGGAGTGTCACACCCAAAACGCCCCTCTTCTCCTCTAACCAAGTGGAAAAGGAGGAGGAAGAGTGACCCGTCCGCCGCTGCCTCCGGGTGAGCAGAACCTGCGAGAGGAGAGTAGAGAAAGAGAGAGAGGGGAGGAGAAGAGCAACAAAAAAAAAGGGGGGGGGAAGCCGGGCTCAGTTAGACTGTAGTGAAATAGGCACACATTTCTCTGTGTAAGACCTGGTTATCTGGGGGGTGACACCTGGTATAGGGGGTCTAAAGAAGATGGCTGGTGTACAGAACACACTGTGGGGGGGGACTGGTGTTAGACAGACACCTGTCAGTTGAACTAGTGACACTGTAGAATGACCCAGTTTACCTATCAGAACCCGTTTAGTGAGTTGAGTGCCAATGATCAGGGGCCTCAAAGTGGCAGAGAAGGGGCACGAATCGTAAGACTAGCTATGGAAATAACTTGTGTCAAGACCTTACCTTTCACAACCAAACATAACCCGTTTCATACAAACTTACCTTTAAGTAGTCCGACTTACCTGTCCTCATTGACTTAGGGCAGGGTTCTTCAATTCCGGTCCTGGAGGGCCGAAACACTTCTGTTTTTTATTTCTACCTGGTAGTTAATTGCACTCACCTGGTGTCCCAGGTCTGAATTAGCCCCTGATTAGAAGGAGAGGATGAAAAACAGAGGTGTTTCGGCCCTCCAGGACCGGAATTGAAGAACCCTGACCTAGGGAGTAAGGTGTTACGGTGAGGGCTGAGAGAAGCAGATCCCATAGCTAGTTACTGAGACAGTGTGTGTCTGGACACCAGCCTTATTCAAATAGCAGATACACTGCTCTCAATCTTCTGAGGGTCTTACACAGAAAAACTCAAAATGGTTATTTGAAATGAATTGGTTTTTGTAAGATGTGTGTCACAGTGCACTCGCACACTTACCATGCCCATAATAGCAAATACTTACTGACCAGCAGTACCCTATTTATTCCTTTACTGCAGAATGGGGCACAGCTGAGGCTAGAGCCTACAGTTTCAAAACATACCCAAGTGTGAAAGAAAAAAAGAAAAACAAAAGGCTGATAAAGGAGAAGTGGGTAGGAGGGCTTTCCAGACAGAAAAAGAAGCAGACATTCTCTGCGCTCCTAAAATTGTTTAAAAGACAGAGACAAACACTGACAAAAACCTGTGGGAGCAAACCCTTAAAAAAGAGAGAGACAAACGGGAAACGTTATTGGCATCACTGGCAAACAGACCACATATTTCCAAACCACAGAGCAAAGACCAGTCTGAGACAGGAGACAGAACCAGAGGCCATACCTGTAGCCCTGGTCTGGCTAGCCTGACAGTTAAGGCATGACAGGTGGATTGAGATTCATATTTCACAGAGAGACGGAGAGATTGGAGGCGCTACTTACTCTCAGTAGGAGCCTGAAACAGTGAACTTTCACTTTGTGGAGGAAAAAGATGATCTAATAAATTGTCACTGAGTAACCAGCCCTGGCGGACTCGCTGACATGACAGTGTGTGTAAAGAGAGGGTTTGTGGGTCTCCCCATGACCTGGCCTCCGCTTGAGCTGTGGTTTGATTAGAGAGCTGAAACATTGTGGTCTGTTTTCGAACCACATTGTCAGTCCAAAAAAGATGATCAGAAACAAAAACCTAACCCCCACCCACCAAATCCAACCCTTCATAACCTCAATGTCACCCACAGTATAATAACCTTAAACAAGACATCCCCCAGTGGAGTGTAGTGGGGAGGAAAGCAGGGCACAGTAAAAGGTAGTGGGTGATATTGGGGTCTTACCTATGACACTCTTGGCGAAAGACGACCTCTTGAGCGTGGCCAATCCCAGGTCTCCTATCTTGACGGAGCCCGTGGGGCCGGTGATGAAGATGTTGTCACACTTCAGGTCCCTGTGGATGATGGGAGGGGCCCGGGTGTGGAGGAAGTGAAGGCCCTTCAGGATCTGCCTACACCAACTCCTCAGAACCTTAATCTTCATCACCTTGAAACGCTTCAGATACCTATAGAACAGACCGATATGGGGTTAAAGATGGACATCATACAACCATCCTCATTAAAATTAACTGATTCGGAAACCTAGTACAGACAGTTTAATTATGACGATCATAAGAAAGAACACAGCAGAGGGCAACAACATTTGCATGATGTCCAGCACTGGACTCGTGTTGACGTCTGTGTGTAAGAGTGATACTCACGTTTTCAGTGTTCCTGAGGTCATGAGTTCTGTGACCAGCACAATGCACTTCCTGCCTTTAACGGGGACCTCCCAGGATTCGTAGAAGCGGACGATGTTGGGGTGCTGCAGCCCCTTCAGCATGCCCGCCTCCTCCTTGAACCGCTGGCGCTCCGACTTGGACAGCTTACGGTCCTACAGGGGGGGGGGGGGGGGGGGGGGGGGGGGGGGGGGGGGGAATCATAGGAACGTCAGTGTTACAGACAGTCAGGGGAGAGAGAATAAACACAGGTCTATAGTTGAGAGTAGATTTAGCTTACAGACAATATGACATATACTCTTTTCATTCAGGAAAGGTCAAATAACAATGCGAACAGCAGCCTTTTACTAGTATGATGTCAAAGTGAAAGTGGCTCTATGTCTTGGCAGCAAGGTATGAAACACTGAAGCATTCATGCTGTTGCTTTTTTAAGTGTGGGGATTTGCAATGCGTGTTTAGCTCACTAAACTTTTGGAAAGAGGGCAAATCCTGACATTTCTGTCAGCTAGCTTTCAGTTAAGAGCATGCTTGGGACAAAATACTTAATCACTTGTTTCTTTCAAAGCTGTATAGTCACCGTGAGTTGGACAAATGCGCTTTACAGTTCATAAAGAACAAGTACGAATAGACCTACATATATTAATCAAATTATATTAAAGACATGTTTCGGTACTTTGGCGACCGTCATAGGATGCAACCTTTCCAACAAGTCAGTTCGTCAAATTTCTGCCCTGCTAGAGCTGCCCTGGTCAACTGTAAGTGCTGTTATTGTGAAGTGGAAACATCTAGGAGCAACAACGGCTCAGCCGCGAAGTGGTGGGCCACACAAGCTCACAGAACGGGACCGCCAAGTGCTGAACTGTGTAGCGTGTAAAAATAATTTGTCCTCGGTTGCAACACTCACTACCGAGTTCCAAACTGCCTCTGGAAGCAACGTCAGCACAAGAACTGTTCGTCGGGAGCTTCATGAAATGGGTTTAAATGGCCGAGCAGCCACACACAAGCCAAAGATCACCATGCGCAACGCAAAGCGTAGGCTCGAGTGGTGTAAAGCTCGCTGCCATTGGACTCTGGAGCAGTGGAAACGCGTTCTCTGGAGTGATGAATCACGCTTAACCATCTGGCAGTCCGACGGACAAATCTGGGTTTGGCGGATGCCAGGAGAACGCTACCTTCCCCAATGCATAGTGCCAACTGTACAGTTTGGTGGAGGAGGAATAATGGTCTGGGGCTGTTTTTCATGGTTCGGGCTAGGCCCCTTCGCATTAAGATCTCCCTTCACTATGTTCGCGAGCAGGTGTCCACATACTTTTGGTAATGTAGTGAAACTGCACATATGGGACGTAGTACGCCATTTTCTGAGATCCCTTTTGGCTGGTCAGTGCTACTTTCAAAACTACTGGCTAAAAAGTAAACAATACTGGAGAATCGCTTTAAACTTGAATATCATTTGATGTAAATATGTAGGCAGAGGTAAAATTGAAATAACTTTCACACTATCAAACGGGCGTAGGACTTTGTGCCTGTTTTCTCTGGCATGGGGCAGTGACATGAGGAATGTGTGCAGCTTTGGCGTACTTTCCCACCAAACAGAAAACAAAAAGGGCCAAAGCATGACAGAGCGAGAGAGACAAAAGTGAAGTGGGAAGGTGAAAAACCTCATTCATCCTGTTTACTAACCTTCTCCCCTCAGTCTACCATCGCAAATCATACCACTTAACATTTCTCATCAGTAGGGACGGGTGTTTCTTGGTCAGGTGGTCCGAAAAAAACTGCTGGCTCTACTCAAACAGCCAAATCTAGCCTACCACAAAATATACAATACAGCTTCATGCATTGATTTGAAACAATTGATTGCTGATAAAGAGTTCAAGTCAGTTTAAGTAGGGTACACTCACTACTACTATGCCTAGGCTTCTCATAGTGCACTCTTATCCAAACACATAGAGCTCCGTCTGGTAACATTCAACAGGTGGCCAGCCTAAAGCCCTGACAGAATATAAATTACAAGTCAAACCAGATACCTTCATGCATCTGTAGACTATAACTCTTTTGAACACTTTATGATCGCCAATGCCTTCATTCTTGGACCAATAAAACTCAACACATTTTCTTTACCAAGAGAGCCAGCAAATAAATTGTTCTAACTAAAAGTCTAAATTTCACTTTGACAATAGGCCTATTTAAATACTAAAATACTAAAACAGTAAAAAGGCCACAGAGTCTGTGCACAGGCCTGAGGCCTTTATGCCTCAGTCTCAGGGTTGCCAGTTGCCACCGCCAGATACACTGCTAGGCCTACATTTGCACTCCGATCTGCCAAAAGTGCCAACCCAGACCAGAGACCAGACCACAATATAAAACAACCTCAGTGTAAGATCTGGCAAGTGGCCAGGTTGTCCAGGAAACGCTCCCTATTGTGTGAGGAGAGCACAGAGAAAGAGAGAGACAGCTTTCCATGGTCAGACTGACATCTCTCAACAAAAGAGCAATGAAACAGCACACTGCACTGTGGTTAGAGAGGAACTGAGCTGTTCTGGCTCTGGTGCTTTTGGTCAGACTGATAAGTGTTGGGTGTCTGTGGGGGGTTGGTTACTAGGGAGGGGGTTTTGGAGGACGGGAGGTGGAGGGATGAGGATTCTTTGGACAAAAGGCAGGGTTTTTTGTAGGGAGGGGACACACAGGGGTGAGGGGGTGACAGGGAACCAGAGTATATTTTAGGAGGAGGGATGACCCTGAGCCTGGATAAGGGCTGAGGTTGAGAAATGGGGCGAGGGGGTTGCTTTGCTCTCTGACTAACAGACCTAGTTTCAGTCCATCTGCTATGCCCGTGGCGTGGGCCAGTAGTTCCCCTTTCTCTTCTCGTTCTGCAGTGCATATGGAAACAGCCATGAAAAACATCTGCGGCAGCATTTAACAGCTGCATTCTTCAAAATATTGCGATACTGGTATCGTCACAGTCCTAATCACTAGTATTAAGGTAGATTTACATTGGAGGGATGACGCAGAAAGACTTAGTACCATTACTTATGTGAATTAGCTTTCGGAGCAGTCTAACCATCAGATGCCTTTCTATCTGATATATTCTCCTTCACCATCTCCTTGGAATGTTCGCCTTCTTGCTAATTCTAATCCAATTTTTTTGATCTACAGTTAAAGGACAATACTGCCACTTTATAACCAGTTAATATTCTGTTATATGCACTACTGTAAGATTTGATACACATTGATGTTTTATCGTTTTTGTTAGTCATACTGCACAATTCCTTGTTTTTGTAATTTTGAAGCTTCTGTATTGCCTCGTCTACAGCATACTACAATTCCCAGGGTGCATTTCGCCTCCCATGATGCAATACTCCGCCTAGTTAGCCTGCAGTTAGTTTAGCAAGCTGGCTATGAAGCCCAGATGAAGCTTAGTCTAAATATATACTTCATAAGTTACAAGTGCATTTCACATTACTTTTGGGTTGTAAATATACTATAATGCTTGCATGAATGTCATGCTGAATATATGATCATGTTTTGTCACCAATCAACTGCAATCCAATTCAAATTTAGATGCCAACTAGCTAAGCTAACCAAAACACAGTTACTGTATCTAGTTACCATGCTAGCTAGCCCGACTGCTACATCCGAAAAAGTGTTTGCAACAATAACAGCAGTTTAATCTTAGCGATTGTTAAACACTCCAAACAACATGTAGGCCTGTTAGAAGAACACAACATTTATTGACATTTACACACAAATCATTACGGAATCCTAGTCTCTCTGCCTGTATCTTTGGTGCTAACGTTAGTAATGCTAGCTAGCTAAGTAGCTTAACCTGCTGCATCTGAAATAAAGTGCCTTCAATGATAAAAGACAAATACAGCTTCAGCGACTGTCCAAGCAACTTTCCAACAACACTGGAGGTCTATTGGAACTAATAAAAAGTATGACGTTTACAAGTAATTCAATACGAAAATATAGGCTACTTGGAAAGCGCACAATGGCCGCCGGAGCGGCAACTTCGGTTGACGGTGATGGAGGGGTTTGCCAAATGGAATCATGGGAGTTCGAGCCTTGATCAACAGAAATTACTGTCCAGAATTTATTGTATTAGTCATCTCAGGGATCCTAATTGAAACAGTCACCGAGAAGAAATGTCCAGTTTTGCCCATCACTAAACAGTCAATAGACATGAAATCATTAAATTACACAAACTGTGTAGGACATTACTAAATACTTCATAATAACAAACCAAATGTTATAAGTGCAGAGTTGTCCTTTAAGTGCATAGTCTAGGGGTTGACTTGGAATTGGGACCCTAAACTGTGTCTCCTCACGCGAGAGCTGTACTGTAGTTTACTGTACCCTCTTCTGTTACCTGGGTTGTACCCAGTCTGAGCAATGGTTAACTGACTGAGGAGGCCAGGAGAGGGAGAGAGTCAGTGGGGCAGATTAGAGCTTAGTAAACACACAGTAGCACTTAACCACCGTCTCCTAGCTCACGTGAAGAGCTTAATCTCAGAGCCTACCTCTCCACAGCATGCTCACGCAGAAATACACAAACATACACACCAGCTTATGCCTACACATGCACATACAAAACACACACGTGTGTGCACACTTTCTCTGAAAACCCTATCACAAGATCAGAATGTAGAAGTGTTAAAGGGTAGGTAGCATGAGTTTTTACTCAAAATAAAAATGTAGTGTGGTCAAAGACTTGTGTGAATTCACAATACAGAGATGGAAGCTACGGAGCGTAGCGCAGTGTTGCAATGCCGTTTTTTGTTGTAATACGATCCGGCATTCGACATACTTTTGTACTACCTGGAAATTGAGAAGCGCCGTATCATTCCTGTCGCAGGCCAGTGGCACAACATATTAATGTTATGGTTAGATCAGAATCGCCATCAATCATTGGCCTGTACAGAGAATTAAGTCAAAACCACAAGTCCAAATCCCCATCTCCATCCATGGCTTAGGAAATAGCCGATTTAGCAAGCTAGCTACTGCAAGACATCAACACAAGCAGACCAGAAACAACGAAAATTATGTTTTGCTTAGGAAGTGATTTGATTGGTGTGAAGCCTGTTTTTAGCTGTTATCTGAATTAATACACAAGTAGCCTATCAGACTTGAATGTTTTAGGTTGCACCGGCAAGTATAAGAATATTTGCCAGGGCATATTTTTGCATTATAAATCTGATTAATTTACATGGAGCTGTGGGAAGCTAAAAAGACTAGCTAGCTTGCTATGTTTTTAGCCAGGCTAAATCCAGCTAGCTACTACTAGCAAGTGAAGGCGAATCTTTCTTGCATTCAAAAAATGAAATGACAAAAATAAAAAAACGTTGCCATCACCCCCTTGTGAATGAGAGTGGCACCGGTGAGAATGTAACGTTACCAAAAAGTTTCCGATGCTCCAAAGATTCCACTCCACCCATATTGACACGTAGATCAATGGCGTGAAGCTTGTAGTAACCTAGGTGATGTTTTGGGGTTTTGAAATATTCATCAACTTATTTTCGGATATCTTCTAAACTACCCACAATGCACTACTGTCAACATCATATGGAGAACCGGTGCTACCTAGCTAGCACCAGCTGGCTAAAGTTAGCTACTAGCCATGCTAGCATGTAATTACATTCAAGACCAAGTGTTGGGGTTGGTGAGCAACCATGTACATCCATGAAGAAGAAACCATATAAAATTCATGCGGAAAAACTGCTCTTCTTCTTCTGTGCGTTTGGTAGTGGTAGTCGAGCGAGCGTTGTAGTAGTTTTCCTTAGTCCATAGCTAGTGTTAGTTTTCATTTCACCCTCCCCCAGCTTCTTAAAAACCAGTGCAAACGATGGTTTAATTTGAAGTTACACATTTTAAGTTAATTCTGTTTGAGTTTACATTATAGGGAATAGGCTGGCTTGCCAGGTCCTCCATATAACTTCACACCCGCAAAAACATTTTCCAGCATGACTTCGGCATTCTGATCGGTTTTACGTAATAACTCAAAAAAAGGAAAAAGTGAGGTGTAACTTTGCATTGTGACTTTTGATGCGTATACTATTGCAAATCCATATGTTACATTAGGTTACATTTATTCTACCTACCCTTTAAAGAGCTCAACAATGTACAAAGTTTATTTCTCAGAAAGTGAGATGACATGACAGTGAGTAACAGAGTGAGCCAAGTATCAGCACATCGCTTCACTATGAATCACTCACCAATGAGATTGATAAGAGTCACAGTTATAGCCTTGCTGTTTTTTGGTAACATCTATCCTGAGTTTATGACTAAGCAGGTAGCGACTCACTCAGAAAGAGCCCACACACTGACCCAGAACTACAGATATCCACAAACTTAGTTTGAGATTTATTAGCCTAGAATTCTAATGGGCGCCATGCTGGCACAAAATGTTTGTTAGAACCTTCGTAGGAGCATCGTTAAATCAATGAGCTTTTTCCCAAAAGCATAGTTCCAGAGTACCACAGTATGAGTCATAATACCAATAAAACTTAGCGGTCAATCAAGGAAATGGTTCCAATCGTTTTTCCACCATTTTCCCCATAGAGGATTTTAGAAACACCTAAAATAAGGGCTGTGTTTCATGTAGGCTTGCCCTGGCGTGACGTTTTGATAACCGTGTAATTCTCTCTAGGACAAGGTGACTTAGCAATTTATTCGCCTAAAAAATGAAACACTAATTAGCTGCTAATGTGGCCATCATAAAGAACTACAAATGCATGATGATCTGGATGAGACTGCCGAAATCGAGGCAAAGGTAAGAATCTCTGGATTAACTATCTAATGTTAGCTAAATTTAGTAATGAATAAATTGGCAATATTTCTTTAAAATTGACAATTATTTTAACTGTCCTGTGCAAGTTTTAAATTGACACATTACCTGTTTGCAAAGGTGTCAGCTAGAGATGACGTGCAGGAGCTTGAAGGGATCTATAGTCTTGCATGATGTCTACTTTGATTATTAATTAGCATTTTTGAATCAGAGTAAATAGAGCCAAATACATTGATAAAAGTCACCTTGTCCGAGAGAGATTTACATGGTTATCAAAACTTCACACCAGGGTAAGTCTATGTACACGAAACACAGCCCTTACTTTAAGGGTTTTAAAATTCCCTATGGGAAAAATTATTGGAACCATTTCCCTGTTTGACCGCTAGGTTTTATGGGTATTATGACACCTTCACTGTGGGGCTCTAATAACTTCACTCTTGAAAACGCTCATAATCTAACACCTGCCTCAGCCAACTCTCAGAACTACTAAGTGCCTAGTTAGATGCTATTTGCCCTCCTGCATCACTTTAAACACAGAAGATCTCGGCTAAACATAAAATCATATGGTTTATCCATCTCTCTGTGACCGCCGGTAACTTCAGAACAAAGTTGACTACAAATACAAAGTTGCAATTGATACAAACAAGCGACATATAAAATGATGCTTCAAATGAAAACCCAGATGACTGCATTAAAATATAAACAGTCGGCTATAGGCCTATTTTAATCCGAATATTGAAATACATTTAAATGTTCAATCAATTGAGTTTTATAGTCACGGTGTAGACTAAAATGGGCATAATGATGTGCCAAATCAGTGATTTTGTGATTTTTTATTGGATAAGCATTAGCAGCCTCAATATTTGCAGCCGTAGTCGGCAATATCGCTCTAGGAGCTGATCCGTCGTCAGTATTGTGAAATAATTCTAATGTTAAGATCGAATGCAGCCGTTTTTATCATCTCAATATCAAATCATTTCTGGGGAACAATTAAAGTACCTTACTGTGATTGTTTTAAATTAAAAATGGTCAAAAAGAAACAGAAATTGCTTCTTAGCAAAGAGACATTTCTCATGCAAGAATTTGGCTAGGATTGTCTGGGAGTGGTCTG